ACTAACATTAGTCTGATGGCAAAACAAGGCTATCCCTTCCCCCAAGAGAAAGTGGTCTGAGGTATTCCCTAGCTCTGGGCCCTTGCGAAATAAAAGAGAAAAACCCATTTAAACCTGCACAGAATGATGGAAGGGAACCCATTTCCTAGACCTCGAGACAGAGAGAGAGAGAGAGAGTCCTGCCACGCTGCGAATTTGTGGGTGTTGCCTTTGGTTCCCTTACAGCAAGGGTGCGGATTTAAAAGGCTCAGAGAGCCAGCGTGATTCCTGAAGGAGGCCAATGAACGGCAATCTTAATAAAAGCGGAGCAAATATTTCAGCCACAGAGAATCACCATAGTGATTGTATTTAATTAATGGGAGTGCCATCGCCTTTACTAAAATGAAATTTGCTCTGGCTTTGAGTCCTGGCTTCATCCGCTTCTTTCTTCTGGCTCTTCTCCCTTTTTGGAGCGGGGCCTCCAGCAGCCAAAGCCAAACAAGAGCTGTGAAAAAACCTGGACAGCTCATCCCTGCAGTTGTGGGTCAGAATAGAGGAGGCAGTAGCAGACACTCAACATAGGTTCAACCTGATTCATTGATTGTTCACTAGTCAATGGCTGGTTCTCTATTTGGAAATTCTGTTGTTTGCTAATGTATCCATCCTTCTCTCTCTCTCTTTCAGTGTGTATCTATTTAGCTATATCTCTCTATATCTGTCAGTCTGTATCTGCCAACCTATAGGTGCACACACAGAGACAGAGAAAAAGTGGCATACATTGGAATCATTTTTTTCTGGAATACCCAACCTGTCTTTCTTTAACTGGTTTTCTTCCATCATAATGAATTTTTAATCCTGTTCTGTGAAGTTTCCAGAGTTATTCCACTGAGAGGCAGACTGAGAAAGTCCAGACCCTTTCACATTATTCCTTTTCAACTTTCCATTGTGTTGGAAAGGATAGACATAAATCCTCTTTGCCTTTAGGACCAACCCACCCGCACCTCTGCAGTTAGTTTGTGCACATCTTGGTAGCAACCAGAGCCAGCCGAACAGCAGCCAAGGGCTGTTGTATGCAGAAGCTGGCCTCAGTTTCCTGCATGCACCTGTTGGCCTTCTTAGATTGCTGTTGCATTAACCATACTTAGCAGTCTATCGAGCACAAGAAATCGGGAATCCAGCCAGTTCAAACGAAAATATGTTTATTGTATGCTATTCCTATCTACAAGAATCTGAATTACTAACAGTCAAAGTGAGTTAGCGGCAGATAAAAGTCAAGGGAATTCAAGGTGGGCTGGACGTAGATCTCCTGTGGTGCCAAGGGACTCAGGACTGATGACATGTTTGACCCCTCCCCTCCCTTCTCAGCCTGGTCCTCTCCTACCTTGTCATTGCAGCCAATGTTGGCTAATTTCCTATCTTGGGAATTGGTGCAGCAGCAGGAGATGCAAGAGAGGCAGGATTCAATATTGTGAATGAACAAAATAAACAATGACATTCATTCATCAGGGCAAGGATGGATGCTGCTCCCGAGAAAGAGTGCAGAGAAGAGCAATAAAGTTGACAAGAGGTCTGCAGGCTAAACCATACAATCCCAAGAGAACTAGGTATCTGGCTCTAATGAACAGAAGGATTGGGGGGGACATGACAGCTGTCTTCCAGTACTTGAAGGGTGGTCTCAGAGATGAGGGGCTCAACCTATTCTCCAAAACACCAGAGGGCAGGACAAGGAGCAATGGGTGGAAATTTGTTAAAAAGAGATCCAGCCAATTAAGGAGAAATTTCCTGACAGTGAAGGCAATTAACCAATGGAACAGCTTTCCTCCCAAAGTTGTGGAGATTTTCAAGAACAGACTGGATAAGGACTTCTGCCTTGGGCAGGGGTTGGAGAAGAAGACCTCAAAACAGAGGGAGAGGATCTTTGCAGGTTCTAATTTGGAAACATGAGGAAATTTATGCGCTCATCTTGCTACCATTCTGGCAAAATTGCTTTGGAGCCATTTCTCCTCTAATGACTTCCGGTGTCTTCACAGCATCCCCCAGCCACACTGAGGTGACAGAAAGCCTGTCTTCATTGCTGTGATTTTTGGCAGAAATGATGATTGGAAAACGCTGAAGGTAGCAGTAGAGACTGCAGGGTCTCCAACCTTGGCAACTTTACGACTTATGGACTTCAGCTCCCAGAATTCTGGATTTGAAGTCCACAAGTACCGAAGTTGCCAAGGTTGGAGCCCCCCGATAGAGAGAAAGGAAGAGCAAGCATTCCCTGAGCAGGAACACCGGGGATGGGAGTGATCCGAAAGTGATCTTTTTCAGCTGGGCAGAGTCACTTTAAAACATCTGGCAACCTGAGCAACTTTGCTCCATAAGAAATGTGGTTCAGTATCACAGTGGGGTTGTTTCTGACAATTCCAAAGAATGCTCTAAAAATAACTACACAAGCTAAGTAGTCAGTAGAAAATGCTTTGAAACATTGCATTAAATGGCAACAAGATTAAAGTCATTCATTAACAAACTATTTTTTAAAAAAGCTAGAGTTAACGTGTCCTACTGCTGTTTGGTATGCCTTTAATTGAAAACAATTATCTGGCTCTTTTCCTGAGTTACATTCTGAATTTGTGATTTGAGAACCCCGTAGACTTTGCATCTCTTCTGGCTCTGAGCGTGGAGAATTTTGCGAAGAATTGGACCGGGGCATCATTTCTCATTTGGACTCTCCTCTTTGTTTAGTTTGGGCACCAAAGGGGTTCAAGGAGAACATTCCTAGGATGGAAACAATTTGAGGAGACCTCCAGGGGGGATAAATCAACGACAAGAAAAGAAATTACATACATTTTAGCCTAGAGAAAAGAACATTAAACAAGAAAAAAAAGAGATATTCTTTTCTACTGTAGAAAGCTATGTGCTTAGAACAACAAATACCTAAAGATGTAAACATACACTGAAGAGATGGTGAAGAATGAACTTAAATGGCCTTCTTTCCTGTAATTGTATTAAACTCATTTTCCTCTTGGAAATGAAATCACTCAAAGAATAATTAAGAGCACAGGACAAACTCATATGCCTGAGCACATGGGATCATTGAGGACAACTTGACCAGGGTCCAATCAACAAGGGTCGCATCCCTAAGCGTGCACGTTCCATGCACAAGGTCTGTGGGTTCATATAAACCAACTCAGTGGTGGCCCCTCTGAGATTAATATTGCTCATACTCCCTGGAACGCTGTGGATTGACTATGGCACTTTTGGTACACAAACTTAGGCGCTCTCATTAATCTCTCTGGGTCAGATGCTACTGTTTGAATTAAATTGAGTTGAATTGAATTGAATTGAATACTTTATTTGGCCAAGTGTGATTAGACACACAAGGAATTTATCTCCAGTACGAAAGCACTCATCACCATATTATAAAAAAGACACTGAGACTCTATATAAATTTAATAATAATAATAATAATAATAATAATAATAATAATAATAATAATAATAATAATAATAATAATAATAATAATAATACAGAGAAGAAAATTAGGGGTCTGGAGGCTAAAACATGAACAGTTTCAGGAATTGGGTTTGTCTAGTCTATTGAAAAGAAGGACTAGGGGTGACACGATAGCAGTGTTCCAATTTTTGAGGGGCTGCCACAAAGAAGAGGGGGGTCAACCTATTCTCCAAAGCACCAAAAGGCAGGACAAGAAACAAGGGATGGAAACTAATCAAGGAGAGAAGCAACCTAGAATTAAGGGGAAATTTCCCAACAGTAAGAAAAATTAACCAGTGGAACGGCTTGTCTCCAGAAGTTGTGGGTGCTCCATCACTGGAGGCTTTTAAGAAGAGACTGGACAGTCACTTGTCTGGAATGGTATATAGTCTCCTGCTTGATCAGGGGGTTGGACTAGAAGACCCCCAAAGTCCCTTCCAACTCTGTTACTCTATTAACCTTCGTATATCGACAATCCAATTCACTCTCCAGCTAGAAGGATCTTCGGCTGGCAAGTCAGAAGTTCTCAGGTTGAAATTCTAGAGAGTTGTTCCATCAGGATAGGCAGCAAACTTCCATTCTGATCGGTTTGCATTTTCTAACCATTCTTTAATGTGGGTTCTTTCAAGGTGGGGCCTTCCAAATGCTTTGGTGCTCTAGATGGGTTTTTCTCAGCCATGAAACAGGAGAAGTGAGAGTTGGGCACCCAAGACCACATCCATGTGGTGCTAAACTCTGGTGGTGCAACCGCTCGATTCCGCTTCCAGCTCCTGAGTGCTGAATAATCAACACGCATGTACACAGGAGCCTTCCTGTCATCAACCAACCCATCCTCTGGCGTGCCAGGATCAGCCAAGCTCCAGAGTGCTGTTTTACAGCAGATGTAACTTACCCGTGGGTCATTTTTGTTATTTTAAAAGTCTGGTCCTAGAAAACCAAAGTCTCTAAGTCTTGCCAGGCCTAATTTTGCTTGCTAGCTGATCCCCAAAGCCTGATGACATCAGTGAGGAATGATTCAGAAATATTAGCTGGTTTGGGGAAATGCATAGTCTGTACTTGAGATTACAGTTGGAAGCAAAGTGAAATAATCCATTTTCAGGGCACTTTAATGACAGGAAAACCTCTGGAAGAGGCGGTGAATCTGCTGAAATGGTTTTCAGTCTGGTATATTCAGATCTATTAAAATTTATATTCCATCCAGTGATTGCTGGATTAGCGCAAGCCGTAGTTTTCTGGGTTGGGAAGGAGATCTGTGAATACACACCCTCTCTTCTTCAAATTAAAATAATATATCCCGACTTGACCAGAGCAGTTTGTGCTTTCAAGCCAGGATGTCATTGCAGCTTTGTTGCTGTTCCTCTAAAACAGAGGTTCTTCAACTGATTGACACCATGAAGAAAATTAGGTTGGAAGAGATAGGAAAAATTAATGGCTGGTTCAAGTGAGCATTGCAGTTGACCCAAACTTTGGACAAGGATTGACAGATTGAACAGAATATCTAAGCCTTGTTCCACCCTGACTTAATTGTGATGCTTCCTTTGCAGTCTGATGGGACCATTCTGGCAATTATCTTGCTGATCCTCTTCATTCTGTTGGCTCTGGCGCTTCTGTGGTGGTTCTGGCCACTTTGCTGCACTGTGGTAAGTCCCTGGAATCTATTCTCACTTTGGCTGGTCTTCTGCGTCAAAAGGGGAGAAAATCACTCCCAGAGAAACCCACAAGGTTGCTTATGATGAATAGTTTGTAAGGAGGCAGAAGTCCCCCCTTTCAGTTGCGCTAGTTTGTCAGATGAGGTCATCTAAAAATATGGGTACTGTGGGTATTCCTTCAGAAGTGAGATTTCCGGGAATGTATGGGATTTAGGATTCCATCACTGGAGGTTTTTAAGAAGAGCCTTAACTTGTCTGAGATGGTATAGGTTCTCCTGCCTGAGCGGGGGGCTGGACTAGAAGACCTCCAAGGTCCCTTCCAGCTCTATTCTATTCTATTCTATTCTATTCTATTCTATTCTATTCTTCTGCACTCTATTCCATTCCATTCCATTTTGCAGTCTAGTCTAATCTTGATTAATCTCATTCTGTTCTATTCTGAATTCCCTTCCCTTCCCTTCTTCATATCATAATGAAGTGGATCCAAGAAAAACATACAGATCTCTGTTTAGAAATCAACAATGGAGCTGGAATCATAGACATCTGGATGGGGATCAAGAGAAGCAGACAAAAAACGGTGCCCCACAATTGCAATACAAACCAAAGGCCTTATTTGTGCCCAGTAGCATCCTGCAAGGCCAAAATGCAGTTTTGCACCCTGACTGTGCAATGCAACTTATTTTCAAATAACTGCAGTTTCTACCAGACCTCTATTCTTGGACTGTTTTAGCAGTTATATTTATCCTGAAGGCCAAATTCAGCAAATCTTCTCACAAAAGTTTAAATGCAAGTCAGAGCCACGTCCCCAGTTCTAAAAAGCATTATGGAAAGAAAGTGAAATTAACGAAGGCCGTATTCCAGAGAGAAAACATCTCATGGGAAATCATGTGGAAAGAAGAATCTTGAAAATCTCTGGTTTGCATTCCAGCCTTTAAGACAGGAAAAATAGGGAGAAGCCAGTGGGTCTGCTTGATGAATATTGAACGGAGCTGGGGAAGGAAACCAGGCCCTGGGCTGAATCCTCCAAAGAACCTTTCAAGATACAGCTTTCACGTTTTCCCATCAGTCTGGAGGAAATAATAATGAAGTTAACAATCCTTTGACAATCACTTTCCAGCCAGTTTGGCATTATTTCTCAATCCTATTAGGAAGCGAATGTGCGTATGTGGAGTTCTCCACAGAGACCATTCACATTAGCAGTGATCAACTCCCCACCCTTTTGTAACTGCATCTTATCGTTGCACATCCATTAAAAGGGGTGGAGTCGATTGCAAAATCAAATTGAAGCCAGTGACTGTCACCCCGTGAGGGTGCTTATGCATCTTTCCTATTGTGACACCACTGATGTCAGTGAGAACTTCCTAGTTCTCGTGTTGAAGGAGGCTGGTGGGCATGGATCTGATCTATGTGTTAATGCTTTCCTTGGAGGCAAGGCGTCAATATTTAGTCAGTACCTGAAATCCACAGATCTTAAAGAGAAGCAACCTGGAATTAAGGAGAAACTTTCTGAGGAAATTAACCAGTGGAACAGCTGGCCTCTAGAAATTGTGGACGCTCCATCACGATTCTCCTGCTTGAGCAGAGGGATGGACTAGAAGACCTCCAAGGTCCCTTCCAGCTCTATTCTAATTCTAATTCTAAAGTTGTCAAGGTTGGACACCCCTGACATAAATGAGAGGGTAGGGAAGAAAGCTGAGTCTGAGAAGATGCAACATTTTCTGTGAAGTTCTTTCTGTCAGGGCTGGGGGGGGTTAAATAATGACATTCTGGGTTCAGATTTTTCGCCAGCTCCTCAGAAGGTGACCTGCCAGATCTGTAGGTGAAGGCTGTGGTTTCAAACGGAGATAGAAAATGTTTAGAAATGGTCTTCTGAGGATGGGTCCTGAAAGTCAACATAAGGTAATATTCTGTATTCATTTCCATCCGTTTCAGATTATTAAGGAGCCCCCACCACCTCCGATGGAAGACAGCGAGGTAAGAGCTTTGATCCCTCGCAACATTTTGCTCAATGTTTTTCAATGCTGTGGTGGAATCCGAATTTTCATAAAGGATTTGGTTTGCGCAGTTCGGTTTTCAAGGTCCCTGGAAAAGGGATCAGCAGAAGACCAGCTAATTCTCCCTCTCTGGGCTGCCTAGGATTAAACCCTGCTAGCATGAACAGAAAATGGTAAATAGAGGGATGGTTTGGGTGACCCATCGCTGGGAGAGAAGCCGTTCGGAAAGTAAGTCCGAACTGGGACCCTTGGCAGGAAGAGCTCAAAAAACTCAAGATGGTGGCGGTAGCCACAGAACGGGAGTCTGGCACTCTTAATGCACCAGGCTGGTCAGTACAGGTAGTCCTCGACTTACAACCATTCGTTTAGTGACCAAAGTTACCAAAAGAGTGACGTGACCATTTTTACACTTACAACTGTTGCAGCATCCCCACGGACACACAATCAAAATTTGGATGCTTGGCAACTGGCTCATATTTATGACGGTTGCTGTGTCATGGGGTCATGTGACACCCTCCCCCCTTTTGCGACCTTCTGACAAGCAAACTCAGCGGGGCAGCAGATTCATTTAACAACCGTGCTACTAAGTGAAACTGCAGTGATTCACTTAACAACTGTGGCAAGAAAGGTTGTAAAATGGGGCAAAACTCACGTAGCAGTCTAACTTAGCAACAGGAATTTTGGACTCAATTGTGGTCATAAGTTGAGGACTGCCTGTACCCCCCCCCCATCCCAGATGCTTCTGGACCATGAGGACCCAAGGGCCAAGGCCAGAGAGCTTCATTGCGGTCAGAGTGCACGGAGGTCACCTGAGACTTCCAGTGGAGAGTTGCTGGTCCCCTGGTCCAATTACACGCTCCTCAAGCTTATTTCTTCATTTACTCCAGCATGTAAACATAGAGTAGCTGCTCGGAAGGCTGCATTACAAATGCCATTCATCATTTTCCCCAGTGACAGTCTGAAGTTAATAAAAGGGAGGCTTTCTGGTTAGATTGTCACTGTTAAGTCTTTGTTTTAATGTGCTTCAGAAATGGTTTGTTTACAGCCAGGAGATACATGTAATAGTAAGATGAGTCAGGAGTTCAAGTCCACATGTCTTAAAGCTGGTGAGGTTGAGAAACAGAGCAATAAACTAAGCTGTGGTGTGATGACACACATCGCCCTGGAACTCTTCAAGAAGTTTTAACTGTTCTGGGGAAACCAAGTATTAACCCAAAGGTTTCTCCTCAGTTTGGAAAGCGAATTGATTAGAACTGGAGCACCACTGCTTTGCTGGGTGTACTGGCTGCAAAAAGGGGTGGCCACAACAATGACCTCCACAATCATAGAATCATAGGGTCAGATACCTTATTTCATTCTTGACAAATGGTTGTCCAATTATTTCTTGAAAACCTCTAGGGAGGGAGCACCCACAACTCCTGGAGGCCAGTTGTTCAAGTGATAATTGTTTCCACCGTCAGGAAATTTCTCCTTAGTGAGACATGAGCTTAATGAGCTTCCACCCATTACTTCTTGTCCTTCTCTCTGGTGCTTTGGAGAACAAGTCAATTCCCTCTTCTTTGTGACAACCCCTCAAGTACTATAATAGAAGATAGTTATTGTGTCACCCCTAATTCTTCTCTTCATTAGGCTAAACATACCTAGTTCTCTTAAGCATTCATTGTACAGTTTAGACCCCCTTATCTTTGTTGCTCTTCTCTGCACCCTTTTTAGGACCTTGGTATTTTATTTTGTAATGTGGTGACCAAAATTGGATGTAGTATTTCAAGTGTGGCTTCACTAGTACAGTGTAAAGCGGTACTATCACTTCTCAAGGTTTTGTTGCTCTCTCTCTGTTGATGCCGCCTAGGACTGCATTGGCTTTTCTGGTAGCTGCAGCACATGGCTGTCTCCTCCTTAAGTGGTTATCCACTAGGAGGGACTCCTAGGTCCCTCTCACAGTTACTGCTGTTGAGCTAGGTACTACCTATTCCATACCTGTGCTTTTGGTTTTTCCTGCCTATTTTTCTCACCACTGAATTATTTCTTGTTGGACAGTCTGTCGATCTTTCTGGATCATGAACCTAGTTTCCAAAACGTTAGCAATTCTCCCTAGCTTGATTTTGTCTGCAAATTTGATGATCTCCCCTTCTATCATGGTGTCATCATTGTGGCTTCTACCCTACATTGTGGTTGCATGTTGGGTTTTAAGTACATATTATGCTTTGATTATATGTTGGATTTTCCAGGACGAGGTGTGTTTGTTTCCTTATAATTAGACATTGCAGCTTTGAGATCAAGGCTAAATTAATTTCCTTTCTACGGGTTTCAGTCTGAGCAAACCAACAGCCCAATCTTGCCATCACTCATGAGTCTTTGTTGACATCTGGAGACCACAGACTTTCTCACTCAGATGGTTCTACTACAGCCAAGTCAAGAACACCCACACCCACACACCCAAACACACAGAGAGAGTTTAGATCTGATATTACTCCATCCATTTAGCTACAAGACAAAGGTACTCAGCAAAGTTTTGGCAGGCCAGGATCAATCCAAAACAGAGCTCTAATTCGACAAAGATGATTTATGAGCTTCATCAAGGACATCTGCTTCTCCTCCCACATCTGCTTCTACCTTTGCAGTTTGAAAGGAACTCTTTCTGGGGGCTGCTGCTGCTGCTACTGCTCACTCCTCTGACCCAGAAGGGAGAAAATGTTGGCAGGGAGCCTATGGCATCTGCCCCCGCTATGCAGGAAAAAGGCATGGTGAATTGTTAATGGAAGATGGAAAAGTAGGAACAGAAAACCTTATGCCTTTCCTTCCTTGGGCTTTGTCCCCAAACTCATCTTTAATAGTACTAAGGAGAAGAGGGGATTCGGTTTCCGCTGGGATGGATGGCGTTAAGGGGATTTGCACAATGCTTCCTGTTAGTATGACCAAGAACTGATGTTGGAGAGGAGAAAAGGAAGCCAGCAGGCCATCTTCAGCAACCGGCCCTTAGGACTCCCCTAACAGAACCAAAAGGGAAGGTTGAAGAGTTGAAGTCTATACGTTTTAAAGTGGTCCAGATTGGAGTCCCCTGCAATAGAGCATCTTGGATAGATGACCTTCTTGGGGTCCTCTAGTGAAGGAGGTCTTATCACTGTATCCAGCAGCCAGTTCCACAAGCAAACAGCTGCCACACTCAAGAAGGTTTTGCAGATGTCTAGTCTGAATCTCCCTCCTTGTAGTTTTAAACCACTGGTTGTAATCCTGCCCTCCCTTCTGCTTTCAAAGATAGGATATAGCAAGGACTCTTTCATCTGGGGTTAACCCTGCACAAGTGCTAAGGGATTCTGGCCAGGCCTGCCTTCAGATGATGCAAATCATTTCAGATCGGGAACCAGCTGGAGGTGCACTTTTATCAGGGTTTATTCATATTTTCCAGATATATATTTGTTGAAAGGGGATTGCTAATGATCACCAGTATCAGCCCTTAATCCAGCCTAACTCATGGACTGGGGATGGAATGGAGGGGCCACAGAGGGATGTAGGAGGGGGGAAAAATGGCAAAGAGATGTTGGTAGCAAGTTGAGAAAGGCCCTTCAAACGGATGTTTTGTCTGCTAGCACCTGTCAATAAACATATGGGTCGTTTTGAACCCTTGCCAAGACAAACCCTAACTTCCTTTCTCATTGTGGGGTCTTCCAGATGTTTTGGCCTACAACTCCCGTTATCCCTCACTATTTTTGTTGGTCAGCACATCTGGGCACCAGGAAGATGGAAAGGGTATTCTGGTACCTCTTTTAACTTTAGCGACAAAATCTATTTTGGCTTTTAAAACAACGCCAAGATAAACCATTAGGTAATAGGTTCCTAGAAGGTCATTTGGAAATGGAATAACAGAGTTAGAAGGAACCTCAGAGATCTTCTAGTCCAACCCCCTGCTCAAGCAGGAGGCCCTATATCATTCCAGTCAAACGGCTGTCCAGTCTCTTAAATGCCTCCGGTGATGGAGCACCCACAACTTCTGAAGGCAAGCCATTCAGCAAAATAAGTAAACAAAATAATAAGCCTGGATATTCTTTCCCACTGGACAAACTGCATCTATGCAGGCTATGGTCAGAAACGTCTCCAGAGGAGGCAGCCAAACCTCTGAAGCAAAATGCTTTTGTACGTCTCCATCGTGGTGATGAAATTCTGCTGGCTTTGTTCTTCCAAATATTTCCCCTATGAAGTAGAAAATGGGGCACGCACAGAGGGCAGCCTGACCTGTGGCTGGATTGATGGCCCCTTTCCTTCAGTGCCACGATGGCTGGGCATTTTCTGTGCGGGGGGGGGACTTTAATTCTGAAATAACCGGGAGGCTTTTCACGTTCTGGCCAAGAGCACATTCAGGGTTTGGTATTTCCTGTTGTGTGTGAGAAAGCTGGCCTGGGCAGTGACAAAGTGAAGAAAGAGGGAAAAGAGAGGCAGCAGCGAAGGCAAAAAGATGGCTTTCCTCCCAGATTTCAGGCAGGAAAAAAAAAAAACTTACAAAAGTGTCTGGGCAGAAAAGGAGGGAATAAAGAGGTAGAACTCAGCTGGGTTTTAATTAAGGTGTAAAGGCAGAAAAAGATTTGGACCGTCGCCAACAGAGCAGGGGTCCCCAACCCCTGGGCCTTAGCGCAGTACTGGGCGGTGGCCTATTTCGAACCGGGCCCTGAGAGCGTGCACATGGCTCAATTTGCGCAAGCTGAGAGCTGGTGCACATGCCTACACGGGTGCAGCTCAATGTGCACAGGTTGAGCTGCACGCACATGCGGGTGTGCGCCAACCTGCTGCTCACACAAGTTGAGATGCACGGGTGCACATGCGCGCTATCCCATCACTCGCATAGCTCAGTTCAATGATGAAAACTGCCTTGAATGCATTTGGGTCAATATAAAAGGGGGGGAAATGACATTGCCATAGGTGTAGACTATAGGCCACCCAACCAAACAGAGGAAATAGATGAACTTTTTGCTAGTCAGCTAACTAAGGTTTTAATGTGAGTTAGTGCGCTCATAGTAAAAAATGACAATAAAGGTTTATCTTTATCTTATCTTCTTCGCAACAACTTCTTTCTGTCCGAGGATTAGAAGTTCTGATAGTTCATTGTTGATGCCTATATTTTCTCTCTCTTTCAGGAGGAAGATGATGATGGACTTCCCAAGAAAAAGTGGCCGACGGTGGATGCTTCCTATTATGGTGGGCGTGGAGTTGGAGGCATTAAGCGGATGGAGGTAGGGTGGTCTCTGAAGAGGAAAATTCCCCACAGTCCAATTTATGAATGGAGACCACACAATCCGCTTGAACCAAGTATATTTGAACAGCACAGGCTTCAATGAATACAAGGTTCAGCCCCCTTAAGGAGCGTTCAAACAACCTTTATATAGGAGTATAATAAATGCAGATATTTCCAACCCTGATCAAAGATGGCCTTCCCAGAGAGGGGTTCATTACTAATGTATCACAACTTTCACTCTTCTGTTTCTAACTGATAAAGCTAGTAATTAAGTATGTAAAACTTTCTGGCTAATTTATGTGCACCAGGAAAGGGAGGGGGGTAACTCTGAATCAACTGTTGACCTGGTTTAGTTCCTTGATAAGGCTATCTAGTGGCCTTCCAGGAATTTTAGGGCCAGGATGTGAGGTACAAGAATGAGAGGTCCAAGAATGATTGTAAACTCAAGGTTTTTCACTGGTATGTTGCTCCAAAGTCTTCAAATGTAGTCATTGCATTTGTGAACTTGATGAGATCAAAGAATCTCTGAAGCAAAATCCCACATGAAGTTACCAACCTCCACTTCTCCTTAGACAGCTCTGGATGGAGTCATTAGAGAAGAGCTTGAGATCAAATTGATGGAAATGTTTCCCTTTTAGGTTCGTTGGGGAGAAAAGGGATCAACCGAAGAAGGGGCGAAGCTGGAGAAGGCCAAGAATGCACGAGTCAAGATGCCAGAACAAGAGTATGAGTTCCCAGAGCCAAGGAATCTTGGAAGCAGCATACGCAGGTCCTCCTCACCACACAAGTGGTATTCTCCTATCAAGGTATGTCTCTTGGCTGTTGGGTTTATTATGCGAGCGAGATTCGAACAGCTTGATACAATGGTGAGATATGGGAGGTTCCATTCTATTCCATATGCTCGACGTATCTGCATTTGCGTAGCGGTAGAAGTAGAAGACTTGGCTCACATAATGTTTGATTGTTGTTTGTATAAGAGGGTGAGAGACAGGTACCTTGGTTCATATATTAAACAAATGACCCATTGGGAACCCCATATTAAAACACCATATCTTATGTGTGGCCAGAATCTGAAAACAACACTTAACACAGCACAGTACTTAAGTAAAATGGTTCGGATAAGATCAGCTTATGTGGGACTGATTGAGGTAGATTGTAGGGGTGGTGTTGAAATATAATTTTATCTTATTTTACTTATCTATATATTAAATTATTGTATTTTACTCCAATTTCATTTTAAATTATTTTTATAAGATTTTATTAATATTATATGTTTGGGACTCTGTATTCTGATATGGCCTGTGGGCTACTCAATAAATTAAACTAACACAGCTGTTGGGTTTATTATGGTGATAATAAAATTTTCATGCATATTGAGACATCACCACACAAATGATGTCTAAAAGAAGCATCCATGACTTCATCCTTGCTTATCCAGTTACTGTAACTTAATTGCTCTCTCGTCCTTGGAGGGGTCACAGGGAGAGAAGTAACCAAACTAAGTATTTCTTCTTGGATTTCTTGTTTTTCTTCTTTAGTGGTATTGTGTTGGACTGAGCTTTTATGATTGTATTTTTCAGTGTTTCCCACGTTACCTAAGTTGTTTTTCCCCTTTAGGATTTTTATCCATGGAATTTTTCTTAGGCCCTCTCTGAGTTTCTTAAAGTCAGCTCTTTTAAAGTTTAAGACCCTGGTTGAATTATATTCTATTGCTTGTGTTTGCATTATATTGAATTTCAGTATGACGTGGCCACTCTTGCCCACGGTTCCTGCAGTTTCAACTCCCTCTATCCCTTCTTCTCTATTAGTAAGAATTAGGTCTACTATAGCTTTTCCTCTAGTTCCCTCCTCTACCTTTTGGATGACAAAGCTGTCAACGAAGTTGGTTAGGAATCTGTTTGATCTCCCACTTGCTGCAAAGTTTGTCTCCCAGTTGATATCACGGTAGTTAAAGTCTCCCATTACTACTGTGGTATATTTCCTACATAAATTTGTTAATTGATTAGCAAAGAGCTCATCTATGTCTTCTGCTTGATTGTGGGGCCTGTAGATCTATATTATTTATTTTTTCCTTTTATTATATTTTATATTTATATTTCCTTTTATATTCACCCAGCAGTGAACCAGCAGCACTGCTTATAATTCATTACAATCAAGATTGTCCTAAAAATATCAGCCTCTTGGGCCAAGAAAAGCTGGATTTTGTGGCATGCATAAATTAGGCATTTCTAGCCCAAATATTTTTTTTTCATTCCTTTTCTTTTGCTTTTGGTTTTTGCTTGGCTTTGCATAATTAATTCTGCTTCTGCCAGACCTTGGAAGAAACAAGGAATTGTAAAGGTCACAAAAGTTCACTAGAAACTCGATCCAGCCACTTATTGGGATCTCAAGATTCCAATGTTGTAGAACGACTAGAATCTTATTCCTTTAAACAAGGAAGAAAAATAAACTTGATATTTTGGTAGCTGAATTCCAGGACCAGCAGGTTTTCCTATTTTTCCTGCAATAGTGTTGCACATGTCTACATATTAGCTTCCAAACTAAATTTAAATTATTTACATACCCTGGGTTCACATATCCCACTGTACTGCCATGTTTTGCTTTCGTTTTTCTGCCACATCCCTCTTCTTCTTCCCAGCCCATGCCAGAAGCAGATCTGGGGTAACAGTTTTGGAGTTCTTCGTGGTCTTCTCCCTAAAAAGCCAACAAGCTGATGTGTTTCACCAGTCTTTTTTCTGATGTATTGTCAAATGACGTGGGTGATCAACCAGCTTCTGTTGGCCATTCTAGGCCAAGTGAAGGCATGTCCCCTTTCCTTCCATTTGGGGGATGCTGTCCTCCAAGACTTTTCTGCTTGGACACTGGGAGAGTGCATCCTTCAATTGGGAGAGTCTGCAACCTTCAAACAATCCTCTTTCCTTGGATCCAATAAACTTCTGAGCTTTCCCTACCCAGAGACCTGGAGTAGCCCAGACAGCAATGAACCTGTTGAGATGTTGGACCATGAAGTGGGAGAAAAGAAGCTGCCTTTATCTTACATCATGGTTGAACTCTAGCACGACCCTGCACCCATCAGCTGTGGCTTGGGCTGTTTTGAACTCTGGTTGAGAACCTCTGGTCTACATCAGTAGATGGCTTCTTGTTTTGGATTATTTCGGGGATCCCTATCACAAGAAAGGGGTTGGATTAGATAACCCATAAGATCCTTCCAATGCATAGGTTTTGTTTTGTGTCTCTTCTCTTCTGTGAACTATTTTTTGAAGACTTTGCACATTTTCTTGTAGGCTGCTAGGTATTAAAACTTGCACTAGCAACAAAGAGAAATTTGGTACCAAAATCACACTCTGGGGAACAGGACCTGGTTTAAACTAAGCCTTGCAGATGGCTATTCTGATGAAGAGCAGCCTCTACAAGCATGTTAAAATAAGGAACAGCAAGGAGCCCATTTGTTCCCCTATCGAAATGACTTTCCAGTATTATTTTCTCCTTTATAGTTAAGAAATCTGGAATATTGCCATTGTGGGACATGCTTATTTATTTATCCACGTTTGTTTGAAGAATCTTAGTGGACTGACTCCTTCTTCAGCTGAGAGATAGAATGACAGACCCACAATCACTGTGGGACTTGCAGGATGGAGCAGGAATCTGACATCTGCTCTCTCTGGTGTGCTGTGCATCCTTTGGGCTGTCTGTTGTAGCACAGAAAAAATGAGACATGCTCTTCAGACAGGCCTGAGCTCTCTTCATGTTTACATTCACCACAATAATGTCTCTGCATTTTGGGTCAGAGTGGCCAACCAGGTGGAGCCAGGAAGCTCATAAGCATGCATGAGAAGACAACAGCTCTCCTCCATTATTGCTTCCACCTTCCTTGTACTGAATGTTTTATTTTCTTGTTTTCTGCCCAAAAGACGGAGCAGAGTATAAATACTAGAAATCAAGTCATTCAATGTTTGTAAGAGTATAGAGTGAACTTGGGACTATGATACCACTCCTTGCTGGACGGAGTACATAGAACAGATCCTTGTGAGAAAACGGAATTTGTCCATCGCCCATGAATCCCTCTGGAGGAGCAGGCACAGATGGCCCTGAAAAGGGGGAGTCAAAATGGCTCAGAGACCCTTTTCCAACTGGTGCCCCACTTAGAAATCTTAGGCTCCAATTCTTAGCATCATCAATGACTATGTTGGGGTACATAAAATCAAATGCAGATCTGTTTCCCAACAAAAAGTCTGAGGAAGACTCAGAAAGTAGCCCAATTGTTTTTAGTACATGGATGGTGTGTTTTTTCTTTCATGTGTGAGTCAAGGTGGTGTTTTGATTTCTAATTTTATCACATTAATGAAAAAGATGGATGTGTTTTTGTGCACTGGGGCTTCTGCCTCTTTTGCAAGCTGATTTATTTTGTGCCAGTCTTGTAGCAGATATATGGTACCATTTCCTTGTTTTACAGGGAAAGCTGGATGCCCTCTGGGTTCTTCTGAGGAAAGGTTACGACCGAGTGTCCGTCATGCGACCACAGCCAGGAGACAAGGTAATCCCCCTTCTCCTTCACTCACTGCATACAACTTCTTTGGGTCTCCTGCTTAAGCAGGAGGTTGGACTAGAAGACCTCCAAGGTCCCTTCCAACTCTGTTATTGTGTATTCGATATTGTTTGCCAGACAAATCCCCGAAGTGCAAGCAGCTAAGTTCCAGGGCTACTGATTATCTGAATCTGCATGTGGGAGGTTTCCTGTTCCTTTAAATTTTGTTCCATTGAAAAGCTGGTAAAAATCCCTCTGGACCAGTTTTATAACAAAGGAATGATGTAAGAATGAAGGCTAAAGAGATGCAAATGCTGCTCTATTGGATTCCTGCCAAGCATTCGTTTTGGGATTTTTGCTTCTTAGTTAACATGTATTTTCTGTGAAGTATTTTCTTGCTGCCTCACAAATTTCAAGTGCTCTGATAGAGAACACGAAACAAAACTGTAGATTAAAGGCAAACAATTAATTTCCATGTTCAACCCGTTTTGCAATCTAAAATATAACTATTGCTTAGCCTTAGCATCTTCATTGCCTCAAATTTGAAAGCAGTTCACAGTTAGCCAAATCTGCACAAGAGAACACAGACGAATGGAAACAACATTCAAAAACTGCACTTAGACAAGAACTTTGAACATCAGGCAAAATTTGCAAGCAGAATGTAAATCTTTGATGAAATATGCATAGCATACATACCAATTTAAGTGGAAATCAAGAACAGATCTGAAAAAATAAGAAACCAAGATCAACTTTTTAGGCGTAGTTGGAGAACAGTCCTGTTAGTCTATGAGCTCACAAAAGCTTATGCTACACCCCTGGTGTAGAGGCCAAAAACATCTGCAGAAAATATTATTTTGAAAACTGGTCCCAGTCAGACGCTGGTTGCATTGCACGCGAATTCTTGCCAACTGGGGTAGAATTTCATTTTCCAGAATCGCTCAGGAAGGCTGCTTTGTGCCACCAATGGAAGGAGATCCGGTAGGGGGCAAAGAAGTCAGGATGGCAGCCACAACACCTGGCAAGAATAAAGGGCAGAGCTGCCATCATGTGGTTGTGCCCCACAACTTAACTTTTTGGACCCAGCTCCCTGCAGAACCCCCTGGCCTGGCCAGTTTACAGTGGCAAAGGTGCCTGGGGAAATGTTCCTCAGCCCATGGTTCCCAGCCTCGCATCATTGAGGCAGGATTGCTCATTTTTGATTCTGCTGGTGAGGCAAGAGGCAAATCGCATTTCTGCAGCTGATTTTCAGGGATAGGGCTGAACAAAGTTGTGAAATGAATTTCCCTGAGGAAGGTTGCCACCAAGCACAGCTGTTTGCAATCAGAGCAAAGGACTATGGTCACGTGGTGGCTTACGGTCGGCTCACATTTTCAAGGGCCGAGGTTTGCAATTTTCTCGGCATTAATGAGGTTATTTTTACTTTCAAGAGGACAGCCCAAATGCCCACGTGCCTTCCCTACTTTAAAAGAGGCACGAGGGCTGTTTCCCCCCCCAAAAAAAACCAAGATTATTAATAGGATTGGGAATGGGGGCCTTAATTAATGGGTTGTACTTGTGGAATTCTGCAGCTGTGTTTTTCCTTTGCATGACAAGCGGTGGCTTTTTAAGGCGTTAGCTAGCCAGCTATTAGACGTGTTCAACCTTAAAGCTTCAGGAGCTCTTAATGCCCTTTATCTCTCCCCTCCCTCCAGTCTGTGCATTAAAAAGGGAAATTGCCAACTGCACAAACTTGCATGCAAAATAAGGTATGGAAGGAATTTCATTATCAAGAGCCGATATTCTTTGCTATATATGAATATTTATTACTTTCTATATAAAATACAGTTCTTTAACATCTAGGTAGCAATAAATACAGGTAGTCCTCGACTTACAACCATTCCTTTAGTGAAGGTTGAAAGTTACATCAGTGAAAAAAGTGACTTAGGACCATTTTTCACATCCCCACGGTCACGTGATCAGAATTCGAATGCTTGGCAAATGGCTCCTATTTACGACGGTCGCCGCGTCCCGGGGTCACATGATCAACTTTTGCGACCTGACAAGCAAAGTCAACGGGGAAGCCGGATGTACTTCACAACTGTGTTACTAGCTCAACAACCACAGTGATTCATTTCACAGTGGCCACAAAGGTCATAAAATGGGGCAAAGCTCGCTTAACAACGGTCTCACTTAGCTACATTACCAAATGCGTACGAGATCAATTCAAAACCTCCAAATTGCCATCCGGGTTTAGTTCACCTTCCTTCTGTGGATTTTGGAAATGGAAATTAAATAGGACACGCGGGACATTTTCATGTCAGTATATGCATTTATTTATGCATCCACAGCACGTATATTTGCAGCTTGTCAATATCTTTGCAGGGAGCCCCCCCTCCCTCCACACAAACAATATGTGGTCCCCCCAGTGCCAAGCATTTCCCCAAATGTGGTTAATGCTTAGGCAGGAACGGGGCCCCTGGATTTTAAAAGTTGAGCGTGTGGCACAGCCACATTCCCCCCCGGGGTGCAAATAGTTGATGTTTGTAAAACACAGCCTTGTGTTGGAGCATTCAGAGTCTCCTGTCTACTTTCTAATCCCCTCCATCCCCAAGAAGCCCACCCTGTCTTTGTTCCTCAATTCCGGGTCCAAATTCTGCTTTGTATCCCATCTGCTCTGGTGACCTCTTTGTGTTCTGGAAACATTTTACTTGATTTTGCAGGGGACCTCAGGAGCTCCAGTCAGATTAACCAGTGTTTTTTCTATCCCTCCTGAGCAGGCTTGTAGGCAAAACAAACTCAGGCATTGCTGTTTCTGGCTGGGGTTTCTGCCAGCGGCTATCATTTCTTCATGATTAAAATATCTGGACATGAAGAAATCCAACTGGACTAATCCTGCTTGAGCTGGCCTTCGGGGCCAAAGAGGAGAGGTGGGTCTGGATGGTGGAGACGCAGCTGGAGAACCATTGTGTTTAGTTTTGCTGAAGGCAAAGACAGACATGAGATCCCAGGATTATTTCCCGGATCAGAACGCAAAGGGCCTCGGAGAGCCAGCCCCGGCCAAAGGCTCTTGCGGAGCAAGCGCCAGATCTAGGGCACCGCTCTGCGTCACAAGCACAGGATGTCCTCGGCTTACGGTCACCATAGAGCCCAACATTTTTCTTGTTAAGCAAGATAGTTGTTAAGTGAGTTTTGCAGTTTTGCTGTCCTCTCCCCAAGGCATTCAGAATTGGCAGTGTGTCCTGTGTTTGCTTTGTCCTACTGGAAGGTCTCATTTTTTTTTTGCTTGTCTTTCAGGGACGCTGCATTACCTTCACCCGAGTGAAGACCTTCCAGGCACCACCCAAGTACCCGCTCAACAACACCTACCTCCCCCCCCCCCCCCCCCCCNGCTGCTTCCGCCCCCTCCTCATGCTCCTCCCCCCAACCGGGCTCCGCCTCCTTCCCGCCCCCCTCCCCGCCCTTCCATCTAAGGTCCAAGCCGCTCTCTCCCAGAAGCATTTCTCAAGCCATCCTCAACTGTACTGTTGCAACTCCATTCACAGACGTGGCCTTTGCGTTCTGGGCAATGAAAAGAAGAAACTGCCTTTATTGTTACTTTTTTTTAAGAAAGGAAAAAAACTCTGATGCCTCAACTTTACTGGAAATCTCAAATCACCTGTTTTCAGTTCCAAAAGAATTTCTGCAATTCGAAGGAAGGAAGGAAGGAAGAAAAGGAAGGAAGGAAGGAAGGAAGGAAGGAAGGAAGGAAGGAAGGAAGGAAAGAAGGAAAGAAGGAAAGAAGGAAGGAAGGAAGACTGTGGGATAAAGATGGGAGAAAATGGCATCACTGGGCAAAGCCAGTAGTCCCTGGAAAATGGCTTTCCCCATGAATTAGTGGTGGGAATATCTGGAGAAGAGCCTGCCTGTGATCACAGAATCCACTGCAGTCCAACACAATGCCCTTCCTATCAACTGGGCCGATGCTGCTGGAATTTTCCACCAGAGGGATGATAATTTTTCATGGGCCTGGACTGGGTGTGTTGCTGCAAGAGTGAGAGCTGTTACAGTGAAATACAGGTTACGGTAATGGATGGAGAGCAGAAAGACTCGGGGGGCCTTCCACTTTGCAAAACAAAAATGAAACCACATAGCTTTTCAGCTAACGACTGGCGATCGATGGAGGAAGCTGGAGAACCAGACTGGGGTGGGAAGAGTTCCACCATCCTCTGAGGATACATTGGCAGACATCCTGTGCAATGTCAAAATACCTGAGAGCGTCAAGAAGCAGTTGATTTTATAGGAGGACACAAAACAGCTGGAAATAGCCAAACACGCACTCCTCCTCAGATTCTTCTTAACATAGGTGACCAAATGGGTCAAATTCTGGGTGAAGTTTCCTGCTGGCCAGCTTAGAAAAATAACCAGCCCAGATTGACAGCAGGACACCAGAGTCAACCAGGGCGAGATACAGACAGAACTGGATTAACATTACAATTATATACGCTGAGTGTTTTTTTTTCCTTTTTTCTGAATAACTATGGTTAGACGCCGATTGTCAGAGACTTCCAGGTACAGTTTATATTATGCAATTGCTCTGCTCTAAAACAGATTCCTATGCAGGGGGGGTGGGGGGGTAGGGGCATTAAGACAGCTCTATTTCTATTTCTACATTGACCACTGGTTTGTTTTTTCATTTTTTGTTCGCTTGTTTTCTGTTGCCATAAAAATAGCAATCCAGAAGGGAAAAATGAAAGAACGAAGAGAGTTGATAGTGCTGGAAAACGATTGCCTTTTTGGAGGTGTTAACAAAGATTTTTTTTTTTTCCAGCGGGTTCATATACCAGTATGTTGACATGGTTTCGTGGATTGTGTAATGGATGTCTAGAATGAGAGCTGGGGCAGAGAGAATTTTTCTGGAGGTGTTCTAGATCTCAGTCTGAGTTATATTTTCTCGGAAATAGAAGGATCCCAGGAAATAGAAAGAGGCCAGCAGAAGCAGGGGAGGGTCTGATGATGTTGCCCTGGCTGGGTTCACTCATCAGATCAGCCCAGGTTCAAATGGGATGGAATGGGGCTGTTTTCATGGCCCCTCTGCATTTTGCCAAGGGAGGCAAACTATCCAGGTGCTCCAGGATGCCCTGATAGCATTTTGTTCTTCTTTGTGCGTTATAAATTGGGACAGGGGGTGAACCAGTTTAAGGCCACTGGTCCTGCTCAACATCACCGGCAGGAAAGCACGCAAGACCCTCCCTTGGGAGCCGAGGATGTAATAGGGAGCAGCGACTTTCTGAGTTCATGCACACCAAATGTTTGAATTTTTATGCCACTTTAACTAGTGGGTGCTTTCCGGAAGGACAACTTAAGTAAACATCGTCCTCTGCGCTCATCAGATTACTTCCAAAAGCTAAAGTTAAGCATTTTGCACTTTTATGGCTTCAGTGGTGCAACTTTTCATCCCTTGGCTTAAGCATCCTTCATTTAAGAATAACTCAATGCTACCTGACAGTATTTTACTTTGGTTGGCTTGAGCTCCTGAATTGCCACCAGGTTAGATTGCTCTTCAGGCATGGCAATGTGGGTGTTGCGGGTGGGGTCAAAAAACCCAAAAGATGATGGCTAGAACGACAGGGTTAAAGCACCACCTCTCTGCCTGATGCGTCTTGCATCCGTGTGCTTAAATAAGGGATGGGCTTTACTTGTGCAGTCATGGCTGCCATCTTGACTTTTCTGACCCTTCTTGCAAGGAGTCTGCAGAGGAATTAATAGGAACCTGCATGGACCATGTATCTCCCCGTCATATTTGTGTGGGCTCTACAGCTGGAAGATTTTTCTTGGAAAGCCTGGTTGTTAGGTGACACGTGTGCTTAATGTCAGCAGTAAGCCCAAAAAGAAGAGGAACATCAATTTGTACCTTTGCCAGGGCAGAGTTTTGCTCAAAGGGATAACATGCCCAACTGCCCTGTAATGAAATGCAGAAGGTTCTGTTGTGTGCAAAGCACACACCCATCTCTGCAAGGTGACGTGTGAAAGTCAGTTTTTTAAAAAAAGAATGGACCACTCATGGAGTCTTTTTGGGAGTTCCTACCTGGCTTTTGACTGCACATTACAATGATTAAACTCAATAGGACCTTTTCTAAGGCTGAAGCTGAAGCTTTCAACCCGATCTATTTTCATGCCAGCAGAGACAGATTTTTTTCAGTGATCTACTAACAACAAACTGTAAAACTATAAAACAAGCGATGGTCTCTGCTTATTCCATCCTCAAAGAACAAAGCATGAAAAGACATGGTGGACATTAAGCATGAAAACCCAATGTCCTGGGGGGGGAAAGTTCTCCTTTTGGGGGGACACTTACCCAGAGCTGCTTCTTCAGCACTACAGAAAGATTCAATTGCCTTTTTCCATAGATCTTTCTTCCAGAACAGATAACTGCTGTGTCTGCAGGCAGAACAGTGAAGATCTCCCTCAACACACAAGCACACACGTGCATCCCTTTGGCTTCTGCCATGTGAGATCCCTCTTGAGAAATATCCTTTCATTGGATTGCAGCTTGTGATCAATTTGATCACTGGGGTTTACCTCTTAGGGAAGCCGTAACACCCGGGTTGGCTGATTAGCAATGATTGGGCACAATCCACTTGAGTAGCTCCTTAAGTTTCTTCCAGATGGAGCTTGCTGGGTATCAAGAAGCCAGCAGAGATGGGTGGGAACTCCAGAAAAGTAGTTCCGTGGTTTTGTCGGGATTTGTCAGGAAGACGACTCAACAGCAGAGCGATATACCCAGCGGAGGTAAAATAAAGTCAAGTTGGTGATCACAAACTCTGTGACCAAAGCTTTACCTTTTTAGGTGTTATAAAAAGGTTGGGTCTTCCATTGCATGGCCTGCATCTTGACTTTGCCCCCTCCCCATGGATATCCTCTCTTCAGACTGTGCTCAGAAATATTATTGCTGTAGTCGTGTCATATAAAAGTAGGCTTTACTCACTATAATTAACAGTGCCTCAAAATGTGCCAAAATGCTTTGAAAAACAAACCCAGCATTTTTTATTGCTAACTGCATGGGGACAACTTGAGAGGGAGTTCAATTTTAAATAGCATCTGGTTTTATTAAAAGCTTTCGTCTTCTCAATTCTAGATTCAAAAAGAATATAAATTCCTAGGGTAACAGGGAAAGGATACGAAATAATAATAAAAAAAATGTAAATCCAGACAAAGATACACAAATACAAATATGCAAAAGTTCTGTGCACGAGTGAAAAGCAAAATTCCAAATCTGTGGTGTATATATTATTATTGTGTGCTTGCCATATTTTAAATGGAAGCATTTCCTATTCTGTATGGATAAAAGATCTTGTTTTTTTTTTCACATTGTAGTAAATTATTATAAAGCCAATGATATTTCATGGCATATTATTGTATCAAGCTGTGCTTGTTTATTTTTTTTCTCTTTATGGTTGTATTGCTTTTATTAATGTATAAATATTGTCTGTAAACGACAAGCACCTCCTTTACAAAGCATTAATGGTGATCACCGGCCCTCTTCCACTCAACCAGCAAGAAAGCTGCTGGACAGCAATTGAGGGCTTCTGTGGGGAACCTGCCCATTCTGTGCCCTGGACTCCCATTGATTTGGTTGAAGTCCCATTGCAGGAGAAACACCCACCCTCCATCCCCCTCCCCCACCCCCACATTAGGAGAGACTGACCCATGGCAGCACAAGCCAGAACTGGAAAAAGCCACAGGGTTTCGCATGCTGGGAAGGGCGTCTGGTGCATCTCCATTCCTTGGCGATGGCGATGACATCCTGCAGAAGCAATTCAAATGTCCTCATTCCCCATCTCAGGGACCCCCCAAAATTCAGGCAGCTGCTGTTACAGATTGTGCCCAACACTTCTACAAGGTGCTATGGATCTGAGCAGAATGAGCTGTTTGCAAGACCTGAATCCAAGCAAGGCTTGAGTAGGAGGAACCTTCTAAGTCTAAATGGAGGCTTCCAAGATGTGACCATGTCAATAGAGCAACGGGCGTGTTGGGCCAGCGCTGCCGAGAGTGCTCTTTCCCAGGGCTCGGGATACGCAGGCCCACAATTGCTAAGACGGCTTCTCTTTCCCTTTCTTAATGTTCCCGGGTGACGTAAGAGCCAACGGGATCAGCTCAAAGCATTCCAGCACCTGGAACTGAGAAGCCAAGACTGGAAGGGCTCAACTTGGGACGGTGACACTTAATGTTACGTGACGGTGAGGTTGAACTGGGGTTTGTACTATGTATGGACATACAGTACTATGTAGGTATTTTCTCTTACTAGGAAGCCCTTGGGCCTCATTATGTTAAACGATGCAAAATTAGCCATTCTAAAGAATTCTTTGCAGAATGGAACAAGATTGGATTCAACTGAATAGCACTGCATGGTTTATTTTCTCATAAAAGTTTTGGACATATTGTATTCTTTGAAAAGTTTTACAGATCAGCAGATGACAACCGATCAGTCTTGGTGAACGAATATGTCATCCATGGGATTATGAATTCGAGGAGTCAGAGTGGTCTAGGGACTCCTGCTTGAGCAGGATGTTGGACTAGAAGACCTTGAAGGTCCCTCCCAACCCCGCTATTCTGCACCCAGCTCAGTGGGCCAAACGCAGGAGACCAGAAAGGGCCACCAATCTAGGCCCTGTGGGAAGACCGGATGGAAACCACAGATGGGGCAGCCGGTGCAGCGGATGGAAATCAGGCAATTCATGATTCTTCAGCCAGCATAAACAAATTATTCTGGGCCTTTGGCTAGTTTGCATGAGTTGTTTTTTTTAATTAAATGCAGTCATTATTCTGTCAGTTCTGATGTTATTAAAAAAAAATAATCTGAGCTTTGGTTTTTATGTTCAATTTGTAGAAAAAAGGAAGTGATGGATGAGGCAGCCCCTCCCTTTCCTGCTCCCCCCCCCAAAAAATATTTGGTCTTGTATTTGTAGAGGAATCCTCATCCAATGACAGCAGCTGAATAATTTACACCAATGATTTAATAGCTTTATGGGCCCCATCGGCTCAGTGGACGTTTATGCGTGCAATTTTAATTCTAAAATATCACATCATTTAAGGGTTTATATAGAGACCATTAAGTCCAACTTACTGATCAGTGTAGAAATCCACATTCGTGTCAAAGACTTCCCAAAAAATAGCTGTGCAGCAACCTCTGCTTGAACACACACACACACACAGATTGTTAGATCCTTGTCAAGCACATATGGAGATTTTCCCAATGTTCTACCAGAACAACTTGAACAGTTGCTGGGACCACACAAGCTGCTCCATCAGCCACATTCCAGCATGGTGTCTTGTGTTTAGCCAAAGTTATCTTGCTTAGACCATTAGAGTTCATAGACCAGGCTCCACTGACAATGAACGTCTACTGGCCCAGGAGACGGTGTTTGAGGGAAACCCCCACCCCAAGAGATGAACCACATTAAGAGGCCAGAAATAGATGGTGAATACTTGGCAAGTTAGCCAAGAATGTGGGGCATGGGTGGTTTTGCCTGCCTTGAGGGGGTTCTGCAGATTCAGCCCAATTGGGCCAATTTGGGAGGTGACTGGCCATTTGCAGAGTTCGTCGAAAGCTGACCGGGTGGAATACGAAGCCGCCTCAAAGTTGCAAATATCTGCAAAAAAATTATTTTTTTTATAGCAAAAGCTTGGGAAGAAAGTGCAGAAGATCATGGCTGTAATAGTGTGAATACAGCTTTGGTCTCTTTTTTAGATGTGTAAAAACGGGGTGAGGCTTTGATAACAGAGTCAGGGCTGTTCCGTGCCTCAGTTGGAGAACAAAACCCAGCCAAAATAATATACCCTTTGCAGGGAATTCATAAAATGAGTCCAACCCATGATTGGGTCAGGATGAAAGGCAGGCCTAACCATGCAGGCCTTTCCCCTTTTACAATTTTTACCAAAGCCCACCTAAGACCAAATCTGAGTCATTGTGGGTGGCACGTGTCCCTGAAGGAACCCCAGTGATCCAAGGATGCTCAAGTAAAGAAGAGTATGCACTTGTCTTTATTCAAGGTACAAAAACAAAATCAGGAGAACAACTGAAATGATAAACGTTATACACAAAACGAACTATGGTCCCATCAACCAAGACAAGCTGAATACATTCAGAAAAAGAAAGTGAACCGGTTGCCCACCTCTTTCCATCGTCTCACACACACACACACACACACACACACAGGCCAACTTCCCTCAGCCCAGGCCAGCACTGAACTGACCCCAGGAGGCACAGGACACAAGGCCAGGTGCCCCGGAAAGCGGCCCCCAACCTTTCCGGTTTTGCGGACTGGTGGGGGGGGGGGGAGGAAAGGGTGCACACACTCCATTTGCATGAGTGGCGGGCACTCGCACGTGTGAAGCTCAGCCACTGCTTGCACAAATGGAGCTTCACACGCACGATATTGCCCCGCAGCTTGTGCAAATGGAGCTGTGCACACACGCTCGCCTGCCACTTGAGCGGCCTTGTTCCAATGTTGGCTTCCAACAGGTGTGGCCTCTCTTTTCTGTTCAGCGGTTCTCAGACTTAAGAGTAGCAGAGACCAAGCTGAGTGAAGAGCCCCCTGCAGCCCTCCTAAGGCTTCTGACTATGTTATGGCAGCTCAGATGGGAACCAGCGTCCCCTGAGAAGAATGGAGACCGAGCATCTGGACATTACACAAATGCCAACGTTGGCCAAGAAACTTCTTTTTATAATAACATTTCTGAACTTTCCAGTGTTCACTACAAACTACCATTTCTTTCATGAGGGAAAAGCATCATTTTAGGATGAATATGCGTGCTGTAGACTCCTATGCACTTAGCAAGCAGTCCTTAAATTAGCTTCTACCTAATGGATGCTGCTGGTCATCTTCCCCCCCCCCCCCAAGTGCACAGTGAGGAAAGAAGGATGGTCAATGTCTCTCTGTGTCATCCTATTAGGATAAAAAGGTGCCGAGAACAGGCCTAGATTCAGCTTACCTCTATATTCTGACACAGTTTAAATTTCTGTTAACTTTCTGTGCAATTTGCCTTTTCTCCACTCTCGAAAGACATCAATGAAAGCCTTTTTGGTGCCAATGTCTGTCCCATTAACTAATGAGAAGTTGAAGGGCGGCATATTTTGGTCACTCTGGATTTTTATTATGTTCACATCCTCTAGAGATTTCAGAGCTATATGATATGTTTCCTGAGGCATCCATTTATCTTTGGTCCTCTCCTTATGTCGAATGCCTTCCCTGCTGAATTATTCCCATTGGGGTCATTTTAGAATCATTTTAGCTCTTGCCCACCGCAGAAATATCAGCATAATATCCACAAGAACAGAGGACTGATCTAGTTTGAAAGACTGTTCAAAGCCAACACTCTGAACTGAAAGAAAAGCTGCCCGTTTCTGATAACTGGAGAAGCACGGGGCCTTGAGATGGGGTTTCGCTGAGGCCCCTCCAACTTAAAATCCAGAGGTGTTTTCCCTCTTTTTATCAGGAATAGGAATGCTACACAGAGCAGACCTAAAATATGTCCAGATGGAAAACACAACTCCCTTGTTCGTCCCTGGTATCCAGGTTCACTGGAGGACACCTATTCCGACTCTACTGCTGCCCCTGGAGTCCACCACCACGCACCTTCACGGATCAAGGGAAGCAGGAGAAGGACTGAAGGGTTGCCTGGCCAGGTGCTGGTTCGCCTTCAGCCACACCAGTAGTTCAAGACAGACTTTTTTTCTCATTGCACCTTCAAATGCTGACATTTCTCTTTGATGCATTGAAAAATAAATTCCTTGAAAAATGGAAATTGACCTTGTTTGGAGAAAAGGGATTTCTCTGCTCCTCACTTAAAAATGCCAAGGTTAAATCAACCTGCCGTCATTTGACTTGATTCCCATTAAAGAGTGACACAGGGCCTTCACCTCAGAAGGACCAGCTATGCAGATCTCTGTTTATGGATGGGGGGAGGTACTTTTACATCCTTTTGCAGGTCTGGGGGCGTAATACCAAACTCCAAAATGCAGCCTTTGCAAGCACTTTTGGGAAAGAAGGCAAGTCCTTATCTCTCATTTGCAATTTCATTTCCAACCCTGCAAGAGCTCACCCCCTCTGAATGTCCTAGAGATAACTAGGAAATGAGACAATTTTATATAACCGACGAGGATTACAACAAACAATTTAAAAGAAAAAAAAAGGGGGGGGGAACAGTACTCTTGACTTTGCTGCCACTGAACAATGCTACTAGGAGCTTATGGATTCAAATCCTAACTATCACAAATGCAACAATTACAGTATAAAGATTTTTCTAGATTGGAAGTAAGAATTGATCACAGGAGAAGGTTTAAAATCAGCGTTTTTCGGTACCAAAAGTGAAGGGGAAGGAATCTCTTGTCAACCTTGGGCAAGCATCTCATTCAACTGTAACAGATTTGGCCAAGTTTCTTGGAAAGTCAACCTGGAAGAATGAAAATGATATAAAAACTATTAAAATCTTTTTTCACAGTAAAAAATTAAGGATGCTTGATGGTTCCTCAGCTGTAGCTTAGCTCGGAAGTCACGAATGCCCGCTCTTACATTTAGCCTAGCTCAGGGGTAGGCAACCTTGGCTCTTTTATGACTCGTGGACTTCAACTCCCAGAATTCCTGAGCCAGCCATGCTGAGGGGAAAGGGAGAGGTTTCCAAGCTGAGCCAGGGCTGGCTGAGGAATTCTGGGAGTTGAAGTCCACGAGTCATAAAAGAGCCAAGGTTGCCTACCCCTGGCCTAGCTGATTCCCAGGAATTTGCTGTGTCCACTTAACCCCCTGACATCCTAGCCTGAAGTGAGTTATTGAACTTCTGGGGTTAACTGGGAAGAGGAGAGTGAGAGGGGCTTCTGAAGAGTTGTAACTTACATCGTAGCCTCTGAGCACAGCCAGGTGGAAAGCCAGCAGCTGTAAAGGAATCACACTCAGGATGCCCTGCAGACAGTCCACCGAATGGGGGACTTTGATGGTTCGCTTGTTATTCTTGATGGTCTCAATATCTTCCTTACCACAAATCACGACAGGCCGCCCCTATGAAAATTAAACAAAAGGAGTGAACAGAGAAGTCTCTACTGACTCAATCTAGCCTCAAAGACACCCATGGGGGCCATCCGTGAGGACTGGACTCAAAAGAGTCAAACTATATGGTTGTGCCTGCCATCTTGCCTTTCTTTGATGCCCAGCCCTCTCCAGGACAGCACCTCCTCTTTGCTGGTTCCTTAAGGGTCCAATTAAATTTGAATGGTTTGGGGAACTGTCTTCAATGGTGGGCTGGTTGGTGACTTGCTAGCCTTTCCGTTCCATTCCCAATGGACACCTTGACTTGGTGTCTCTGGAAGGTATGATGAGCAGTCAGCCTCCCTCCTCCCGTTCAGCTCCCTCCCCCCCACAGTTCATGGCAGACTAGCAGCTGGCGGATGCGAAACGCAGGCATAAGATGGCAGTTCTGACATCCACCAAGAAGCTCCCATGTGGGCCTCCTCCAGCTGAAACGAGGTCCTTCATCTTTCTGAGGGGAACATCTGCTTTGTTTTGTTAACAGCCTGCTATTTTTTTCATTAGAAAGCAGACAGCTTCACACCTGAAAGTGACTAAAATACAGTCAGCAGGGCTGATTACCCCATTCAATATTCCCAGGGGGGGGGAGAAGACACCACTTTGCTCACCTGCCGTGCCATCACCTGCTGCAGCGCATTCTGGCATTTGGCATAGGTGTTGTCCCTCATGATGATCATAATCACGGGCATCAGCTTATCCACCAAGGCGAGGGGGCCATGCTTCAGTTCCCCAGCCAGGATGCCTTCCGAGTGCATGTAGGTGATCTCTTTGATTTTCTAAGCAGAAGGACCCCTTCGTTACTCTCAGCTGCCTTGGTCGAGAACCAAAGTTTTCCCTGTTCTCGAACTTTCAAGACATCTACTATTTGTCAAGAGAAAGTCACTGTGAAACCTCTATGTGAATTCCTTGAAAAAAAGAGGGGCCCAGAACAACTCCTTCCCTTAAGCTTCCTTCCTTCTGAGAAAAGGGGAAACAGTGAAGGAAGAACATTGTGGTAAGGCTTCCACAGAGGATCAGCCAGAACAAACCCTTTGCTTTGTTCTCCTGTAGAGTGGAGTGGAATGGAGTAATAATAGTAGAGTAGAGTAGAGTAGAGTAGAGTAGAGTAGAGTAGAGTAGAGTAGAGTAGAGTAGAGTAGAGTAGAGTAGAGTAGAGTAGAGTAGAGTAGAGTAGAGTAGAGTAGAGTAAAATGGAATGGAATGGAATGGAATGAAATGAAATGAAATGGGATGGGATGGAATAGAATAGAATAGAATAGAATAGAATAGAATAGAATAGAATAGAATAGAATAGAATAGAATAGAATAGGACTACCAAGGAGACGCCACTTTCCGGACTGTGCCCCATCTCTAACATTTTGTGAACCAGCCCACTCAGAGGATGCTTCTGAATAAAGTTTGTCCTGCACAAGACCTATTTGAAATGAGGGCTATCTTGAAACACACTGGGATGGGTTTATCATTCCAGAAACAGGGATGACTGGAAGGCAATGGGGGGTATCCCCCCAAAAAGTCAAATGGTACAAATATGGCACTTACAACCAATGCAAAAAATCTTGATTCCCATCTGGGCAGATACACCTGCCCAGAAATTCCTCTGTGTATCTGCAAAGCATTAGAGGAGACTGAAGATAAACTCAGGTGGGGAGCAGAGCTCCAGTGTGGTCCCTACATCTTAAGTTCTGCTAGAAAAGAAAGCATCCCACCAGCTACAGAGCCTTATGCTTTGACCATCTTCAAGTGGTCAAAGTTGAGAAACCCTGGTTTAGATCTTTCGCTTTCAAAGCCTGTCCACATTCTGGTCTTTGGTACCCCTCCATGATTTATGAATGACCATGTCTGGCAGGCTTCTCTTTCACTACCACCCCCGCTTTATCTGCCCCAAGGGACTAGGAACATGTCTCTCTCCAACTGGTGCAACTGCAGCTGCCAGTGAGCCGTGTTCACGAAGATGTGGGTTCAAGAGGATGCTCACCAGGGCGCCCTCCAGGCAGGTTGCGTAGTGATAGCCCCGCCCCATAATGAGGATGGACTTCTGGTGGTAGAGCTCTGTGGCCAGTTTCTGGATCTCATCGTCCATGCTCAGCACTTCTTTAATCAAGTCTATCAAAAGCACAAGAAGAGGCAATGCGTCAAAAGCACACAACTCGCCCCGGCTACTGAGTGTTCAGAGACCTTTGAAAGGGGGAGGGGGGAATAGAAGATCTCTGAGGTCCCTTCCAACTCTTATTATTCTACGTTTTATGTTCTACCTGCCCCAAAGGCAGTTCACCTCCCTTCACACATATCTCCCTGTGCGGAGGACACACTAGTCAAAATCCCATTTGCGTGTATTTATTTAAATGTGTGCAGCATCTCGCATAATTAAACTCTGGGTGGCTCACCAGTGGAAGCAAGACTCAGAGGAATCAAATTAAAATATTCAAAATGACCTTGCTGGTCACGTGTACCTACCTGGCAACAGCTTGAGGCCTCGCATTATTTCTTTCCTCCGTTCTTGCATAGAAATTCTGTCGTCGCACATCATGAGCGCAAACATTACTAAGGACACAAACTGGCTTGTGTAGGCCTGGAGAAGAGAGGAGAATAAGGCGGCCTGTGAAGCAGAAGCCTTTAAGGGCCCCTTAAAGCCAGTTCAGGAAATGCCTGGAAGGCCAGCCGTCTTCTCCCCTTCCTCATCATTGGGAACGGAGGGACTGTAAGGAAGCCAGATTCACCTAACAATCACGTTGCTAACTTAACAACTGCAATGGTTCACTTAACAACCCTGGCAAGGAAGGTCGTAAAATGGAGCAAAATTCACTTAACAGCTGTCTTGCTTCGCAGCAGAAATTTTGGGCTCACTCGAGGTCATAAATCACGGACTACGACATTGTCAGCTTTTCTAAGAATTGTTTGGGTCAGGGGGTAGGCAACCTTGGCTCTTTTATGACTCGTGGACTTCAATGCTGGCTCAGAAATTCTGGGAGTTGAAGTCCACGAGTCATAAAAGAGCCAAGGTTGCCTACCCCTGGTTTGGGTTAACTTCCATTTCTTATCTCGAACGGTGACTCCATTCTCCAGGAATGCAAGCTCAGCTGGGAAAATAATTCAATGAGCCACATCTGGCCCTTCTGGGCTCTGGCCAGCAGGAATTGGAACGCTGACCACCCAAAGCTGCCACCAAGCCCAGAGTGCCCCCAAATGCCATCAGGACAAGAACCTTCCCCAAAGAACGCCAAGGAGGGAAGGCTGGACGTGGGTTGACCAGGCCTGGATTCCGGCCCCTTGCAGACGCAGCTCCCCGGAGCCCCCTGCCTCAAGCTAACCAGGATTGATTTGGCTTTGCTCAGCTCCTCAGAGACCAGGCGAGGCACAGAGGAAGCTACGCTCTTCTCCCGATAATGAGGGGTCAGGAAAAGGTTCAGCCCTCTGGCTGGTCTTTCGCTTTGTTCAACTGCTTTAGTCTGCTTGGGTTCTGGATGGCCTCCATCCTCCGCCAAGCCCCCTTCTCCGGGGCTCTGGGTGGGGCACCCCTGCCAGGGAGGCCCTTCTGCTGGAGAATCCGTGGGGAGTGGAGAAGCCCTGGGCCCCTCTCTCCGGGGCAAGGCAGCTGCCCCCAACCTTCTCCCTCTTTTTCAAGAACCCAGAGATCAATCTGTCTCCACCAAATTCCAATCCCCTTTTTGAGCTGGGAGGCACAAATGCATAGTAATCCAAAATAGATTTAGCCTCCCGAGTTCTGGGCTGGATCTCTCATTGAGGGTGGCACAGAGCTTGAGTTCGGAGGAAAAGACAGCTTTACATTTTGGTTCAGCCACAAACTATGAGTTACTGTTCTCACCTGTCCTGCCTTTTCTGACTACACCTAAAACAGAGGCCCTTTCAGAATGCAGGTGGAGGATAGTTAATTCTCGGGACCCCTCCTGTCCTTAAGAGCAGCAGAAGGGGCCAGGGGCCGTCTGCACGGGTACCGAGAGGGAGGCCTATTAAGATGGTGCACCTTGTGCAAACCTGCTTGTCTGAGTTCACTTTACGCACAGGATCCTCACCTTTGTACTGGCCACCCCAATCTCTGGCCCGGCGTTGATGTGCACCCCGCAGTCCGTCTCCCGTGAAATGGAGCTCCCAACGGTGTTGGTGATGCCCACCGTGAGGGCTCCCCTCTCCTTGCAGTACCGAAGGGCCATCAACGTGTCGGCCGTCTCCCCTGACGAGAGAGATGGACGTGGTCAATCAAGAAGGGGCTCCCACCAAGTGCCGAAGATCTGTCAGTGCAGGGGCCTTAGTCCTCCATTCATTGTGAACAGGGGACACACCTCAGACACAGCCAGATTAAGCTCTGCATCGGCTCTCCCAAGCGACAGGTTCTCACCCGGCTTCTTTGGGGCTGTCAGGGCTCAGCAGAAGCGCCAGGCTCTCGCTGGAGCTCAGTGCTGATCCTGGCACTTCTGCTGAGCCCCAAAGAAGCGCCAATCAGCTGGAGCCCTGCCCTTACTCTGCAGAGGGCAGATCCCCATCACCAGGGGTCTTCCTGCTGCACTGTTTCAGACAAAGGGGGGCTCCAGTGAGAAGGTGGTGAAGGAAGAAGATTTAAGCAAGGTTAGCAACCAGAGTGGGGATCCCCCCCCCAAACAAAGGTGCTTCGTGGGTAACCTCCCAGCATGACGGTTTTCGTTCTCGTGAGCATTTCTGTTGAGAATTGGCAGGGGGTGGGCTGTTTGGTTTTTATCTCCCCCCCCCCGCCCCGGTCTGCTGGGTGGTTGCAGATTTTGGTCACTTTTGTCGTGCTGGGTGGTTACCCATGAAGCACGTTTTTTGGGGGGGATCCCCACTCCGATTGCTAAACTTGCTTAAACCCTCTTCCTCCTCCTTCTCATACAATCATTTTGCTAAGAAGGCATATGGTGCAGGCACCCCCAACCCTTCTTCAGATGTTCTTGATTCCCTCAGCCCTAGACCACATGGCTAAGAGAAGGCATTCGTTATGATCTGCCATTATTGGAGGGCCGAATATATTCATACAATTCTTCTACCTTGAATAAAAAATATACTTTGCTCCCTTGGAGTGAAGTGCTAATAGAGACTTTAGCCACCGTAAAGTTGGATATATGCAGGTATCCAACTTTATGGAGGTGAAAGTTGGATTTATGCACTATCTTAAAAAAAAAAAAACAATCTACAAGATAGGCGTGTTGCTAAAACCCTGGGTGAACTCTGCACTCTTTTCTCAGCCGACCTCCTGCTCGCAGAGGCCTCCCTTGGCCGTCCCACCTGACTGGCTAATGAAAAAGCAGACGTCGTCGCGGAAGACGGGAGTATTCCTGTCCAGGAAGTCACTGGCCAGCTCCACCATGACAGGCAGTTCGGTCAGTTCTTCCAGCACTTGGCGAGTCTGGGGGAGCAAGGGGGGAGGACGACGGGGAGGGGAAGAAAGAAGCAGGACATAAGATTAAACTAAAGCATATTTTTGTGCATATTATTTATTCCACCCACAGGCTGGTAAATTAAGGATCTCATAGAAGTTCTTCCTGTTTTAATAGTTCCAGAGGTCTAACTGTTCAAAGCCTCAGAATGAGGTGCTTGGCACTAGCAAAACACCAGTGAAACACATAAAAAGGACACAAGGCTTCAGCTACATGGTTGTGGGTGTCATTTTGATTTTTTGGGACCCCCTGCCTACCATCGAAAAAAAACCTGGAGTCTCAATAGCATGACTGACGTTATCCTGGCCCAGGGCATTGCTAATAGTTCAAAAACTTTGAAATGCTATTTGAGTTCAGCTACTCACAGCAACGCCTGCATGGTAGCTTGTCCCACAAGCAATGAGGATCAGACGCCGGCATCTCTGAATCTCCTTGATGTGGTCTTTCAGGCCCCCAAGATTCACTGCGATAAATAACAATGCAAAGCCCTGAGGAAAATGGCCCAGAGAAAAGCAGGACAGCTTCAGAGCAAAGGACCCCGCAGGATTTCTTTAGCAATTCTTACCAAAGGCTCCACCCCTCACCCCAAAGAGAATTGGTCAGTAACAAAATATGCTCCAAGGCCTGCCAAAGCAACCTCCAGAGATAAACAGCACAACAGCCAGAGGCATTGATCACGGGACAAGTTGGCTCACAGCAAGTTTACTAGTCAAAAGTAAAAGAACTTTTGGAAAAAAAGAACTTGCTCACAAGCAGAGAAGCAGAGTTATCATCATGTTCCAGTGTTAGAAGAACATCTACAGATGTTCTCTGTGAATGAAATCTATCTTAAACCACTTAAACCATTTTTGGAAAGACAGGGTTTTGTGTAAAAATCTGATTTTCTGAGCAGAAGACAATTCGGAAGCTTTTACCTGTGTAGTCATCAAAGTTAACTCTTCCCCTCATGGTGTTCACGACAGATTCTGGTTGCTCAAATATTTCCTTTTGCATGAATGAACTGAAGTTACCTGGAAAGAACAAAAGGAAATTCATTAAAGAGAGGCAACATTGTCATTCTCATTTTGAAATGCAAGCCACCCTCGGTCCAACTCTACATCCATAACACAACAAAAAAAACCCATTTTGCTATTCTGAAAATGCAAAATTAACATTGGAGAGGAGGACCCATGACTGGACAATTAGGAAGAGTTCATGGAAGGATCTGAATTCCAGCTGAACAGTTATGAAAAACTCAATAGATCTACATATCAGGGCCAAATGGGTCCTATCTGAGAGCACCTGAAGGAACCTTCTAAGGATCTAGCCAATAGGTCACAGTAGAGCAAGATGGTAGCTTTACACAGGAAGGAACTGTGAACACGTCAGAACCAGCCTGGCAAACAAAACGTTTGGGAAGACCAAGCCCTCAATCCATACCCTTCATGATCTGCTGTAGCTCCATCTGCAAGGTTTGAACTGCCCGGCCAGGGTGATCTCCAGCAGTTCGCTTGATCCGATGTATGGAGAGGCGGCCCTCCACTACGGCTGCCACATCATCATCTTCTAGAAAAATCACTCTGTTGGTGTGTTCAATCACAGCGCTGTGAGAGAATGGTTGAGAATGGGTTAACAACCCTTGAAGGAACCCACAAAGCAGTTTAGAATGGGACGCGTATCAGAAAAAAAGGATTAAAAAAAAAAAAAAAGATGCTAAAACCAAGTGAGATCTAGAGAATTTATAGCATTATTTGTACTCCTTATATCAACCGTGCCTGCCAAAGTGATACTCAAATGCTTAACTTAAAATTCACGTGAAAGAAAAGTAGGGTGAATTATGAAGGAGAACCATTAATGATAAGTCTTAAATGTTCACGTAAACTTTGCTATTTCATCGAAAGGGACTTTCCAGCTTCATTTCCTACTTCTTCTGTCTCTCCTCTAAGGCAGAGTTCCCCAACCCTTCCGGCTTTGCGGACTGGCAAGGGATGGGGGAGAGTTCCACACTCGCAGCTCCATTTGTGTGAACAGCAGGCACTCATGCATGTGCACAAAGCTGCATTTGTGCGAATGGAGTTGCGCGCCTGCTTGCCTGCTGCTTGCAGGGCCTGGTTCCCGACAGGCTGCGGCCCAGTACTGGACCACAACCCGGGGGTTGGGGACCCCAGTATTAGGGAATTATCTGCCCGAGACTCTTCCAAATGAGTTATGTCACTGCTCAGAGTTGTTTTATGATGGGAGGCCATACAAATCTTATGAATGAATGAATGGATTTAGCCATGAAATGAGCTATTATCTGCAGCACGTTTTCTCTCTCCAAAATATGCTAAAATAAGAAAGAAAGGCCTTTGTGGGATAAATCTCTCCAGTTTCCACACGTGACCCCAGATCAAATGATGCTACTAACGTCCAGCCAATTCGTTGCCAAACGATACCAGCCGTGCCCTGTGGGGAAATCAGAGGGGCTGGTCTCCCTCGGCTTTCCTTCCCTCCTTCCCCCCCCAAATGGAAAAGCAGGAGCAGATCAGCCCCTTCCCTTCCTGGAAGTGGATCATGCTCTGGTACTAGAGGGGGGAGGGGACCAGGTTACAGCCCCCAAGTTGGAAAGCTGCCCCCCAAACTTTCACTAGAGATAGTCCTCGACTTACAACCATTTAGTGACCTTTAGAAGTTACAACAGCACTGGAAAAAACTGACTGGTGACCCTTTTTCACACTTACAACCATTATGGTCTCCCCAAGGTCACCTGATCAAAATTCAGCTGCTTGACAACTGGCTAGTGCTTAGGGCGGTCGCAGCGTCCCTTTGGGATCACGTGATCCCCTTTTGCAACCTTCTGATAAGCAAAGTCAATGGGGGAGGCCATATTCACTTAACAACAGTGCTAATAACTTAATTGCAGAGATTCATTTAACAACTGTGGCAAGGAAGGTCATAAAATAGGGCAAAATTCACTTAACAACTGTCTTGCTTAGAAACGGAAATGTTGGGCTCAATTATGGCCATAGGTCAAGGACCTCCTGTGCTTGAAAAGACTAACAGATCTCTTTAATGGCTGAGGATGTAGCCTCCCTCCGGGAAGGGAGGGTCCAGGCTGCCAGCCCCTCCCTCCTCTGGGAACCCTCTCCAGCGCCCTCCGCACGTGCCACAGACCTGGCATCCGAGGCAAAGTAGTACTCCACGGCCTTCTCCTCCACGGGAAAGAGGCAGGTGGTGCTGTCCATGCGAGAGAGGCTGCAGGTGCCCTTCTTGTCTTTGCCTGCAACACCAGAGACCCTCATCAGACCCCTGAACCCCCGTGGTGGCCGTGGGGCTCTTCTCACCCAACTGCAGCTCCAACATGAAGCTTCCCCTTCTCAGCCCTCCGAGGCAGGAAGGCTTCCCCAACAGGAAGAGCCTCCTGAAGACCTCAGAAGGACAGGTGCAGGAGGTGACTCTTTAATGCCCGCCCTGCCTCGGTTAGGAAGTGCCCCAGGGAGGGGTGAAGTGGGGCGAGGGGGGTGTCAAAAAAAGCCAATGCGGAGGCTGCAACGGCACTATTGAAGCCCCACCATGGCTTGGCTTTGATCACCCAGCGATAGAGGCCATTCTGACTTTTCCAAAACCCTCCCCGCTCCCCCATGGGACAATCACACCAAAAGGACCGCTCAGCTGGTTGGGACACCCCAGTCTATCTTAATCAAAGTCAGGTTGTCAGCCAAGCTCAATTAAAAGAGTTTTTACAGGGGACATTTAAAAAAAAAGCAAAGGGCCAGTTATCCTTGTCAGCAAAAAAACAACAGCAGATCCTTTGGGGTTCCCAAACTGGAATTTTGCTCAGGGAGAGTCATAAAGTCCCATCTCTGGTGGGAATTCCCATGAATGCTGATTGCTAGAGACTTTCTACAGAGATTCTCCATCATCCAGGTCACGGTTGTCCCAGAGGGGCTTTTCAAAAGGCAACTGGACTTTTTGGGGTTTTTTTCTTCGAAAATGTTTTGCTTCTCATACAAGAAGCTTCTTCAATTCTTGGAAAAAGCACCTTTGGGATTGCTAGAGAAGATGGACAGAATGGATAGTTTGTGCTAAGAGGGACAGAAATATAAAAAAAAGCCACACACCCATAGAGAGAGAATATATCAAAAGGCAGGCCTCTGGGCCAATCCCAACAGGCTTTATTTTTTCCCCCCAGAGTGAATGTTGCTGTACTTGGGAGAGTTCAAAGGCCCTGCCTCAAACGAGAAAGGAAGGGCTTAGAAGAACATGGCAAGCATATTCAGGCATTTAATGTGATTTGTGTAACACCCTGTCTGGAGGGCCTGTCTTTTAGGAGGCCATGAATGACGGGCGAGTGGGGTGAGTGGCCTGTTCTCAGATCGCCTGCCCTTCTTGGGGAGGGGACAGGAGAGCGGGGGGGGGAGACAGGTGGCCTGCCCTTCTCTAGGCAGGGCTTAAGGGAGAAACTCAAGGGGTTATCTGGGTCACCTTTCCCGATACTGGTACGGCCTCCCCAAATCAGAGAAAATATCTAAATATTTGAGGAAGCCAATGAATTTTTTTTTAAGTGGGAGCTGCTGCTGTTCCTTAAAGACAGAATACCTTTGTCCTTCACCTCAATGAATTTCCACCAAAACTGCTGAAACCTTTTCCATTTTGATCACCGTTAGCCAGCCAACAGTTACAAAGAGCATCAAGTGCATTAATGCAATCTGGAGGAAGGCATGAAATCTGTGCTGAAAGCGGCTTCCTAAGGCAGGAGGCCAGTGCCAGAGGCCGATCCAGCCCCCTCCCACCAGTAACAAACATCAGGAGACAGGAGGGAAATGAGATCAGGGCAAAGAAGGACCAGAAATGAATCTGGGAAGTGGGAAACCCCATCACAAGAACGGCATGCAAATTTCCCCCACACACGAAACCTCTTTAACGGGGTTCCTCCTGCTTTCCAGCAATTGCACAAGGTGAAAAGGGGCGCCCCTGTTCCTTGGCCCCCGGAAGCGCCACTGACGGTCCCCATTCCGGAGAACAGCCAAAGAGGCGGAAACCGAATTATGCGGTGCAGGGCCGGTTCCCTGTCTCAAGTGGAAAGCAGTAAACCACTAATTAAAAAGGTTGTCCGTGTTTTGATTTATTCTCTGAAATACAAGAGGACTGGTAAATTAAAAGTTTGGTCTCCAGCACCTTCTTCCAGTTTTTGGGACACGCCATCAAATGAATGATCTACAGACTGGGTGGCTGCAAGGGTGACACGAAAAGCAACTTCAGAAACTCATCAAGAGCAACAGGAATCTCAGCAAGGTCAATTTAGCATCCAAACCCGGAGCAGCTTCCCCAGCCGGGAGGAGTCCCTGAGACAGCAGCTGCTGGGAACACACTGGCCCACAGTGGTAGGAATTGGGGTCCCCACCCAACGTGCAAACCGGGAAAGGGGGTTTTCAGTTAGGAAATCAAACAGAAAACACTGTAAGTGGTGGAGGATGGAATTAGTACAACTACTCCAGGCCAAGAATGTCAAATTCTCTCCATACACGGATGCAAATGTCTCTGGTGATTGAAAAATGAAAGAAAAAAAAATACTGTATTTTACAAACAAAGCAATAGTTTTGCCATCTTCATTTCAGCCACTGACCTGGCAGCATTTTTCATTAGTGAAAATACGAACACAGGCAGTCCTCAACTTGCAACAATTCATTTAGTGACCGTTCAGGTTATAATGGCACAGAAAAAAGTAAAGTATGCCTGTTTTTCACACTTACAACCACTGCAGCAACCCCACAGTCACACCATGAAAATTTGGCAACTGGCGTGTAATGGTGTTGTGTGTGTGTGTGTGTGTGTGTGTGTGTGTGTGACGTGATCTCCTTTTGCGACCTTTTTTGACAAGCAAAGTCCACGGGGAAGCCAGAATCACTCAACTATCTGAACAATTGCAGTGATCCACTTAACAACTGTGGCAAGAAAGGTAGTAAAATGAAACAAAACTCAAACTTAACAATTGTCTTGCTTAGTCATGGAGATTTTGGGCTCAGGTTTAGGCATCAGGGAATTCCTCTTAGAACTGTCCCTGTCAAGTTCCCTTCAGGAGGACGTCTCCAGCAGACTCTCAGGGAAGAGGGCCTGCCCGTCATGGCTTCCAGAGTTCAAGAAGGGAAATCAATTTTGCCCTGACTTCTACCCCCACTGTGCTAATTGCGAAGTTATTTCATGCAGCAGTTCAGATGAGCTGCTACAGAGGCACTAACAACACGAAAAACCAGAGCATCCGCTCGGGGCGACATACCTGTCCGGTACAAGATCGGGATGTGGTCGGTGGAAAGCTTGTGCTCGCTCCGAACCCCGATGAGCAGAGGGCTTCCTCTCCTGGAAAACAAAAAAGGGACCCTCGGTTGAGATGGGCAGCAGCAGCCATTGGGGAGACTTACTCATAGTTTACTCCTGAGCAACTACTCAGCCCTGGTTATAGTGTGGCAGGCTCAGGTGCACCACTAGCCATGGCTAAATCTTATCAACTCTGTGCAAACCGTCAAGATGGGAGAAAGGAAGGACAGACTGGCGCTCACCTCGTGCCGACCGCCTGGCCTGGATAATGGACGCTTTTGAAGACAAGAGCGAAGGCCCCCTCCTGCGTGGGGACAGGAAAGAAAAGCAGGCATTGAATGTCCTTCCGTTCAGCTCCACGCAAAGAGACGCCCCCAATTCCACGGCACTGAACATGTAAGAAGCATGACCAGGCCCTTTCTGATTTCAAAGAAGTTATTTTAGGAAAAATAAATAGTCAGTAGAGACTTAGACTTGGCTTCCTTCTAAACAAGCACAGATGTGCACAGAAGTATGTTACACTCTTTTTAATTGTTTCACTTAATGACTGCAGCGTTCACTTAATTGGACAGCCACCTGTCTGGAATGGTATAGGGTCTCCTGCTCGAGCAAGGGGGTTGGACTAGAAGACCTCCAAGGTTCCTTCCAACTATGTTATTATGGTGTTCACTTAATGGCTGTGGCTAAAAGTCTCAAAAAAATCAGATCTGCTCACATGATGCCTCGATTTATGACTGCGACGACTTGCCACCGTATTTCCAGGCTCAATTACGGTGCTAAGTCAAGGATTGCCTGTATACAATTATCCTTAACAGTTTGAAAATAACTCAGCTAAACTGGGGGCATTTTAGTGGCCACAGCTGCAAACAAGATTTGCCCCCGGCTGGATCTTCCCTGGGAGTGAGATTCTTCTTGCATCTGAGGCTGAAGACAAAAGCAGCCATCAGAGAAGTAGAGAAGTAGAACACAGAACCACAGGACTGAAAGGGACCTTGGAGGTCTTCTAGTCCAACCGCCTACCCAAGACAGGGGACCTCATACCCTTCCAGTCCAGTCTCTTCTTAAAAACCTCCCATGATGGAGCACTCACAACTTCTGGAGGCAAGCTGTTCCGCTGGTTAACTATTCTCACACTCTTCCTTGATGGTGGGCTCAACAGAGCCCGACCGTCTATTATTAATCCGTATCAATGGTTTAGCAAAATATCTTTCACCTAGACTGTCCAGTGATTTGTGTAAAACTAGGAAAGTACCAGCTGTTGGATGACCCTCTCCACCAAGGTGGTGAAACTTATGTCGTCGCTCTCGCGGTTGTCATACATGTACTTGACGAGCTTTGCGATGGTTTCTGTATCAGTTTCCGATTCGAAGTCATAGCCTTTGCTCTCCTGAAAACACATGAAAAAGGAAAAGGAGGGCTAGTTTCGCACCTGGATCAGGAAAGAGAAGCAACAAGCGTGAACAGCGTGACAGATGTGGCTCAGTCGAGATCAACGGGGAGGGGTGCGAAAGGAGGCCCTGTCCAACTTTGGAAGAACCTTGGAGTCATTTGGGACAAGTCACCAAGGAGCAGACAAGACCCCAAGCACGAGCCCCGTTTTTAAGGGGTCACACAAAATACAATCCAAGGAGCTTGAACTTACCAAGAACTTTTTCAGGTCTTTGTAGTTTGTGATTATTCCATTGTGGATAACAATAAATTCTGAAAGGAAACGAAATATCCGAGGCTGTGATCAGAAACCATGCCACAAAAGAAGAAACATGGAAAAGAAATAACTCCTTGTTCAAAAAAGTCTTTATGCGGGGCGGTCCTAAGAGGGGGGTGGAGCACCAGGCGGCCAAAGGCAGAGAAGGGGGGCAGACAAGTGGCCAAAGAATTACAGGTGGTCCTCAAGTTACGACCACAAATTGAGCCCCAAATTTCTGTTAAATGAGACATTTGTTAAGTGAGTTTTGCCCCATTTTACCACCTTTCTTGCCACAGTTGTTAAATGAATCACTGCAGTTGATCAGTTAGTAACCCGGTTGTTAAGTGAATCTGGCTCCAGAGAATTGTTTAGGCTAGCACACCCTTTGCTACAGTAAAAGCCCCCACACCCACCCTACAAATCCTCCCCCCCCCCCAAGAAAGCCACTTTGTGATCCCGGTTCCAGCCTACCGTTGTCTTTGTCTGATCTCTGCGGGTGGCTGTTGACCGGATTAGGCTCGCCATGGGTGGCCCAGCGGGTATGAGCAATTCCAAGATGCACATCAAATTCAATGTCCAGATCTAAATCCTGCTGTTCTATGGAGAGGGGAAAAATATTTTTTCCATTGTAAAGGCTTTTTTATACTGGTCACAGAAAGAGGAAGAGGCAGCAGTTACAGTCTCTTGTCTGGTTAGGCTTAAATTCACTGATTTCAGAATTACAGGCATCAATGCAGCAACGAAGCAGGAACTCCGGAATATTTGCTGGGGTTTTTTTGTATAACGCTGATTATGCAGTAAGTAAAAAAGAGGAAAAACAAACCAAGAAAGAAAGAGAGACAGCAAGGAAGAAGAAAAACAGCCGGATCCCACAGCTGCCACCGTCCTCCCCCATCACCCGAACCACGGGAGACACACAGCCTCGGATCTTGTGCTCGTGCAAAATGCTTCCTATTACGGGTCTCGATCTTGGCTCTCCAGAGGGAAAATAAACTCTTACTCAGGATTATCAAAAGTTAAATTACTGGCAGTTGGGATAGTTTTGTTTTTCATTGGTCTTTTATGTTTTATGATCTCCGCTGCCCAGAGTCGCCTGGTGGAATGAGTGGCTACAAAAATCAAATCAAATCAATAAACTGAACGATATGGACAGCGCTATCCCTTGGCCCATCTGCTACGTCAGGGCCTTTTTTTAATGCAGCCCCCAAAATGAAAGGGTGGAAAAACGAGACTTACTGTTGACTTCTTCATCCAAAGCTTTCACTTTCCCTTTCTTCTTAATGAGCGTGATCTTGCCAGCGTTGGCCTCCCAATCTTTGTCGTTGCCGCCATCAATCCCAACACCTACCACACAACAGGGAAGGAAAGGAAGAGTGGCAGGCAAACCCGTAGCTTCCCTGGCAGGATTAGTGGTGCCCAGGCACACAGAAGGCTAAGGAAAGGCTCCCTCACATACGCACACCGCTTCTTCACATTCCAGAACACGTTAAAGGCCATCTGAATATACATGGACAGCTTTGTAGAAATATCAATGGTGGAACTAAGCACTGGGATCCAATATGGAGATCAACATAACATCTTAACATAGACCTCTGAAGGAGATCTATCCGGAAGGAGATCAAAAAAAGGGTCTGATTTTCAATAACCGCAAAGATGAAATGGTTCTATGTGAGCAGCAGACGTGAGTGCTTGCATGCAGCTCCCTTTGTGTGAGCGGGGGCACTCACACGCATGCATGAAGCTCCATCACACAAATGGAGCTTCACACGCACGCACAAGTGGCCACCACTCACACAAATGGAGCTGCACATGAGCGCCCGCCCGTCGCTTGTGCGGCTGTGTGGTCCCCCGGCCCAGTACTGGGTCACAGCTCAGGGGCTGGGGACCTCTGATCTAAACTACGGTTTAGCTTGAAATGCAGTAACGAAGGCAAAGCACGCCATGTGTAAATGGAGTTGGCAAATTTTGGTTTCTGCTTTTAATATAATCTGAACCAGGAGCCACTACTCTAATATGCAGACCACACAAAGAAGTTCAGGATGTAAGTGAACCATCCATCATACAAACAGCTTACCTGCAGAGTCATATCCTCGATACTCAAGTCTCTGAAGCCCCTTGATTAGGGTCTCCAAGATCTCCCGTCTGGTCCGGGGAACGTGGTAATTCAGGTAAGCAAAGATACCTAAAAGATTATTTAAAATGGGAACAGGAACAACATTAAAGGAATTCCTTGCAGGTCTAACGTATTCGTAGTTCGTCTCATTGGCAAGTACGTGTAAGCCTTAATAGTAGTACATCTAAGCCAGTAGTACTTTTAAGTTAGGGATCTCCAAACCTGGCAACTTTAAGACTTGTGGACTTCAACTCCCAGAATTTCTCAGCTAGGATAGCTGGCTAAGGAATTCTGGGAGTTGAAGTCCACAAGTCTTAAAGTTGCCAACTTTGCAGACCCCTGATCTAAGCAATGGCTCCTTAAACTATACAGATCAGTAATATCTTTTAATTTTGTTGAGGTGGACCCCAAAATAGTAACTTTTAATGCTTTTAAATATATATATATATATTTTTGGGGGAAAAACAGGACAATCTAATAGTCCATATCTCCAATTCACATGACACATTCAAAGCTGAAGCATTCTGGACTGGATGACATCTAAATCAAGTAAGGCAATACTTAATATGTGGGAAGAAAGTCTTATTATAAATGCAAATTCCTCTTCCAACTCTATCCAAGCAGCTCCTCCCAGCATCTGGTGCTCAAGGATGGCTCTTGCTTTGGGGCTTTGGCTTCCTGAAGATGCAATGACAAGAGTTCGCGGCCATTTTTGGCTTGGAATTAAGGACAGCTATGACTTTCTGGATGGGCAGAATTTAGGAACGATCCTAAAGATCGCTGCTTCCTTGGCTCCTAGTCCACAATTTTCTCCACATTGCATGAATTTTCTAATGAAGTTCCAATGCAGCAACATCCTCCTGGCTAGAAGCCTGCATCTTCTCATCTATGGCAGATATTTGAACTGGGTGCAATTGAGAATCTTCCAGTGGACCAACCAGCTGTAGGGTAATTTTTGCCCAGGGAAGAATCTGGAACCTCTTCCACCTTTGTTGACCCATTAAAGATGCAGCATAATGACAGAGATTTCCTTCACGATAGGCGAAGTTTTGGAGAAAATCAGAGAATTAAACAATGCACTGGCATTTTTAGATTAATGATACTTCAGAGCAATGGCTGGTCTACCAACAGATTATGATTGATCTCAAATGGAAGGATAAAACAATGGCAAGAGCTGCACAGAATTGTTGAAAGATATGCAAAGTTAATAAATAATTTTAGTTGGTTGCCAGGGTGACTGAATATACCTCCTTCACAGAACAATAAATGCTACTGAGGCAACTACACTTTACTAGAATCAAATTGCTACTTACGAAACTGTGATATATTATACAATTACAAAGCTACAAAGGTTATTTATGCATCTTTTCCATAGCATTTTTTTCCTGCTACTTCCTCCTATTTTCAGTACAGAGTTTCCCAATTGTTCCTCAGAACAGGTTTATTCTAAATTTAGTTATATGCAGTATTAGATATATAAATTCAGTTTACTTTGGCTTTTGGCTGTAAATACTTTACAAATCACCAAAGCAGCTGACACCTCAAGGCTGGGACACAACAGACAGCTCTGCATTTTCTAGCAATCCAAAGTATAAAATATAAATGGCGTAAAGCAAATATAAGATCAGCAAAACATTGAACACTGCCAGCTCCTCGCCATAGGTCACCTGCCCAGAAGATGCAAATGGTGCCCACGGCAGCAGGTCCACTGCTGTGGAAAGTGCAGAACACCCAAAGAGGAAGAAAACTGCACCGCTTGTTCAGTCTTTTTGCGCGCCTTGTAAGGTGCAGACGCAATAAGCCTTGGAAGCAACCTCCCGACAAAGACCTTCCTCTCTGAAGGACACCCCCGTCCCCCAACCTGCATAGACATTCAGATCTGCAGGGAAGCCTCTCCATGGAAATCTTTAGTAAAAAGCGAAAGACGTACAGTACACTCTATAATTTACGCATAAAATACATGAACAAATAAGTGTAGAAAATACAATGGTCAAATGTTTACCAATGTTAATAAATGCATTTCTAGATTAAAAAAAAAAGATCTGCAGGGGATCCTTGCTGAAAATGTCCAAAGGGTTCCGGAGGGGCTCAGAGGAGAGGGCCTTCTCCCCAAGATGAGGAATTGCCCTCCCCCTGCAGTAGCATTACCCCCCCCTTTTTTTTTTTATTACTGTCTATGTATTCCATTAGGAGCCAAAAGTGACATGGCACACAATCAATCATTTATTTACTCATAACTTATTTCCTGCCTTAGGAAAAGAACCAAGTCTGTCTCTTTCATCCTGCTTTTAACCGAAATTCCACTCTCTCTTATTTCACACCAATGAGTGTTGAATAACCACTGATTTAAAAAAAAATCATTCCACCTTTAATATTCTAAGAAAAACTGCTATGATGCTTTGATTAACAAGTGACTTTACAAGATTTACTCCCCCTTTTACGTTCCCAATAATGTAAACCAACCAAGACAATAATCTCATAAAGTGACTATCAGCATTAGAAAATGCTATCCACAGCATATTCACCAACAATAACATTATTAGAAGTTGTAATGCCGCACACAGCTGCGCTTCCTGTTTAGAGGAGACAAAGCCCACAACCCAGCTCTATTTTGACAGTAGCAGCAGGACTTAAAATGTATTTATTTATCCGAAACATTTATACAGCCACCCATATTACATTGACCTTTACATGGAACTCAGCAAAATACATTATGCTGTCCCAAAAGAAGCAAAATAACAGCAATAAAAATAAATCCATATGCTTTTTTAATATGCCACCATTCTATTTTCGGTCTAGCCCAAAATATTCAAATTCCTTTAATGTTATTCAAATGTATTTAAAAGGATGCATTGGGAGACAAAGTACAGCACAGACTGCCACAGAACAGGCAAGGCCTACAATGAATTTGAAGACACAATGACAGTCTACTCATAGCGAGTTATTTATAGTACCAATTGCCTCTTCTATTGTTAGCATTCTCACAGTTGCCAGTTGCCCTGGGAAATCACATCCTAATTCAACCCTCACTCCCCCCCTGCCCCCCTATTTGAAAAATAAACACAATTAAACACAGAAGCTGGTTTTGGCTTAGCTTCCATCCTGGGGGTGCAGAGGGGGGCTGCCTGCCATCTTAGGAACTCAGCATACCTGACTTAGTGATGTGTAAAGGCATGTATTGTGAGAAAATAATGGTTTATAGCTTAGTGATGTGTGAATCCAGGCTTTTACAACAAAGAGCTTCGTACAGGTAATCCTCAACTTACACTATTCATTTAACAAGTGTACAAAGTTACAACAAGGCTGAAAAGGTGACTTACAACAGGTCCTCACGCTTATAATGGTTGCAAACACAATTTGAGCGCTTGCATGTAGGCACCATGATGGGCATCCCAGGGCCTTGTGATCACCATTGCAAGCTTCCCGGCCGGCTTCCGAAAAGCAGTCAGTTACTGAACGACCACAAGATTCAGGTAGCAACTGTGGCAAAAAAGGTTCATGGAACGGGCCACGACTGAGTTAGCAACTGCCTTGCTTGGCAAAGGAAATTCTGGTCCCAACTGGGGCCATAAGTTGAGGACTGCCTGCAGTGACACCAAGTGAGCAGGACCACAAAGCTGTGAAGTCGGTAAGTAAGTGGTGATGAAGTGGGGGGAAGAAGGGTTAATGGATGCACGTAGGATCCTAAATAAAGGAGGACCGCAAGAGTAGATGAGAAAACCCAGTTCTTTTTCCCAATTCCTGTTTTGCCTCCCATGCACGTCCACACAGACACAGACACACACAAGTACACAGCCCACCCACTCACCTTGTCCCCAGCCACTGAGATGGCCCCTCCCCTCACACCTGCCCTGGCCTGCAACAGGGAGCCCGGGGGCGCTAGCCGCATATTACAGGGTCACGATCTACTAAACCTGTATGCCGCTTGGCCCAATGACTCCGGCCTCCAACCCAAGAAGCCTCCATCAAACCAACCGAAGGTAAAGGAGGGCCAGGAAGGAAGCCTTCGGTCTCGCCCTGCCTCGCCTGGGGGAAAAACGGGTCTTCCGGGCTCTTTTGAAACCACAACCCAGTGGGGAGATGCTAAATGGTGTGTTCCAATATACAACACATGCACACGAAGAGAGAGCACGTATCAGGGATCCAGTGCCTCCAGGCTACATTCCCAGGAGCCGCTCGCCCCAGGTGAAGGCTCCCGGGAGATCTCGTGTCCTCCACCCTCCGGGCCAAAGTTCTCTCCCTTTCACTCCGCAGGGAGAGCAAACCCGGGTCCTTTCCGAGCATTCAGACGAGCAGAGATCCCGGGTGGCACAAGGCTGCCGCTCTGCAAACCGGGCGCCGGCGAGAATCTTTGCCACCGCCCGGGTCGGAGCAAACCCGCAAGGGCCAAAGGACCCCCGTGCCCCCCGGGACTGAAGGGCCGACGCCGGCCGCGAGGGAGACCCTCCCCAGAAGGGCCCCCCTAAAGTTCATCGCGGGAGCCCCGGGCAAAGCAGGCCGCCGGCCGGAAAGCCACAGAAGCTCGCCAGAGCTTTGCAGACACGCGTCGGACGGTTCCCACATTTCTGGACATCCTTCCGCGGATGAGGGGGGGTTGATGCCTCCCGGGTTGACCTGCAGCGGTTGGGTTCACACGACCTGCGAGTCTCGTGTGCGCGCGAAGCTCAGACCCCTAACCCGGAGGAGCAACACTCTGCACATGCCCCAGAGGAAGAGCGCGCTGGGCCGAAGGGGCTCCATCGCGAGGACCGAGGGGAGGCCGGACCCTCCCCGCCGTCACCGCGAGGGCACTCTGCACATGCTCGGGAGACTCACCACACATAGCGCCGTCAATACTGCCTGCTGCTGCTGCCGGGCGGCGGGTCTGCGGCTGCCGGGCAGGGCGGGCGCGGGGAGCATGCGTGAAACTCGTGCCGCCATTGGCTCGCGTGCGGAGAGGCAGGCCGTCCGACGCCCCGCCCACGGCCGCCTGGCTCGCTGGCGCTGGGGACGTGGCAGCCGGATCCGCGTCCGCCGGGAGGGAGCCTCTCTGGGCGGGCGCAGCCTACCTGGTCAGGGGCTCCCCCGCTTGGGAGAGGGCATGGCCCGCCCCCCCCCGAGGCCCTCGCCGGGGATGGGAGACCTCGGGGTAATCCCAGGGCAGCGGGGGAACCGGGGAAAAAGCCGCCCGCCTCGCTCCTTGCAACCCGCGCAGTCAAACTGGGCTTCTCGGGATGCTAAAGAGGGGCGTTTCGTGCTTTTTCCTAAAAGAGGGGTGCGGGGGGGACGCGATGAAAGGGCTGGGCTCAGCTATCCGGGGTTCGGGCGGAAGCCCCCGCGCCCGCTCCCGACTTTCTCTGCCCTGCTGAGCCCTGTAGTATTGAGCCATGATTTAACCAGACATCTCTGGGCCATGAGCCATGGGCCATGGTTTAAAAATGATTGCTTCTGGTTCCAGGTCTGAATTATGGGGCGATTGCAATGGCTGCATTTGTGCGATGCCGCACTTGCACTTTGATTTTCTTAATCCAATTTTCTGAGATTGCACCATCAGTTGACTCACCCTGAAATATAGTTTGCTAAGTTCTGTTTCATCTGTCCTGCAAGGAGGACCTCTGAGGTGCAGCTAGAAGAGAGTTTTTATTTATTTATTTGAATGTTTAAGCAGCCCCTCTCCAATTTATCCATCTCATGTGTGTGCGTGTGTGTGTGCAAACTATGAATCCTCTTTCGATATCATACATCTCTTTTAAGACTGCAATTTGGTGCACATTTTGCTAGAGATCACACTGTAATTTACTGAATTTACCCCCTACTCTAGTGCAGTGGTTCCCAACCTTTCCTGCTTTGCGGACTGGGCTGTGGAGGGGAGAGGAAATGGTTCTGTTTGAACAGCAGGTGTGCAACTTGCACACACAACTCCATTTGAATGAGCAGCGGGCAGTTACACAAATCGAGCTGCACACAGTGCTTGCCTGCCATTTGCACAACACAGTTCCGAATGGGCCATGGCCCGGGAGTTGGGGATCCCTGCTCTAGTGGAATATAGGAGGGGAGACAAGGAGATTTCATTCCTTCCTATTTCTCTCCTGAATTTCCCCAACAACTGCCACCATGTTCATGCGATATACTTTCTCCTCTTTGCCCTCCAACTTCAAAAAAAGCCACCCAAAAAACCGGTCCTGCTGATCCTTTAAAGCAGGGGTAGTCAACCTTGGCTCTTTTAGGACTCGTGGACTTCAACTCCCAGAATTCCTGAGCCAGCTAAGCTGGCTCAGGAATTCTGGGAGTTGAAGTCCACGAGTCCTAAAAGAGCCAAGGTTGACTACCCCTGCTTTAAAGGCTGATCCGGGGTGGCCTGTGCTTGGCAGCTGGCCTGATGCGGATGGCAGCTGACTCAACTGGAACAATCCACACAGAAGCGGACAGGAGAGCAAACACATTTCATGCCAGGGAAACTCACTCCACAGGAGGAAGTGTTTGCTTTTGTGATCTGGAGGTAGTAGTGCTTGAACGGGCAGTCGGCAGCTAGAAAAAGATGACGAGGCTGCTGGCTCCTGGAACGGTCAGCCGTTGTTGAAACCAGTAACTCTCGCCATCTAACTTGCCCATAAATATAAATCTCGGCAGGAGAATGAAGCACTCCGGGAAAGAGGCTGCCTGGGTTTTAAATCACTTGTGAATCGACTCTCAAGGGTCAGTTTCTTGGATTCTCTGTGTTCCCTTTCCTGATCCCGATACTGACTAAACCTTGTAAGCTCATCCACCCACATGGCAGCAGAGAGCTCTTCCGTCTGTTGGCAGCCTCTGGAACCAGCGTCCACTGGAATGAGTGCTGGAGCTTATCTGATTGTCAAAGGGGGCTCAAAAGGTTTCTCTCGTATAATAAGCCTTAGTGAAGTTGGTCCTTAAGCATCCACTCTTGCATATGCATCCCCACTGCAGCTGGGTGGGATGGTGTCCTGTTCTTACTCACAGGGAGTATTTTAACTCTCCATTCAACTGACAGGTCTCCCCAGCTCCCTTCCAAAGATAAGCAACAGTCCGATCCAAAACACACGACTCCAAAGCAACATGACCAAGGTATTAGTAATAGTTTATTGAACCCATGGGCATTTTTAAAAAATGAAAAAATTTAAACCTCCTGATGAGAGCACAATTTAAAAAAATATTCTTGGAATCTAAGTACCAGGGGAAAATGCAATGCTCGTATGACCAAATCATCTCCAGAAAGTGATTACAGTGCAACGAGAGAAAGACTGCTAAATAAATAGATGATTGATACTCAGGAAGATAACTGGAGATAAACTTGAGAAAAAATTGAATCCAAGGGAGGAAGAAAGTATTTTAGAAACTGTTAGGAACATGCCTATTCTGTATGCTTTCCTCTTTTTGCTCATGGAAAGCAAAGATGGGCCACATTTTTATTATTCGCTTGTTTTCTTATACAATGAAACAAAAATTGAATCGGCCCAATGAAGAAACTGCGTTTGGGCCAATTTAGACAAACCCACCAGCCAGATAATTTCTGCCCTCGGTCCAGGGCTCTCCCTGATTCAGGTTGACTTCACTTCTTTTTCTTCATTATCATCAACAACCTGAAAAGCAACAGGCAGGCAGGAAGTTACACCAAGAATATCAGAGCCCCCCAGCGTTGAGAACCAAGCCCAGAAAGTAGGACACCTTTTAAAATAACCACAACATTGGAACATAAAGGAACGTGGTGCTTATTGCAATTCTTTTCAAATCAGAACAGGGCTGGGCAACAGGGCTGACTCGAAGCAAGAGCAAAAAATAGCAGACACAAAGCTAACCCTAGTTCTAAGGAGCCATTACAAGGTTATGCCTGACGTGTAATAAATCATGGTCACAAGCCACTTTTTAAAGTGCCGTGGTAACTTTGGTCACTAAACAAATGATTGTAAGCCGAGGACTGCCTGTACCGTAATTTTATCCTCTGGGCTGGAGTGAGGAGGGGTGGCCACCTGATTTGAAAGAGCAAGGCCACGGCATGGCACAGGTTCACACAATTTAGGCAAGGGATCCGTGCTGCTGCACTGGAGGCCAGCAATGTCTCCCAAGATAGCATCGTTCCCATCTTGCCTGGCAGTGCAGGCAGCCTCCAAATTTGTTCAAAAAATTCTGAGGTTCTGATTTTAAAAAAACCCAGAAGGAAATCCTAAATAGGTGTCAATATTTTAACTTTTTGCCCACACGGTGATGATTTGGGGGAACACTGAGAAGACAGGTGGAGCACAGCACGTGTCCTCCCAAAGGGGCTTACCTGCTCCACACCTTCCACCTCTGGAATATAGAACTGCAGCATGTTTTGTATTCCGTTCTTTAATGTGACGATGGAGCTGGGGCAGCTGGTGCACGAGCCCTGCAGTTTCAACTGCACGATCCCGTCTTCAAAGCCCTTAAAGATGACATCTCCCCCGTCCTCCTGAACGGTTGGCCTGAGGAATATTAAGCCAGAGGCACTGAAACCCACAGCCACAGGTCTGCGATGCACAAAATAGCATTACGAGTAGCAAACGCTCAAATGTTTGCATTACGTCTCGAAGTAAAGCTCAGATTCTCAGCCAACCCCAGGGCCTTTCTCCTCTCTTTTTACATACCCTTCTCTCTACCTTCCATGGGGCCTTGCTGATTCCTGGAGCAGCCTGCAGCTCGCTACGCCACCTTCCACTTCTTGCATTAGTAACTTTTTCCTAAGACATCTGAGCCAAAGCTGTGGATACTCTGTTTACCCAAAGCAACCTCTCAGCCACGTAGCCCTTACGAGAAGGGAATCTGGCAAAATTTAGTCGCGCAAATTTAATCAGCCCGCATAAATGTGCCATGTTTGCATTGTTTACTACATTCTGTCAGTGCCAATTGGGTTGAGATGGCCTGGAGAGTAGACAGTGGCTCCGTTTACGTGTTCTACTTTTGTTCCTACTGAATCCTACTCTGGCTCTGGAACTGTCACAGATCAAAAGGATCCTACTGGCCCAGTTAGAAATATGTAAAATTCATGCACTGGCTTGAATTCTGTAACTGAGAAACAGTCACTTTTCAGGTTAGTCTGTGAGCAACTGAAGAAGCTCCTTGGATGAGAAGCAAAATGTTTTCAAGAAAAAAACTAAGAAAGTCCAACAGCCTTTTGAAAAGCACCTTTGTGACTTTTACAGCAGGGGAGTCTGACTATTCAGGGAAGGTAAAACTCCATCTTTGTTCAAACTTTATTTTCCCCCCTGAAAACTGAAATACTGCAGAGGCCAAATCCCAGAGGACATACTTCTCTCCAACGCATGGAATGAAAGCAAAAATTGTTAACTCGACTTTATACACAGGATCTTTTGATACCCATTTGCGTCTGCAATGGATTCATGGATTAACTTGGCAGAGGTCATATTTACCTCCACGTTTTATCGCCTGCTAACACCTGATGCGTCACCTCAGCTGTCAGAAGCTGAAGAATGAACACACAGGGCTTAACGTGAATAATACTCCTTCAAGAATGCAGTAATTCCACTGCAATGGAAATCGGAGGCTTTCCTAGCTCTTGAAAGTAATAATGAACATCCTGTTTGCACAACTAACACATTTTAAAATCCTGTTAATGTAGGAATGTTGAGAGAAGCACCAGAATGTGATTACTGTTGAAAGAATTTTCAGATGATCTTCATGTTAACTTTTTGCTGAACAAAAGCAATTTCAGTGAAATATTTGAGACTTGAGAAATAAGGGTGAATATATAAGGACAGCAACATTTGTTATTACATTTATACCCTTCAAACACAATCATAACTCTGCAAAGCATACAATATTAAAGTTTTAAAAATACGCTACAAAGAGAAACGTCTGGGAAAAATAAAATAACTTTGCAAAACAAACAGCCCACTTTAGGCCAAGACCTGGGGAAGAGCCAGGTTTTAAACAAGGTTGGAGTGGGGCCATACGAATTTCTGGTGGCTTGTTGTTCCAGAGGGCAGGTGCTACAACAGAGAAGCATCCCCCCTTCTGTGTCCCATCAGAAGACCCTCATTCACGGATCGGGGCTGGAGCATTCTGCCTGATCATAAAGGGCGGGCATAAGCTGTGAGAAACAAATGGCCCCTCTCATTAACTCAGCAGTCTTCCCCAAAGGACTTAACCAATTGTAGTGTGGGTCAATTGCACCCACATGCCTACTGGCACCTGAAGCAGCAGTAGAACAGTATATGGGCATATTGGTGTATGCCTATGTTGCTGCATTACAGGACCAACTGCAGGTTTTAAGACACTTTCAAGGGCAGTCCCAGGTACAGCACACTGCAGAAGTCCAAATGCCGGGTGACCAAAAGGTGAGAGGCTGTCTTAAGAGGTCTTCAGGTCCACATGCAGGCATCAATGATGTACTAGACCAGCGATCTCCAAACTTGGCAACTTTATGACTTGTGGACTTCAACTCCCAGAATTCCCCAGCCAACATAAACATTGCCTTCTATCAAGCACACACAACAGACAAAGGTACCTGATTCTGGTATCCAGCAGCTCTTTTATCATTAATACAACTTCATCGTCCTCTTCAGATGGGGCTTCAGTGGTTTATGCAAAACAGAAACAATAAATCGTGTTTATCTCATTTAGCAAAGAGTAATTAAAATACAGATAATCCTTGACTTATGACAACTGAGCCGAAAATTTATGTTAAGTGAATTTTGCCCCATTTTACAACCTCTTGTCACAATTGTTAGGGGGCTTTGACTGCAGTGATGCACTGGCCATCTTGCAGATCTTGACCCTTTGGCAGATGCCTCTGTGTACAACTCTACCTTTGCAAGATGGGTGGTGCAGTGGAGCAGTGGAAGCCTCGCCCTGGCCGAGCCCAAAGGAGGTGGCTCCCCACGGTTGCCAGCATCTGAATTTGTCACTGTACCTGTATCTGTACGAGGGGCCTCTTCTGTAACAATGGGCAAGCCCGAAGCATAGAAGTCCATAATAGTGGCATAGATATCGGGCTTTATTAAGTTCCAATCCACATCCTCACTTTCCTATGAAGATTTAAAAAAACAGACCGTAAATATGGAGAAAGAACTTTACTGGATTCCTATTCCTGGACACACCAACCTCACATAAACTTCTGGGAATCTTACCAGCAGGGCAAACCCTCCAGCAGTTTGTCTTCATGCACACAGACTCTCTAGGACAGTGGTTCTCAACCTTTTTAATGCCGCGACCCCAACCGGTCGTAAGTCGAGGATTAAACCGGTCGTAAGTCGAGGACTAAACCGGTCGTAAGTCGAGGACTTTCCCTGCCCGGGAGTGCCGCGCATGCGTGGTTCCGCCCCCTGCGCCGGCCGAGGCGTAGCTGGCAAGTGGCAGAGACAGAACAGGCCGACCACCAGCTGGCCCAGCCCAAGGGAGGTAAGGCACCCGCCGGAAAAGGGGAAAAAATGGCGGACAAAAAAAATGGCAGACAGCCTTGCTTGGCGACCCCCATGAAATGGTCGATCGACCCCAAATGGGGTCCCGACCCACAGGTTGAGAACCACTGCTCTAGGAACTTGTCACTACACACACAGAGTTTCTACAGTCGTCAAGTATGATTTGTAAATGGGGCCTACCCATTTAATAGTCAAAAGGACACTGCTATTTTTCATCAATTATGTCTGGGGCTGGTTTGAACAAACCCGAAAAAAGGGAGGAGGTATGTATCACTCTTTGATCGCAAATTGCCCCGCTCATCCTTGTCCTGTACATGTCAGACTAATGTCAATCAATTCAACAGAAAGACATGAAAACTAATCTTTTGAATGTTCAAACACTTACAAATGGGCCTAAAATGCAGTCCAATCTCAAATAGTGGGGGGAGGGGGGAGAGAGAGAGGATATTACCTTCTGCCATAGCAGAACAAACATTTACCAAATGTTACACAATGTGTTTGTGTCCACTGCCAATTCATGCCCAGCAGACCAACACAGAAAAATGTTAAGCCTTGGACTTCGGCAAACCTACAGCAGGACAGAGCACCATAACTGGGTCTGTCTTTTGTTTTATATTTCAATTTTATGGGAAATATATTTTTACTTTAGGGGAAATGCACTTTCGTAGGTGTTTTCATGCTTTTTTAATTTTTATAGAAAATAGTTAAAAATTCTCAACACATTTCACTATTGAAAAGAATATTCTTTTTGAATTGAAATGTGACATGTAAACCAACAGTGCAGAATTCCAAATGTTATTCCACTGATATAAACCATCTCTGTGTTCTAATTCTGTAGCATATTGAGAGAAAAAAGTCCATTATATAGCTAGTAATTTAGACTATCAGGCTTTTAGATTTACCTTTGTGACAGTAATGAAGTCTGTTCCGAAAAATATGCTTTTAATGCCTTCAATCCGAAAGAGCTGTCTAACCAGAAAGGAAAAGAAAACGAAGACTTTGAAAAATAATGATCACCATTCAAACTGGTCATCGAAATCCCATTTCTTCATATTGGTTCACACAGGCATGTTTGTTGCTTCTTGACTGCAGCTATTATCCTAAATCCTAACTTCTTAAAATTCGTTAGCATCACCTTTCCAAGAAACATGGATGGAGTTTTAAACACATCACAGCAAATCAACTCTTTCTGCTTTATATTTAATCCAGAACCTGTGCTAGTAGCAATGACTTCTAAGCTGAAAAAACTTTGTAAATAGAGATGGGTCTTATTGTGGGCCTTCAATTTTTGACAAGCAGCTAGTTACATGCTAAGTATGAACAGCCACGCATGCCAATTGTGGGCTAATTTGGAAGACTGATTCATAAACCTTCCACACGCCTGATAATTATGCAAATGGCCTTTTCATCCAGGACTGTGATAATTGCACACCAGGAGAAAGTACATATTAAGACTGCAGCTGCATTGAATGGCACCCCCTCCCCCCTCCCTTTGGCTCAACCACCTATCCTTAGGAGATGAATTTTTTTCCTCCCTGGAAGAGCTGGGAGGAGAAACTCATCTGCACGATCCTCAGTCATATGGAAAAGGCCTGAGCATAAATATCAACTAAAAATCAAGCCAAAAATCACCCACCCCCAAAGATTTCAAAGAGAATCAAGCTGCGCTTCTCTCTCTCTAATATCAATAAGGTTTACATTAAATTGCAATCAATTTCTTAAAAGTCCTAAGAGAGGAAAGTTTTCCCTTCTCTGATTTCCATCCCTTTACAGGAATAGATTACATGGGCTACCCTCCGATTTTGGGGTCTCCAACTGCAGTCCAGGGTATCCTTGCCCCTAATCAGGGATCTGACTGGGACAGATTTCCAAATCAACATCACACTATGTGCCCCCCCCCTCCAAACCTTGCTAACGGAGAGCAGTAGGTGGAAGCAGGAGTCGGGAATTCCATCGTTCTGGACTCCAGGACTGGTTTCCCTGGAATAAACTTTAAGCTGTTTGGATTTGGAGTCTCCTGCGTCTGAATAAATAGAGACCTCACTGAAATTTAAGAAAAAATAAAATAAATTATTTCAAAACACAATCATTCACCTTGCCTGGATCAGAGTAAGCTACCTTCACTGCCCACCAGGAAGCAGTCAGAAAAATCCAGATGCTCCTAAGCAAGAGAGGATAGCAATGAAATTCTGAGGCCTTTGTCGCCAGCAATTGCGTATTATATGGCCTAGTTATTCAGATCTGCAAGACACACTTAACAGTAAGAGTACAATAGAGTTGGAAGGGTCTTAAACATTTGGACTGCTCATGGTGGTTTCTCAGACAAACCATTTTCTGTTTGCACAGGAGACGTTAAGCTTTTCATTGCACAAGGTCATCAAAAGCACCCAAGATACTAAGGATCTCATCCTAATTCACAAAATGCTCTTGTTCACACCTAACATTTCATGGGCTCTTCACAATACTGCACGATTTGGGCCATTAAAAAGAGATTAATTGGGTGGGTGACACTGCACCACCTGCCCCCAGTTTAATGAAATACACAGGCCTATCCCATTCTCTCCACTCTGAGGTTTGATGAAATGAGCAGATTTAAGATATTTATCTGGTTATTTTTCAGACGGGTTCAAATAGTAGCAACTATTATTCATATTGACTATTAAGTAAAATTGGACAGACATTAGTAACTCATGTGATTTGTTTAACCTTAACTGGTTAGTTCACAGAACAGATTTAACCCCAAACATGTTGGTTTAGTGAAATATGTGGATCCAACCTAGAAAAGAAGGTAAACATTAGACTCCTTTATTCTATTCTCATGCCTTTTCCCCAATTTATAAAAGCTGAAGAAAAGTGGCCTTAAATCTGAGAATAGGACAAACACATCTGTCCATCACACAAAGATGACATTCTTCTAACTTAGTGAGAAATTAGGCATGTGGGGCTGAAACATAATTATTCATCATGAATACATTTTAGAAAAGAATCATAAACATCATAAGCATTTTCATCGCACAGAACTGAAAATGCACAAGCAAAACACCCACCTGACATCTGTGGCACTGCAGGAAACAGGAAAGATTTGTGTGGTGTAACAAAACGCTGGGGTTGTTTAATTGATACATTTGTGCTCTTTAATCCCAAATGACAAAAGCTGAACAGAGGAAAAAAAATACAGCTAAGAATGTCATAGTTTGATTCTTAAGACAATTTAATGCAGGCATGTCAAACTGCCAGCCCGCGGGCCGGATGCGTCACACCGAAACTGCGATACGTTGTGCAACGTCACATGACATCGTGAGTTTGACATGCTTGGTTTAATGGAATTTCCCATACTTCAGCCCAAATAATAACGACTGACTCATTAAAGGCGGAAAGCCAACAGAGCTTGAATTTTGACTTGAAGCAAGGAAGAATAAATATTTCAATAAATAACACCATTGAGCAGTGAGGAAATCTGGGGACCTAAAGAATTGATGGCTGGAAAAAAATAAAAATTCTAGCAATTTTTGCTCTCCTTTCTCCTTTCGAATCTCCTTTCTCTGTTATGAAAACAGATGTTGAACAGGCTGCAGGTCCTATTTGTTTGCATGTAAAGTTGCAAAAACAGGTAAGGAGAAATCTTTCAGAAGAAAATAATGACATTTTTGGGTTACGCTTATGATTACCCTCAGCTTAGCACTACATGTGTGAATCCAGTCATTTACTTTGCAGGAACAGCCAAGAGTATTAAAGGACTCTCCAGTGATGTATAGACAAGATGAGGCTGGCGAATTCTGGGAGCCAAAATCCACACATTTTAAAGTTATTGGGGTTGAGAAACACTGCACATGTTCGCATTACAGACCAGGCAATCTAGATATCAGCAAGACTGTCTAGGAAAAACAAAATGAAATATATCTCTGACAAAATGAAATAAGCATCTGGCATGTTTGGGTGTGCTAGTCTTTGCATTCCTCCTTCACAAAACTACACAAAAGATTAGAGCTTTGGAAAGCATCTTTCTGGATATTCATGCGATTCCTTGCCCCTCCTGTTATTGTTTTTTTTATTAATGCAATCAGCAGGAAACTAACACGGTTCAAAGAAAAATGCTAGCTTTTGGCTCCATCCTTCTTTCTGTCATTGCCTTGGAAGTCAGGCCTGGGCAACAATCCAAAGAGAAAAAGGTGGCTCAGAGCCCTTCTAGGGACACACCTCTTCCCTTCAGCAGCACCTTAAATCAACCGTGTCTTTAAGACATTGCTCAGAAGTACGACATTTGCATTCCTGCATGCTTTGAAGTGCCCTCTCCCCTTCAGATCTGGATGGCTGCTCAGCCCCATTCAAAATCCTTTCCCCCACAGAAGCTGAGACCCTTGGAGAACAAGGAAGGGTGTAATGCAAGGGGCTGCTAAACACCTGTGAGAGACAGTTAAGCATGAAGTCTGTAATTCTGTCCTGCAACGACAAAAACAGTGACAAACTAATTGCAGGTTTTTAAACTAATCATTTAGGCATAGGAGACCAGGCATGGGGATCTGGATGCGCAGCAAAACATCCTCCGTAGTTGAGTGCAGATTTGTTTTTGTGTGTGGTTTTTCTTATTAACCTGCATATCCTTTTATATGTTTTAAGATTGCTTTGGTTCTTTGTGTAGTTTTTAATTGCTACAAGCTGCCCAGACTCATGCATTCAATGGAACAAACGAAGGTCCAGTATACTCCAGACCGCCCTAAAACTAAGGCACAGCACCCAGTTGACCAAACCTCCAAAAGAGAGAAAAAGCTGTTAAGAGCCCATTCAGCAAATTCAATGCAGGTGACCTTGCTAAGCCAGATCTTTGCTAAGCCAGGTTTAAACCTGAGCTGCTCGGAGGGGGGGGGAACAGAAGTGACAAAACTCCTGCAAAGAGGACCAGCCAGTGGTGCCATCTCTTCCCTACTTCCTGCACTTGGGGGGGGGGTCTCCTGGGGGGGGTGTCTCCAAACGTGACCACTTTTAAGACTTGTAGACCAACTCCAGCTGGCTGAGGAATTTTGGGATTTGAAGCCCACAAGTCTTAAAGTGGCCACGTTTGGAGACACCCCCCCCATCCTACGAGAAGCATCAGCACCTTTGCAGGTGTCCTATTTTCCGCCTCCCCCAAAGGGATGATTGACAGCTTCAAAGCAGTTTAGATGGAGCCTGTCGGGGAGGGGGGGGGGGTTGAACGATGAAAGGATACCCCTCACCCCCTTTCCCACCCCCTGCTGTGGGGTGGACTACAACACCCATAACAGGAAATAAGGGGGGACGCGAAAGAGGGCAGCGAGTGAGGCAGGCCAAAGTTTCCAAAAGACATCGGCTGAAGGGAGGGGGACAGTCTGGCTGGGGATAATGGGGGGTGGAGTTCAAGACTTCCCAAGGAAGATCCAGGCGTCGGCGTTTCCACGGGGCAGCGGGCTGGGGAGGGACGGGGGAGGCAGGGACGGGCAAGGGCGGCTGAGGATCAGGGGCGCTTTAATGCTGGGGAGCCCCGCGGAAAGGCCGCCTCAGCCCCGGGAAGGGGGCGGCCTAGGCGCCCCAACTTGGGGGAGGCGTCAGACGCTGCACCCCTCCCGCCACCTACCGGCCCCCCAGCGCCGCACCCAGACGCCGCGCGGCCGCCATCTTGCCGCCCTCCGAGGAAGGACCGTGAAGGGCTGACTGCGCAGGCGCCTGATGAGCCCTCCGCGCCCGCTATCGCGCCCAGAGTGGCCTCTACCGGCGAAAGAGGGCAATGCAGGCTGTTTGATCCGACGCTCCCTGGAGGAGCCGCGCTTGGGGGCCGTGGGAAAGTGGGGGTCCCGCCCCCCCCCCGGTGGGGTTGCAGCAGCTCCCCGGCCGTGGAGGAGCCGAGCCAAGGAGGATCCTTCCCCCCTTTTCCCTTTTGTCAGGACAGGCTATCCCGATTCTATCCCTGCGGCTGGCTTTGCCTTAATTGTGCCGTATTTATTTATTTATGGAATTACTTTTTAAACATTGTATTAAGATGTAAAGTAAAATACAAAGCAAATAATAGGGCACAATGGGGAGGAAAAAGGGAGAAGATAGTGAAGGAAATAGGGAGGGGGATTTCTTTTGGAGATGGACAGACTCCCTCCCAGCCGGTTCCAAGGCCTGGTGCACTGAGAGTGACCTATTACCTGCCCAGCACCTCAGTGTTCTCAAAACCTCTTCTCCACATTGCATTGGCTGCTGAGGGACTGGTCAGGAAGAATTGCTTTGTGCTTTGTGTGGGACTTTCAGATTCCATCCAACTTTACTGCAACCACTTTCTCTCAGTAAAAGTTCTTTTGATTCAACACAATGGATTCAAAAGTCTTGCTTTCCTGAGGGACTGGCTGAGGCAGGTCCTTACAGTATTGGGTCTCCTGCTTGAGCAGGGAGAGAAGACCTCCAAGGTCTCTTCCAGCCTTAAGATTCTATGATATCTATGAATGGGTTGCTTCTTCACTGCAATCGCTCACGTTTTGTTTAGCTGGAGAGATATTTCCCTGGCCATATTAAGATATGGTCCACTTTCTGCATCAAAGAGTGTCTCACAATACATCCCTGCACTGTGCCAATGGAAACTAGCCCTGTGTAGAGCTTGAAGTAAGAGTCTGACAGCGGATCCTACATAGAACAAAGGAGGCAGCCATCAGGCTCACGAAGTAAAGTGATACGGGTAGTATCTTCTGATCAGCAACCTGCCATTGTTACAAGGTCTAGTAATGTAATCCTGGGCAGCAGTCCAAGGGCAGCAGGAAAATAAGACAGACCAAACACTTGGTATGAGCTTTTGTCAATGTGTTCAACTTTTATTTCATTTGAACGCTTCAGAGAATACAAAATGCTTACATTACAAAAGGAAAGAATTCCTGACTATCGTATAACTGATTGTCATCCCAACGTTTTCTGACCGTTATTGGTCCTCTGGAAGTAAGTCCAAAGCCTCCGTCATTCCCCCTCATCAATATCCAAGAGGGCTCTCCCAAAGACTCTTCTGTTTCCTATGGAAGATTAGAGGAAGCCCTGCAAGTCAAAACTTCTCAGACTGGGTTATTCTAGTGCAGGGCTCTCCAAACTTGGCAACTTTTAAGACTTGTGGGCTGGCTGAGGAATTCTGGGAGTTGAAGTCCACAAGTCTTAAAAGTTGCCAAATTTGGAGACCCTGATCTGATGTGGGTACAAAAAGGAAGGGGGCATGCCCCCACCCTCCCTGCTTTGCCAAGTGGCTCATGACCAAGCTGGTTGGCCCCATAGGCCAGCTCCTCTTAGAATAGATGAATAAGCAAAGAAAGGGTTGTGGTATGCAGGGAGGAGAAAGGTGCCAATCCTGCTTTGTGGGTCACGATCCTGCCTTCAACCCATTCCCACAATGCAGTTCTCTGGTCTCCTTGGTGCAAAAGGAAGTTCCTTCCAAAAGGATTGGAAGTTTGTGTGTGTGGAGGCAATGGAGTGTGGTACGTGTGTTTGTACATCTAGCTCACTTGCATTCCCAAGCCACAGTCGCCTTTCCCCACCACAACCTTCAGCAGCTGCTATTTAAAAAATACAAACAGATTAAACGTGTTCACATGTTTAATGTTGCACCTGACTAAAAAGCCGAACACATGACAGAACTTCATCACCTTCCCTCCGTGCATCTCCATCAGGAATGACAGGACTTGCATGGGTCTTTCAAGAGTCCTATAGGAACTCTACATTTCAGGAACATTTAGCAGAATATTCCCCAAATTTAGATGACCCCCTTTTTCATCATTATTATGCAGCAATGGCATGAATTTAAATCTCACAAAATAAGCAATAAGAGATAGTAGCTCACGCATGCATACAAACACAAACCCAAGTGATTACTATATCAATACAGATATTATTACTCTGTATTTCAACTTTGCATTATTTGGCTCATAATTTTATTCTCCTGCTCTTGGAAGTATAGAGGTTTTTGTTTGTTTGTTTTTTTAATTTATGCCTACCTTTTTCCATCACCATCAAGATTAAGACAGGGACAGGGGCAGATATGAAAGGAATGCTTTAAAATGCCAAATAAATACAAGAAATCTATTAAGGTCTACATGTGTTGTGTTCTCAGACACTGATATGAACAGAGAAATATCTGCACCCAAAGGACTAATTAGGTAAGCTGGAAAATTGCAGAATTTTGGATTCTGTATTCTACAGTTTCTCAACCTCAGCAACTTTAAATCTTAAAGCCCACCGTGGGTGAGAAAACTGAACTACCGTACTATTAAAGTACCATCTGTCACACGTGAACCTTTGTAGAACTTTTAAACTATTACTACTACTACAATAATAATAACATTAATATTAATAATACTAGCCTGTTCAAAAGCATTTTCTTTGAGGAGTGATTTCTGCAATGATTTTCAAAGCACCCAACTAAAACTAGTAGCAGCTGAGTTAACTGATTGTAACAGTGATGTAAACATCAGAATTAGATCTGAAGGTTCTGCTTATCACCAATATAAAATGAAAACATTCCCACTGTCTTCAAGAACCATATGAAGAGGCCAAATTTCTATAGATCCCTAATGAAAGGACTATGGAAAATTCAAAATGGACATTTGTCTGCAGTTGAACACAGATCACAGGTATCTTCCTCAAATAAATCCCTTCCACATGTATTGGATATTCATGCTCCCAATCTGCTAGTCTGGCCAAAAGACCAACACATCTGGAAAACACCAGGTTGGAAAGATTGTGATGTTCTGATTCATCAAATGATGTCATCTTACACAGATGACCTCTTTGCATTTCCTAATTTTCTCACAATGGACATTTTGGCCTTAAATTATATCTTCCAGCTTATGGCCTGGGGGACGTTCCTAAGAGCTATGGTTTCTTAAGAGTGGGTCTTCCTGATGAGTTGAGGAGCCCTCTCAAACCACAACACGTAATATTTAACTTAACTGAAGAACACAAAACAGCATGGCAGTGCTCATTCAGAAGCAGAGGTGCAAAAGTTTTCAGAAGCAGAGGTACAAAAGTCTGCATCCGTGCTTTTGACAATTACCTCTCCCTCTTCCAAAAGATATCCAAATTTTTGAACAATTAAATTTCTTCCTGTAAGCTGTAATTGATATTATAAATTATGCAGCAAAAATTGGATTTAAAAACAAAGCAAACCAAAACCAGAAAAAAACCACTCCAGCACCTGCTTAAGAGATGAGGTAGGTGCACAAGGAGGGAGTCCTGGCCAGGAAGTGTTGTAAGCCCCATCGTGGTATTGGGCCAACCTACAGCCAACCTCCTTTTTTAGAGTCCAGGAATGTGTCAGCAGGTAATACCAGATGAGATGCTTCCATTCATCCAAAAATCATATCCAGCATCTATTTCCTAGGAAGGACGAACCATAACGTCTTGTGGGAAAAGCCTTCTGCACACGCTTAGATGGGTCTGTTTAAACAGAATACATGAAAGGTTGCAGATCCCAGCAGTCGACATGGGAAGACTGAATAAAAACGGGTCTCCTTTAGGACAGGAGTCCCCAACCCCCCAGGCCGTGGCCTGTTCGGAACCGGGCTGCACAAGCAGCAGGCGCACACTCAAGCACGCAGCTTCATTTGCACGAGCGGCAGGCACTCCCACCTGCACGTGAAGCTCCATTTGTATGAGCGGTGGACACAAAACTCAAAAATGGAGCTGCGAGTGTGCACACTCCCCCCGCCCCGCCGGTCTGCAAAGCCCGAAAGGTTGGGGACCATTGCTTTAGGAATCATTTTGTTTTTAGCATCTAAATTATCTACGTCCCTTCCAGCAGTTTCTGCTATCATTCTTGTAATACTCGTCTTTGAAAGATGCATTTTATTCTCCTATGATCATTTTCAAAAGTGCAAGTTCTCCCAGCAGACCAGAGAAGCTAGGGAATCCAGAAGCTAAAAGTCATTTGTCCAAAATGCTAAGACTGTGCATGCAGTTTACAGTCTTTTATAAAAGTCTCAACAAAATTGGAGCGTGTTATTTTCCCCGACTCGGGTCATGCCACTTCCCTACCAGATAAATGCAACAACACAGCATGGGAGAGTGGTAGAAAGTGCGTTCCCCCCCCCTCAAAAAGGAGACATCAAGTGAATATACTCCCCATTGCTAACAGGTTCAAATCTGAAGAAAAATACAAGTGTGATCTTTCATACGTTTTCAAGAGGTAAAAAATATGAGTATCTTGCCTCACGAGCTCAGCAAACACGCAATAACATTTTTTTCTAGAAAAGGCACATTGCAGCAGGGTTCACAGCTGAAAGTCAACCTGTGGCCACCAACTGAACTTCCCCAGCACGAGTCAGTTTGAGAATAGATCACAGTCTCGGTTCTTCTGGCTGGACACTGAGATTGTCCTAGCAAGGATTTAAACAGTCAATAGTCTTTTACAGAATCAGATTTCCACTTTCAAACGCTGTCAAAGAAGAGAAGTTTGCAGAAGGAAGACCTGCCCTGCGTGGAATCCCGGGACTGTAGTTAGAAGGGCAGGTGATTGAACGACTTTAAAAAAATATCATTCCGGATGAAACATTTCATTTGTCAATTGTGCAATGCAAAACAAAAACAAGGCTACTTGGATCGACTCTGAACATCCCGGAGATGTAACTGCACACAAAGTTGTGAATTGGCTCTCCTGTGAATCGAACAGCCATTCCCAAACACGTGCACCCTAGGTGGGGTGAGACAAGTTGGCTGGAGATTATGAAATTTGAAATCTAGCACAGGTGGAGGATATCAATTTGAGAGAAACTGGTATAAAAGGGGACTCATATGTGCCCTCCTTGTCACATCTCTTCCACCAGGACAGAACAAATTCAATGAAAGGTAAAAAGGTCTGAATCACCATATTCGATGGTGGAAAGTAGCACACCCAGACCAAGTGCACCAATTTTGGGGTTAGACCTACACGTGAACAGAGGGATGAGGGACATCTGATTTTCCTTTCCTCCCCCCCATCCACTGATGAGGGGCAGAAGAGAGGAGGAGGTGGAGAAAGTGGAACAAGGCTTATCTCATGGTTCACAAAAGCTTAGAAAAAGTGCATCGTTCCTCAGACGTTCCTCAAAGGTTCAACAAAGGACCTTCATTCTGCAGAGTTGGAAGGCATGACTGCTGGAGGCAGCTAAAGCAATTTTTCAGATCTGGGGACTGCAAATTCAGGGCTTCAGCGGCAAAAGAAGGGAAAAACATGCTTTGAAAGTAGGAAGCTAGGAAAACTCAGCCCTGGAGAAAGTGGAGTTCAAAGCCAAGGAAATGGGAATTTTTCCCTTAACAGTTTTTTGATAATCTCACCGGTCTCATAAAGAAAAAAAACTGGTTTTGCAAAAACTTACAAAAACTCCTCTTAAAAAGTCAGCAAAAACTCTTTTAAACTACCAGGCTTCCCAGGCTTCTACGAAGAACAGAAAACAACAGAAAGTGTCTATAGTCTACTCAATTGTCTGTTATAGTGTCAGGTAAGACTATAGCCTAAATCCTAGCCAACATTTGCCTAGAACAGGCTTAGGATAGGAATTCAATTCAGATAAAAAGAACTAATGCACATTGTAGAAGAAGACTTGTTTCAAATTGATCATTACTCCAGAACCAGTAAACAGTATTAGCGTCAACCAGAAACACATGCCGAGTCCTCTCAGCTTCTTTGTGGGACAAACAAAACAAAATCTGGTTGCCATTTTGTTTCCTGGTGCACATTTGACATGATGTTGAGATGTTCTGTTAACCTTCAGTTGAGGTAAAACCAGTCCTATCTATTAGATTCCCTGTGGGATTAGTAGCTTAAGGACAATATTTACCCAAACAGCTTTAGACTGGAAAATGTGTTGGTCAGTGAAAGTGGCTGCAGAACAAATCAAAAGTCTCCATCCTTGGCTATTAGTGCTTGGAGGAGAGGACTTCCTGGGAGCCAGGAGGGGCCCGCCCCAGCAAGAGTGTTGAGCATGATGGCCGAAGTAGAGTGCCTTCCGTTTCATGGGGTCCGTTTGCAATTTCTTGAAAAAAAGATACCTGTCGGAAGCCACAGACTGGACGTCATCACAGAAGAAACCATTTAAGGCTTCTGCTTCCCCAGTTTGGAGGGAAAGGGGGCAGATGTAAATGGGTCGCTAGTGGGCAGTTCCTTAGTCCTGGAAGAAAGAGAGGCGATAGAAACGGACCCAGCTATCACCTGCTTGTTGGTCTGAGATACAACTTTGTAAGCTGCTATGGGTTGGGCGCTGGTCCCCTGCCTGCCTTCTGGACTGTAATGTCGGGAGTACTTTGCTAAGGACTGTGGGTGGAAAGGCGGGCTGGTCTTCGATCCCAAGAAGCCTTCTTGGAGGACCAAGTGTCTTTGGAGTGTATCGTTGGAAATGGGACCGAGTTCTCCAGATGCACCTTTGGGAGGGTGGGCATCTGGACCATCACTTGCTCTTGAGGGCTGAACCAAGGAGGCCCCTGAATACTGACCTTGGGGAAGAAGGGAGCCATGGGTTCCCACATCCAGGTTCTGGAATGTAGGGGCACGGGTGTGCTGAGGAGCAACTCCAGCTGAGCCTAGGAAGGCCCCAGTGGGAGGAGGTTCCTTGACGACATTGTGACCCACCAGCTCCTCCTGGCTTTTCTTTTTTGTGAATGGAGCTTTAAGGAACACATCGCCTTCATCCAGCTGCGTAGAAAACACTTGGCTTTTGGAGAGAAACGGTGCTTTTGTGAAAATGTCCAAGTCATCACAGTGGCTTTTAGAGTTTCGGAAAGGAGCCGTGGCAAAAACGTCGGTCTCCTTTTCAGACGTTTCTGCAGGTTGTTGCGGAAAAGTGTCGAACAGAACCGACCCTGGCACATTCTGGGCTGGTTGGAGGTTCAAGTCCTTTTGGGAACCACGTCCCCTTTCCTGAAGCTGGGGGTTCATTTTACAAGCCTCTTCTTCCTCTTCCGAGTCCATCAGCAGAGGTCTGGATCCACTGCAGTCCAAGATGTCTCCCTCGTGGTCAGTCCCTTCTCCTTCGCTGCTGTGGAAGGAGCTGTTGCTTGAGAGACCATCCCTCGCCAAGGAGTCAGCTTCTCCTCCAGGTTGACTCTGCTGATGCTTATTCAACGGCAAGCCACTGGTGGCCCCTGGCCTTCGGTCTTGCTCAGTGCTGACCAAGAAATATGCAGCCGGGTTCCCCTGCAGTCCTACAAATTGTAAAACAAGAGTATTACTTGCTAATCTTAAGATATTCCAAGTAAAACTAAACCACAGAGGTGTAATGATGTGGGATTTAAAATCAGCAGCACGCATGTTGGGGTGAGGAGGAAGGGAGATGGAGGGAGAAATACATATAAAATAAAAACCATACAAAAGTGAAGCCAGATAGTTACAACCAACAGACACACAACTCGGCATTTCTTCACATTTCAAGAGTCCACAAAACGTGGGTTAGAGAGAGATGGAAGGTGTTAATAAAACAGACACACAAGCCTCACTCAAGACTTGGGAGGAGGATGAGAAGGGGGAGGAAATGATTGTCCCAGACATCACGAGCAGAGGGCGAGCTGGGCTTTCAAGGAAGGCAAGGTTCTAGATCTCATGATCCCAAAGGGGAAAATGGGAAAATAAGGAGGTCCATTTCTTCGCACAGACAAACTGCATTTCTGCTGTCTTCTCACAGGGTTCCCTTGCTTTTCTGTCTTTTGATCTTATAGCCTATGATTTTCACCTCTCCTGCATCAGACTTTAAGGAAAAATACTTGGGGAAATAAAGAGAAGATTCAAAATAAAATGTGTGCTAGCTTGCTTTAACCAAATCGTGCCTCCTTTGGGGCAAAATGTTTTAAATCTCATCAGTGTTAGAAATGAGGAAGCTTTAGAAATCATCTGACTGTACCGGCAAGCCCCTTTGGGAAAGGCCAGTTGGAATGCCTTCCGCTCCGGAGAGCTCTGGAAGGATCAAATCTACCCATTCAACGCTGCTACTAGTCTGGGTCTGTGGGTGAATGGGGCTCAATCAATAACCTGCCTCTTTGGGCTTGCCAGCTTTCTCAAAGAGAAAAAAAAAACCCTCTTAACTCAGGGGGAACACAAGTCTGTGGTGACCCTAGTTTGCTGGTGACAAGGAACAGGTGACAACGAACAGAGCTGCTTCAGTCCAACCCAAAGCCTGCAGATCTGCCCACCTTCCAAATGGTGGAAGGCACAAGCAGAAGACCTTGCTCTTGCTACACACATGGAAGATGAATCACACACATAGTTATTAGAACACGAGAGAGCTTACCTTCCACGAAAGAGTAGCAGGTTACAATGTTAGCGAGAGAGCAGGAAAAAGGCACATAAAAGCTAAACTTCAGAGAACCCATGTTTGCCACCATCCATAGAAATTATGGGGCATAATTATGGGTACCACTCAAATTCAGAAGGAGGGGGAAGAGGAATTTCTGCTAACTTAGGGAAGGCAGAGGATCACAGTTCACCAAGGGGCCTGGGCTAATTTCTGGCGGACCCTTCTGAAGTTGATAGTGATGTTCATCTGGTCCACACAAGGTTTGCAGTGTTCTTTAAGCAAACATGAATGCTCTACATCACTTCTGAAGCCCCCAGTGTGAAGAGAGGGCTCTTTATAAATTTAACAAAGGTCTGGAATACAGGATCTCTAGTTCTGTTTATAAAACACTTCTTAGCCAAGGTCATCAGCTGTTAGGATATTAAGCTGCTTCTCATGATCAAAGATAGGACTCATAGAACAAGCATCGGCATTTTATTGACAGAGCATTAAAACCTAAGTTACATGATAAAACAAAAGCCATGCCAGATAAGAGGCAGACATTTCTATGGCATGATGCTTAAAGTTCTTGATTGTTGATTTCTCAGCCATCCCATTTCTCCATTTTTGATTTGCTTATTTGCGCTGCAGATCCCACCAAGAAAAATCAGAAATGAAAACCAGCCAAGAATTTCCTCCTTTTCAAGAGTCATTTGTAGTGGAACAGGCAGTGTTATATAATAAGATAGCCTTTATTTTAACTTTCTTAGATGAATCCTTACTATTCCAAGTCTTTTTTAATTTCTCTGAAATAACACGAATTCTTAAATCAAATTTCAGCTGTTTGTAATTCTGTAAGCAGGAACTAAGGCCCTAGAATTATTTTAGACACAGGAACTTTTCACCAGTTTAACCCACAAACACTCCTGCAACCAGGCCCTCCTAACCAGAGTTCTTGGCAGTGTGCACTAATATGGCCCTGAAAATCTCTGCAGCCAATCTCTTTCTGCTCAAGGCTATTGTTATAATCTGGGGGAGTGAAGGGCTAAACATGTGAGGGGACTAGTGCCATATCAGCCAATAAGCAAACCAGAATTTGGGATTTTCCTCCCAATTGTTGGAGTGCTTAAAGGGCTTTGCTGTTTCAACCAGGTTAATTTTGTTTGGGGGAGGGATGTCACTCAACAGAACAGTCAACTCTGCCATTAATTTTTTGGCAGCAATAGCTGGTGGAAGGAGAGCTCCTAGGCTGTTAAATTGTTCTACAACAGGGGTATCCAACCTTGGCCACTTTAAGACCTGTGGACTTCAACTCCCAGAATTCCCCAGCCAGCTAGGGAATTCTGGGAGTTGAAGTCCATAAGTCTTGAGGTTGCCAAGGTTGGACATCTCTGCTGTACAACAAGAGCATTGTAGAAGCTGATGTTTCCCCTCTCGTTTTCTTTAAGCCACACAGATGTTTAAAAGTTGAATTTTATTTAATTTTTTTAGCCTGAGCATCATAGAGAACAACTTTCTCCACCACACAAATTGGAGCACCAGTCTGGTTACACTGCTGAAATATGACATGGGTAGAATTTGTCAGAGTGACTGTCTTCTGTGGCTCCTTTCTAGTATTACCTGAAGACAACCTCGCTGCGAATTCAAGCTGACCAATAAATTTTATCCATAGAGCCAACAACCATTTCCAAAATGATCTCTTGAGCAGTCCAGATGCTTGCTATCTTCTGTTGTCTTGAGCAAAATCTTCTTGCCTGTGATTCTTCTCTGGGATTCCTTTTATGAGATGGGATTTCTTATGTCTGTTACCCACCCACCCCTTTGGCAGAAGATCTGGCGATTTTTCCAAAAGGCAACTGGACTTTCTTGGTTTTTTTTAAATGCTTCGCTTCTCATCCAACAATCTTCTTCAGAACTAATATTCTTGGGTATATGCATATGGAAACACAAGATTAAACACTCACATCTCCACACTCTTCTCTTCATCCATATTTGCATCTGGAGTTCCAGATAGGGGATTTTGTGGGCTGATGTTTCCCAGCCGTTCTGCTCTCAGCTTCCAGAAGCTTGGAGCGAGGCCTTTCTCAACTTTTCTGGAGGTCTTTCAAAGGTAGAAAAAAAAAAATATGAAACGCAACTGTTTGATATTTCTCCAATTGACAGTACTCAATCAATCGGAGTATGTACCGGATGGGTGAAAAACAAATTGAGATATTCTAGCAAATGTTTGTACTAGTTCCAGTGGATTGTTAGCTACAATATCAGGAATTTTCTGCTTTAGAGCCCAGGTTACTTGGATGGCCTCTGTACCTTGACTTGGGAACATTGAGGAAACATTGGTACACTACTAATGACAAAATGTCTTAATAACAGCGATACTAATCTAGAAGGCATCTGGAACTTGGAAGTTGAAAATTATGGTTCCTGGAAATCTGGGGTATGTGCATGTGCATGTGCACGAGATGACTTCTAAACTCAGTTCTGATTGTGATCAAAATAGTCTGAGCTGAGCAGGACTAAGCTGTTCCTGAATTCTCAGCACCCCCCTGCCTGCAACCCTATTCTGCCCCAACTTCTAGCAATGCGTAGAGGAGTCCAGCAGACCTCCTGGTCTTGTCCCACCCTGGTGGCAAAGTGAGGTTCAGGGCAGGGCAGCTCCTCTACCTCCCTAGGGAGCTGGCATTCAAAACCCTTTGGCACCTGCAAGTCCATCTGCAAAGTCCTTCAACTAAAAAGGTTTAGCCATTCAGAAACAAATACACAGAATGCACCAGCTCATCTTTCAGTGTGACGTATGCCATCGGTACCCAAAACAGAGTAAGCAGGCCAGTCCCCATATGAATAGTGTATTAGAAGTTGTATCAGAATGCTGTAGGAATGAACCATAATTAATATAGCATCAATAGAAGAGAATATTTGTAGCTCAAGGTTGATCTGTGGAGTTGTTAAGTGCTCTCAGCTTGGTGTTTCATAACCCAACTAGTAAACTGATGATGTTATCTAGCTGACTAAAGAAACATCAGCAGGAAAACAACCAAGCTCAGAGAGCACCAAGGACTCCATGATTAATATAGCATATCATGTCTAGCTCCTTGGCTTTGAAAAAGGCATAAAAAATTATCACACACATATGCACACATATGTTAAATCTGCTTACCAATGCACAAATGCCCCTATTAGAAATGTGTTAATTTTATTTTTCCTTTGTCCTCCTTAGTCACAACTCAATCCCAGTCGTGCAATTTTTATCTCTAATTAGAATGGGATTAAGTTTGCAGGAGAACTAGGAAGTTGTGGTGGTGAGTTGTGGACTATCTGTATTTAGTAGATGACCTCTGGCCCTTTTAGCTAATCTCTGGTGCTCTGTGGATAAGAGAACTGGGTCCAATCCCAGATAGCAGAACAGGGAACCATTTCTTATGGGACATTTGTGTGATGTCCATCACACTGCAGAGTGCAGCTGAGGGATTGGGTATCTCTTCTTCATTCCCGAGATCTTTATAAAATGCTAATCTACTGGGCCTGGAATCTACTCTTGCTGGGCACATCTTCAGTTGCTGGGTGATCCAGAGGAGGCCTGTTTGGCTCAACCTGAACAGGCTGCTGTGATTATCACCACGGATCAGTGAGCTACTAGATAAGAACTACATGAGATCATTCTAGTACTGGAATCCCTGCAGTGGATCGCTGTCATTCATTCTTCAGATCTCACCCCAGGAATTGGGAGTCAGGACAAATCTTTGCCTTGGTCATCAATCGCAGTTGCCGGGAGGGGCAGAAAAATTACATCCATCCTAACTTGCCCTATGGTAAAGATCGGAATGGCCATTAGTTGGCCTCCCATGAATGAGGAACATCATTAACCAAGCCAAACGTTGTAAGCATCTATTTCCCAGGTTGCAATATGAAGAAATTCCAGGGACTATTATAGTGAAATGCAATAATCAGTGTTCTACATTTACTGTCTCTCTTCCTTTTGTTTTTCTGCTCAGAGACTATAAGCAAATGACTTTTGGGCAGGAGAGGGGGATTCCATCTGCTCCTTGTTTTCGTAAAAAAAAATATCAGGTTGTGTCCTTTTGGTCAAACAAATACTACTTTCACAAGGAATAGTAAGAGGCAATGATAAAACATGGCCAAAATTTTCAGCCCACTTTTGGGCAAAGAGAACCAGATAATGGCGCCTTTGATCTAAATACACCAATGGAAACATTAAGACAGAGCAAGGCCACCACCGACGCTCAGCCCCTCTGAGTTGGATCTCCTTTTGAAAAACAAAAACAGCTTTTTACAGCTTCTAGCAATGAGCCAACAATCCACCATTCCCAGGTCAACCTTATCATGGTTTGTCACTGAAGCATTTCCATGGTGACTAGTAAACTTTAGTTTACGATATCATTTCAGTTATCCAGCTAACAGGAGGAGTCATTTCTTGGGTGGATGGGAAAAGACCCACCCACCCCCCATTCATACTGATTAGTTAACAGCACTATCCTCACACAACCAGGTGCTTCTGTAAAATTCCTTCCAAAACTCTTCAACAAGTTAATTAAACTTAAAATGTTAAAACATTCTTTTTTAAAAGTACTTTAATTCACAGGGGGGGGGTGTTTTTTGGTTTCTAATATACAGCAGGTGGTTACTTTGTTTAAAAAAATCCATTCTTTTTTCCATATATTTTCAGTATCATCTGACTATACAATAACGTTCTATCTAAAGCTCTGTCCATGTGATCCAACTCCAGTTGCCTGCACTTCAGGAATCAAGAGTCAAGACAAAGAATCAAAGAGTCTGCCCCAAAATGTAAAGAACTATCGACAATTTTGCTACAATCGTTTTCATACTTTTGTCAGGTAAGTCAGGAAAGTGCAGCAAAACGACCTATGGACACACACATCACACAGAAGCAGTAACTGTTTTATAATGAAGAGCGTCAGCAAGTAGACTTTAGAAAGATTCAAGAGAGGATTGACACGACAGTGAAATTCTATTTACAGAATTTGTTGAGCTAACTTCTGGAAGGCAGAGATTTGAATGGGGTTCTTGGGAAAGCTGGAGAAAAATACTCAGGGTTACATCAGAAGGTCTTTCAATCTTGTAGGAGAGGCTGATACACCTAGAAATTGAGCCATTCATACACTCACACGTAGGGAAACTGCACTTTTTGAACTACTACAATACATTTGCACATACACAAAGTTAGCATTAAGCTAGTGATTATTCCACTACGGAGTAACAGTCGTCCTCCTTTTCAGAAGAACATCTTGGAAGGGACCATTAATTTTGGACTTGAAGATCAGAAGCCAATAAAACAAGTTTACCATATCCAATAGTTTGAGGAAACTGAGCATATCAACATGAAAATAAAAGATAAAACTGTTCAGACACACCTAAGCTGGAAAGCACTTACTGAAAACCGGTTGGCAAGGAGTTCATGCTAGTTCAATAAAGAAAGAAGGATCTAACTTAAAAAGTACAGTCTGTCTATCAAGAAGGGGGGATGGCTTCATATTACTGTGTTAATACAATATGCAATTACAGAGAAGAATAGCAAAAACTGAGAAAGGAAAACAGAACAAAACACCAGTCTTACCTTCAAGAAACTCTGACATGTGCATACAATTTATACAAGTCCTCCATAAACCAAGCACCCTAGTCGCAAAGGCCTCCCCCCCTCCTAATGTTAGTTCATCCAACAGAAAAGGTCTTAGCCATGCTGTTTGACACAATATTATGGTTCACATTAACCATTTTGAGTAGAATAAGTTCCACAGCTTTAGTATCTTTATTTATTGATTGATTTATTTTAAGCACAGTCCATTCCTAAGCAGATTGCAAAACAGGAGTTTATGGCGCAAAACTGTCGTCTTTCAGGGCTTGAAATGTCTTTTATCTAAAACCATCAGGCCTCAAACTGAATTTTGTCTTTGGAAGACCCTCTGTCCAGGCCCCAATCCGTGATAGGACTTCCTAGCACGCTCCCCCTGCACTGGAGAAGGACAACACTACTTCTCTTCACTGCCCTTAGCCTCCCAGGTCTCGCTTTTTTTTTTTAATCAAGAAAAAAAGTTTGACAGACAATTTTAGTTAGCATTATTTAGGCAGATTAGTCGTATGTATTTCTAGCAAGGATCATACATAGATTACATGGGTTTTTTTTTTTACAATGATAGTTTTGGTGGCACTAAGGGATAAATCGTAGCAAAGTGATTAATACATGGTAGCACTCCCTTAAAGATAGCAGAGAATTGCACGAGAAACTGTCGCAGGCTGCATCAAGGCTGCGCTGGAAACAAGTACAGATAAATCCTAACAGAGGGTACAATTTCAGAGCAGGGTCCTTCCACCGGGCGTTATTTCAAACAAAACAAAAGCAAAAAACCATCCAACAACTAAAGATTAGCTCTGTTAGGAGAAGAAAAAAAAAAGGAACGAAAGGATTTTAGGTACGTTACAGAAACCGCCTGTTACTGAGCGACTGCTACAGGTCTATGAGCTGATCCACCAGCAGAAGAGACCTGGCTAGGTTAGGAAGACTGGATTCAGAGCTTCCACTGCTGTTTCTAGAATGCCCACCTGAAAGTGTGAGAGACAGCAATTTAGTATCCGGCAAAAGACACAGGTGTAGAAAGTTAGCTTTTTAGTTAAAAAAAGAATTAGGAGAAAGTCATCCACACACAAAAAAGAAGAGCCAGATAAAACTGAAGGGACCTCAAGTCTAGGTGGCATCTACCCAAGCTTTGGCTCTGTTAGAATTGCTGTCTGGAGGGAGAACTTTTGCAGAGCTTCTCCAACATTGAGACCAAAGAGGACTTTCCAAACATCAAGCCATCAATCAAAGCAGCCACCGAACTCAACATCAGAAGCAAGAAGAGGAACTGGAGGCTGGGTCTGCACCTTCTTCCTCCCTTCAGCAATTTAACTGGTTTTTCTGGCTCAATCATCACCACAGACATTAATTAAGTAGGGCAGGATTGACACTGGCTTTGCAAAAAGGACCCTACCCCGTCACTTGATGGCTTGGACTTGTTCCTCTCAGAGGAAAGAACAGAACCCAAATTTAGAATCCGAGTGAGGAGGATGGAAAATCCAATGGGTCACCTAGGGAAACAATCTCACTCTTGCCTTTTACGACAAAAGATCCTGCCCTGGGAATCCCTCTGATAAGACTCATTCGGTGTCCTGCTGGAAGCCCCTAGGTAGGGGATTCATACTCTAGACCTCCCCCAAAGCCAAGCAGTCAGGATTCTGATCAGCAGAAAATTAGCACAGAGGTCTGGTGCAGGCTAGATCTGAGAATCTCAACCACTTGGTGGCAACATTGCTTTTGAGAATGAAAGGATCCATTCAGTGATTTCAAGTAACCAAAATATATGGCCCTGGAAATGTTATTCATCTTACAAGCACGGATGAATCAGAACGAAGGACAGCTGGATTTTTTTTCAAAGCTGTAGACTAGAGTTGCAACACAGAGTTTCCCTATGTCCAAGAAACCCAACAGAAGACTAGGGAATGCTCAACTCTATCTTTGCCCCATAAACAGGTTTGAGAATTGAAAACAACCTGGTACAACCGGACGCTCTAAAGCACGGGTGTCAAACTTGCTGCGTCATGTGACATGGTGCGATATATCGCAACTTTTTTTTTTTGCATTGCCGGAGCTGGGGTGGGCGCAGCCTCCGCATGAGGCAACCGGCCCACGGGCCGGCAGTTTGACACCCCTGCTCTAAAGAAATTGAAACCAACGAACACAACACAGAATTCTGGGTGGGCAGGAACAGTGCATGCAAACACGTGACCGTAACGCATTGCTTGGGCTTCTCACTTGAAATGTGCCTGCTTACCTTGTGAATTTTTGGATATTAACACAGGGATGGGGTCAAACTCATCTTCTGCCACTTTTTCAGAGCCATCAAGGACATCAAAGCCTGATATCAGGTTAGTATCTTCTGCAGCATGATGGGGGAGGGTTGAATTTTAAAAGGATGAAAAAGAGCAGAGAAAGCTGGTTAGAAACCACCGAAACAACATTTGCCGTATGTGTTTTGCTGCAAGGGACCGTTAAAGCAAACTGGGGATTTAGAAAGCCAGGGAAAGGAGAGAAGTGGATGAATATATGAAAATTATATGGAAGGGAAGCAGCAGCGGAAGAAGCTTGTCCGAGAGGAAATAGCCAAGTTGCAGCAGAGGGTTAGTGATGAAAACATTTCATAGGGAGCCGAGTTGAGATAATGGAAAGATGAAAAGACTGGGATTCTCATCCTGATTAGATGACTTCCTTTGTACAACTGATCTCACTCTACTCCTCAAATGCACGTGAGGATTTATAACACAGGAGTTTCCCACCACAGGTGCTACTTGTGAAGGGCTGGGTACCCCTTTCAAGATGCTGCAACTGCTTCCCCCTCATGGCCAGTTCTTGAGACTCTTGGAAGAGCACTGCTGAGACATCAATTTGCAAACATTTAGCTCTGCCTTCAAGGCTCACATACTGAGGATGAACTGGATTCAAACATAATGGACTGACTCAGTGAACTGATTTGGACAACAAAAAACTGGACTTTTGGCCACCACTGGAGCCTCAACAATGCCGACTGAGGGTGCAGTGCAAACTTACACAGGCATAGCTCAGCGTCAAACTCATGAAGTAACTGCATTCATACAAGAACAAGTTTGTTTAACTCTGCTTGACTAAATAATTCACAGTAGCTGAACAGCATTAACACTCCAAGCCAAAAACAGTCGACGAAGAGCGAGTAGAATGTTGGCTGTTCATTTGTCTTTTATTTCATATTTTAAAATGTGACTGAAGGGAAAGATGCGCTTAATGTTATTAGAGTAAAGAAATATAGTTAGGGACACAGAACATAGAATCATAGAACTGGTAGTCAACTTAGAAGTCTTCTAGGCCAACCTCCTGCCCAAGGCAGGCATCCTTATTCCATCCCAGACAAATTTGATTTAGCAAAAAACAGCAGAACTGTTAAGACACATTTCCATATTCCAATGGATAGAGAGCCATCAAAGCATTGAGCAGAAATCACCAACCCAGGAACATTCTTACATACACCTGCCTGCCTTCCATCGTGATCTATTCAGACCTTTGGGGGTTTTTTTTGTCTCGTCTCTTCGTTCAAATGACACTCTAAAAAGGAATTTACCTTTGTGAGTTTGGGATGAAACAGCCAAAGGAGCGAACTCATCCAGGAGGTCAGTGCCGGGGTTAGAAAGCAGAGAGCAGTCAAGCAGGGACTCCTCCGCAGTGATTGAATCTGGAACCAGGAGAGCAAGCAGATCACAGCACAGAGAGGAGCAAGGAGACGCACCGTCCCTTGGGTGGTGGAGGCTCATTTCCAACTCTATAGAGAGCCATCCTTTGGTTTTTTTTAAAAAAAAATAATGACCTGAACTGGGGCTAAAGTGCCATATATAGAAAGATTATTAGTTAAATTCCTTCCAAAGTCAGCACTATATAAAAGGTGGGGCTTTGATTGCATATCTGTGGCTACCAGTTTAAGTTTTTTGACCCTCCTATGGGCACCCCTGGACCTCACCTACAGGAAAGGTATAAGCTGTTTTAATTTATTGAAACAAAGCTAAGAGTTCCCCCCCTCCCCCATACTGACTTTGGAAGGAATCTTTGAAATTCCTCTTAACTTGGGGCAGGTTCTAACAGATTTGTCTCCTAGAATGTAAGAACTGGGATAGTAGCAGCTTAATGTTTTGCACCCCTGAAGGGCCCATCGGTATTAGTCCTACCAGCAGAACTTAAGGATGCGCTGAAGGTTAAAGCGAAAGGCTGTCAAGAAAGGAGCCAGGTTCAGTTCCCAGGAAAATCCCAGCGATGGGAAGGGAAGGTGGCTGCCTCCATTCCTTCCCAGATCACCACATCAGGGACCGAGCCCCAGCTGTCTCACCAACCTGCTCTGCTGGAAGCCACCGAATCTGCCTGGGAGGATCCGAGCTGGGGCACAGGAGCCTCAAGGCCCGGGATGAGACTCTCAGCGGTCAGCTCAGCTTTTCCTTTCCGAAGGCACAAAAGAAGGAGGAGAGCAGAAACCAGGATTAGCAGAGGCAGGAGGAAAAAGAAAGCAGCAGGCTGGGAGGGAGGACCCTCCCTCACTCAGAGGATCCGTTTCAGAATGTTTGAAAGGAGCCCTGGTGGCAGAGTGGTTAGAAGGCAGCGTTGCAGGCTAATTCTGCCCACTGCCAGGGGTTCGATCCTCACTGGCTCAAGGTTGGCTCAGCCTTCCATCCTTCCGAGGTTGGTAAAATGAGGACCCAGATTGTTGGGGGCAAATAGGCTGACTCTGTAAACCGCTTAGAGAGGGCAGTAAAACACTGTGGAGTGGTGTATCAGCCTAAGTCAGGGGTAGGCAACCTTGGCTCTTTTATGACTCGTGGACTTCAACTCCCAGAATTCCTGAGCCAGCCAGCTCAGGAATTCTTTTAGAAAAATGTTTATTGGCTTGATTTTCAACAGTCTACCTGTGGTTTTGCTTTTATAGACATTGAGCCTCCTGGATTTGTCAGATTTACCTGATTTCCTTGGGGAGGAACGACCACCAGCGTTTTCTGTTCACCCCCCCCCCCCGGTCACATCTCCTGGGGTGCCATCATTTGGATGCACTGCATGTGTGTGTAAGTGTGCAAAGCATGCAATCTAGACAGGTCAACATGCAGGGTGGGACAGGAAAGAACAAAAAGGGTTCTAGGTTTTACCATTCATAGCATCAGAGGTGCTACCGAAGGGATCGGCCAGAGGCAGGATATTGGGGAGCAGGAGCGGAGGCTCAGGAGATTTGAGGCCTTCGATCAGTTTTTCTGGTAAGGAAGCAGGAAGGAGCGAGAAAGAGGAAAGAAGCAAAAAGAAGTAAAGCAAAAACACAGTAACAAGAGCTGGTTCATTTTCAGGGACGCTGCTCAAGTGTCACAAGCAACTCCGGGAAAGTCCTCCTCCTCCACGCTTGGTCATCCTTTATCAACATTTACTGATTTTGACAGAAGAGAATATTTGTAGTTCAGGGCTGAAATGAGGTGTCCTTGGTGTTCTCTCAGCTTGGTGGTTTTCTTGCAGACAACCAACTAGGTCAGACCTTCAGTGCTAGCAGAATGATCCTACTTGGGTAACCTAGTAGACACGACCTTCTTGCACTGATAATGTGACCTAGTTGGGTAATGAAAGGTCTGCAATAAAACAACCAAACACCTTTATTGATTTAAACATCAAGCAAGCATCTTTTATTAAATTTCCAAAGCTTGATTTCCTCTGGATTAAGTCCACTGCTCAGTGGGAAGCACAAACATTTCTCTATAAAAAAAAAAAAGACAAGAGGAGACATTCTGATAACCCAGAGTCCTCCAGAGAGATGGATCTTGTATGATCCAATCTGGGTCGGTCAACGGGACCAGAGGTTTCGTCTTCCAAGCTTTCAGACTCGTGTTGGAGTCCATCTCCAGGGAACTTCTCTCTAGCCTAGGGTGAGGTTAGAGAGACGTTCCCTGAAGATGGGCTCCCATACGAATCCAAAAGCTCAGAAGACAAAACCTCTGGCCCCGTCGACCGACCCAGATTGGAGCCCACAACATTATCCTGGGACTCGTACATTTGCCTTCAGATGAACTTGTGGTCATGAAGGCTTGGAATTAAGAGAGGTGGTCCAGGATCTTTGGAAGGCACCATTTTTGAGACGTTTGAGGAAGGCATTTCCAGCTATTTAACTCTCCCCAAAATGTTGCCTATCACTATTCATCTTCCTGAATGTTTTGGGACTCTTACTCTTAGGGACCAAGGCATCTAATTGGCCAATGAAAATGGGATAAAATATGCTTAAATACAAAGTGGTACCTCAGTACTCAGCGTTAATTGGTTGTGGGAGGTGTGACTAGTACTAAAAAGGATGAGTCCCAAACGAACCATATGACTTACCTTGTGACCCTTTTTTCGGCCGGGAACAACTTTCTGTCTGCCCCTTTTCCTATGTCAGCGCCCTTCCCAGAATGGCTGGCTTCCTGTCCATTCCCCATGGCTGTCCCCCTTTTCCTATTATAGCGTGCCAAGTACTAAACAGCCAGTAGTACTGGGACAACATTTTCACATCAAAATGTGTCGAGTATCAAATTCAATGAGTTTTGAAGCAGTCAAGTTCTGAGGTACCACTGTACTCCAAAACAAGGTTCAAAAACAGCAACTGTGAGAGGAACCTTGGAGTCCTAGTGGACGATCACTTGAATATGAGCCAGCAGTGTGCAGCAGCAACCAAAAAAGCTAATACAATCCTGGGTTGTATAAACAAAGGCATAGAATCAAGATCACACAAAGTATTAGTACCGCTTTATAAAACCCTAATAAGACCACACCTGGAATACTGTACTGTAGCCAATTTTGGTCACCATATCACAAAAAAGATGTTGAGAGTTTGGAAAAAATTCAGAGAAGAGCAACTAAGATGATCAAAGGCCTGGAGACTAAAACATATGAAGAACGGCTGCAGGACTTGGGTTTGGCTAGTCTAAAGACAAGAAGAAATAGGGAAGACATGATAGCAGTGTTCCAGTATTTGAGGGGCTGCCACAAGGAAGAGGGGGTCGCATTATTCACCAGAGCACCAGAGGGAAGGACGAGAAACAATGGTTGGAAACCCCCCCATGGATGTATGGCTTCCAAAGGGGTGTGACTGAATGGCGATAGAAGCAGGTGCAGTTATTATAGCCTTCCTGAGCTGCTCTTCCTTATTTTCCACTGACAAGCAAGTAAAGATGCATGACTTGATTTCTCCATTTGTGACCTCTGTAACCCCCCAAGCTGACAAGAAATCTTTGCCTTTTGTCCCCTTCAGCTAAAATGCATAATTAATTATGCAAATCAAGTTGCAGAAGGGCTACAATTAACTGGGGTCTGTGAAGACTCTTCCAGCAGCTGTGTGCAAATTTCTGCAGGCTGATTTGCTGAGGTTGTGAAAAATGGAGAAAAGCAAGCTTGAATTGACCTAAGAATCCACCTACCCCCAAAATAAAAGGGACATCATCAGACATCTGAACATGAGACATTTTTCCAGAATGCAAGGCTCTTTAAGATCAAAAGCTCCAATGCTGGTGCTGAATTCAGTCACCTAACTCAGTCCCACTGACTGCAGGTAGGCAGAGGGTTGTTGTGTGTGTGTCTTTGAATAATATGAAGGGAAAGTGAATCTGAAAGGTTCGGACCACTTCCAAAAAGCTCTCTTTTCTGCAGTGGTCTGAAATATGGGGCTTGTAGCAAAGCAGCTGTCTTCAACCCTTAGGACCCACTGGGACCACACCTTTCACGTTTCAAAGTAATTGCAAGAGCTCCAGAAGAGACACAAGCTGGGGAAGAACTGACCCTTCTGGATCCTATTCAAACCTGAATTTCATACATTTCAGAACCTCCAGAAAATAAAAGGGAACATTTGGTTAGGAGAGAAGGGTTAGGACGTCATGCTGAGATTGACATACTCCGTTGGCACTCAGGAAGAGGGTTCATGCAAGAACAGATGAAAAACTGGCTTCCCCGGTTTTGTGGAACCAGATTGACAACTGAGGCTTGGAATTTCCTTATTGCACTTGATTAAGAGGTTTCTAGTAACTCAACAAACCAGAGTCAACAAACCTGCTATATCATTACAGCATTCTATCATAGGCCACCCATCTATATACCCACGGTCTGAGCCTTAAGTTAATTTTCATATTTGGAAATATAACAGAAGACCTTGGAGGTCTTCTAGTAGTCCAACCCTCTGCTCAAGCAGGAGACCCTATACCGTTTCTGACAAATGACTATCCAATCTCTTCTTTAAAATCTCCAGTGATGGAGCACCCACCACTTCTGAAGGCAAGCCCTTTCACTGGTTAATTGTTCTCACTGTCAGGAAGTTTCTCCTTAGTTCTAGGTTGCTTCTCTTCTCCTTAGCTTCCATCCATTGTTTCTTGTCCTGCCTTCCTGTGCTTTGGAGAACAGGTTCATTATAGGAAGGATGTATCTTCCCAGGGCAGGTGTAGGCAACCTTGGCTCTTTTATGACTCGTGGACTTCAGCTCCCAGAATTCCTGAGCCAGCATGGCTCAGCTTGGAAGCCTCTCCCTTTCCCCTCAGCATGGCTGGCTCAGGAATTCTGGGAGTTGAAGTCCACGAGGCATAAAAGAGCCAAGGTTGCCTAGCCCTGTCCTAGGGGTTCTTGTTCAACAAGCCCCTAGAGATAAATTTCACCTCTCTATCAAGTACCCATCTGTCAACGGTTTTTTTTCCTATGTGAGGTCACAGGGGCCAACGGGGCTGGGCGGGAAGTGTGAATGCACATCCCTGACAGCTTCAACCATTTCTACCAGCCTAATAGATCGAAGCTACAGCCAAAGTAAAGCTCAGAAGAAAGTGAATCCACACACATCTCCACCGTTGCCTTCACCCAAGGCTTCAAAGCAGGAGAAGGAGGGTCCGTTTCAATATTTTGGTGCTGTTAGAAAAGTGTCTGACAAGCTGCTTCAGCACAGGCTGTTGAAATACACTCACAGCCACCTCCCTTGTTTTATAGCTGCCCCATGCTATCAAGATGCCCTAGCAAAAGATTCAATGTAAATAATCCATAAACACAAATGCTGGGGGTGGGGGGGACAGCGAGCGAGCGAGATGCAATCCATTCAGCAGCTGTTCCACTATTTGGTTCACTTAGAATCAAGTGCACCAACAGACTTTGCATACAAAAACACACACTTCAAACTAGATTACTCACTCTGCAACTACAGAAGGTAAAAAAGAGGCAGCTAACCCAGTACACACACACTGCAGCAGAGTCCTTTTCTTTGGACATCAGCTGAAGAGGAGAAATTATCTCATCAGAATCCAGTCCAATAACACATTTGGGAGAGCTAAGGCCCCAAGAGGATGCCCTCAGATAAAATGTCCCGAGGTTCAGAAACAAAATGAGCAGGAAGGACAACATCTACTTCAGAATGATCAGCATCAAGGAACAGCTGGACTTTGCCTTTGTAGAAATCATACATAATCCCATTTTTGCATATATTACTATGATTTTGCATCATTTACTTCAGTTTTGCTAGTCTTGGGTAGGCAGTGCTGAGTTGCGTAGCAACCATGGAAACATGAAAGCTTTGAAAATGTTCTTCAGCCACCTAGGTGGTCTCCAAGATTTCAGGAGATGGGCCTGATGCAATTTTAAGCAGGCCCTTCAACCAGCCACCAGTATTAAGATGTCCATAATTTGCACCAAGGTACCAAGGACGTCTCAAGATTTAGCTAAACATCCACAAAAAAGACTGAAAAACCGGTTCATGACTGCACAAATTCACATCTCCTTACTTCAGGTATCTTCAAGAAGAATTGGAACTGCTTTTTATTTTGGTAGTCAAGAACAAAAATCTGGATTTGACCAGCCCTGTGTGATGTGCACAACACTGAATCAAATTCGCACTGGCCGTGGTAGATGCGCTGACGCCCTCGATCAGTGGGGCAAAATACCATCACTGCATTGTGACTGTGGGGCCGAAAAACAAACCATCCAGCACACAGTGACAGAGTGTCAAAATAGAACCTATAAAGGAGATTTCACTAATTTCCTGGCTGTGGCAAATGAAGTAAAAAATTATATTTGCAACTTAGATATAAGTTTGTAATCTTCCTGTTAAGGTTACAGATTTTATATTTTATGTTTTGAATTTTACCCCGTTCCTTTTTAATGACATCTTACGTGAATGTGCCATACAATAAATACAATAAATAATAGGCTGATATTTAAATAGGCTTTGAGATTAACCTACCATTGCCTTCCCCAAGACCTTATGATATGATGCTCCCAATCCCTTCCCTTAAATTTTGCCATCGTACAAGAGCTAAGAAACCAGCCTTTTTGTGACAGTCCCTGCCCTATGGAATACTCTTGCCCCTGATGTTTGGCAGGACTCTGCTCTCCGAAAAGCAGTGAAGATCCAGCACTGGCAAAGGGCGAGAGGATTTAATATGGTATTATGTTGTCTTATTTTTTATATGGTTTTAATTGTTCATTGGTAACTGCCCAGAGTTCTCTGTAAGACAGATGACTATATAAATGTTTTAAATAAGTAAATAATAAAAATGGATAATAAAGTAGCCTATGTTAAAATATTACAATACTATTTAAACAACCCTAAAAATCTTATCAGTGTCAAACATAGATGGAAGGCCATGCAAACAGATATATAGCGAAATTGATAAAATTAAAAACAGAAGTCATACGTGAAAAGTCTAGTATCTACTGACCAGCAAAGAGGAAACAGGATGAACCTTGAGAAGAATGATTTTCCACAACTATGCCACCAAGAGGGCCCTGTTACTTTTGCCCCCTTGTTGAGTGGCATGGCATTTTAACAGGCCTAAAAGCATTTTGCTATGTCATCTTGTTCATGTAAGTCATAATTTACCTGGTGTATCTGACAGTGGAAGAGGAATGAAAGGGTCAGGAACAGCCAGAAGTGGAGGGCTGGTATCCAGAATATCTTTTGTTTTTTCAGCTGGAAGGAAGGAAGGAAGGAAGGAAGGAAGGAAGGAAGGAAGGAAGGAAGGAAGGAAGGAAGGAAGGAAGGAAGGAAGGAAGGAAGGAAGGAAGGAAGGAAGGAAGGAAGGAATTGAGAATGAAAAAAGGAGTCAAGCAAAATAGAAGACAGCAGAGAAAAAACTGGATTTGTTCAATGCCTTTTTAATATGCTTTTCTTCTGGATATCTTAAGCTATATTTCCAGACACAAACAAAATAAGACTCGCTTCCCATCTCAACATTTTGCATCATTAATACAGGAGTCACTATGTATTTGTCTAGATTTTTTCTTAAGATTTCAAGATTTTCTAGGTACACAAATAAAGCCCTGGGTTGACATAAAAGCCAAAGAAAGCTGCATCACACAGGTAGAGAATGAGGGTGTAGATTTCCTTTTTGATTGACAGCATTAGAACAAGTGCACCGGACTCAGAAGGAAGCTAGGAAGACATGCAGAAGAGGCACCCCTAAAATAATCTCAGCAGTTTAGAGTTTTAAAAATCCAGAGTTCTGAGTTATATAGAAGCAAAATGACATTCAGGAATGAATCCATCCATCCAATCTCCCAAGAAGCAGCTTCTGTGCTAGCTAAATCAGGAGCGTCTAACTTTGACCAATTTTAAGACTTGTGGACTTTGGGAATTGAAGTCCATAACTCTTAAAAGTTGCCAAGGTTGGACACCCCTGAGCTAACGTTTCCAAAGTAGCCATTGTTGAAGCACTAGATGGCTGTCACGTTGCAGGATGTGTACCAACTGTCTTTCACAATTCTTCTCTGTGGATTTGAAAGTTGGTACACAGTTTATCTTTAATCTGTAAGATTCCCTCTTGCAAAGGAGATCATTCCATCCCATTTCACTTTCTTGGTATAGCTCAAGATGGGAAAAACCTGTGCACCTCCTAACGCTGACAAAACAAACCTCCCAGTATTTTATTCACCGTGATTAACTAGGTTGGCTTAGGCTGATGGGAGCTGTATAGCAACATTTGGAGAGCCACAGGTTCAATAATCTTTCTACAAATCCACCATTCCCAACTTGACATCTGCAGTGATGGGACTACAGTTCACATGTCATTTTTAGCCAGCATGGCGGGACATCCCCCAGCCTCTTTCTGCTGCCGTCTGTTTCCTCCAATGGCTACTCACACAATTCGTAGTTGTGCTTGAGACGAGAGTCAGCCTGACAAAAACCCAAACCAACTTACCTGATATGGGCGCAAGAGGAGAAGAGCCAAATGCGTCTGGCTGCGCTGCGGAAGGTGCGGGCTGAAAACCTGGGATCAGGTTCTCCGTTGAACTGTCAAGCTTCTCAGGAGGCTTACCTGGAGTTCAAAGAGCTCGGTCATTAAAGGTTAGGTGCACGACTCGCCACTTCGGGGTGGGGGTGGGGGTACAACTACACGGAGATCAGGGAGTGAGAGACGAGGACAACCTGCAGGAATTCTGTGGGAGAGTTCCAGTGAGGAAAGGTGGAGCAAAGGAGGGAGGAAGCGCCAAGGAAGGGCTCCTTGCTCCTTGCATGCAAGGGGAGGAGGGCCTCCTGCTAAGCCAGGGGAAGGAGTTTCAGGGCATTCATCAGGAAGCCAGTTGCCAGAGAAGGAGCTACTAAAGGAGCAAACAGGGCTTTGCAGGGGAAGTCCAGCAGGGACACACACACAGGGACACACACACACACTCCCTCCTTCTCTTTCTCCATCTCAGCCCAGAGGATTGCTTTGGCGAGTGCAAGATACAAAAAATGGGGGCAGTAAAAAACAAAGCTTGTCTGTTGTGAACCTTTCAGTTACTAAGAGCCACCAAAATGTCTCGCTTTGCCTATCATCTTTAAATAGCCAGCTTTGGTCCAGCTTCTGTACCCATCCCAAACTAACCATCACTTAGTTTTGCAAAATCCTTATTCAGCAGCTCCTCTGCGGTGAGCTTGGAGAAGTTGTCATCATCAAAAGGGTTCCAAGTAGAGACATCTGGTGGGTTGTAGACATTTTGCTGTGAGGTCCTCGGAGACCCCGAAGGGGTAGTTGAGGCAGACCTAAAGAAAGCCACCCCAAGAAGTCAAGAGCTGGGAAGGCTGAGTCAATGGTTGACTGTTAACTAAAGCCACTAAGCCACTGCAAGAGTTACAGACAAAGCCAGACCTGCCCCTGAAGCCCTGTCAAGGCTATATACCCAATCCACTCAGAGTCACCTGAACCACAAAATGGCAAATAAATTGGATAAATAAAGTAAAAAATAAATACAAATTGCCCACAGCAGTCTGGAGGTATATTTGGAAAACCAGGAACAGAAATTAAGTTGATTTCCATATTATCTCCAGTGACGTCAGACACATATTTTTAATTTGGGACATAAACAAAGAGAGCGCTAGGTTTTCCCAGCTCAGAACAAAAGAACGTGTTAACTGCACACCTTTTAACACTTCAGCTCTGTTCGACAAAGCATTGAAAGCACAGCTGAAAGAGAATCTCTTTTATTATGCATTTTGAAGAAAGGGGGAGATAAAAGACACCCTGGGTCTTTTAGTTGGTATAAGAGCAAGTCCATTGGGGGTAACACCAGGATGATCCCTTCAACTTTTTTTGTATAATCAGATTCTCATTAAAACTTGGTTGCCTGGTGAAGTCCTAAGAGCCCCCTCCCTCCCTCCCTCCCTCCCTCAATGGGAGGAACACTCCAGTTATTTGTACTGCAATCCAAAGGGAGGCTTTGACCCAAAGCAAGACAAAGAAACCACAGGCTACACACATCCACACCTGCTTGGAGCAATCCATCTTTCTCCAGGATTGTTGTTTGCGAAGTGAAAGACAGTTTCATTTTTATCCTGTTTGCACTCTCATGAACTCACGGTAAAGTTCATAATGGCTTCCCCCTCTCACTGTTTCCTTTTATTTTTACAACATCCCGGTGAGACACATGAATTCAAGACCTTGAAATTGACAAAAAAAAACCCCTCTCCATGGCTTTTACAGCCAAATATGTAGAGATGCGAACCCTCGGTGCTCTATTGTCACAGCCGTGGGCTCTTCCGCATAGCTTGTTAACTGCCCTGTTCCAGCCCTGGACTTGGCATCATTTGCGCTACCTGATGGCTGAGTTCTAATGCTGCTCTTTGAAAGCTGCCTTGGAAATGAAGCAACAGAAAAGTCAAGAGAACACCAAAGCCAACAAGCCAACAAATAAAGTATCTGCCTCTGGAGTGGTCCTCTCCTTACAGCAGGAGTCCCCAACCTTTCAGATTGAAGATAGCTGGAAAAGTATGGCAAGATGACTTCTTCTGAGGGGAATATGAGAAAATCTGGACTGGATTATCTGCTGTCACTTCCCTTGTTCTCCCCTGGTCTTACGTCTACTATAAACTCCTTAAACTTCCCATTACATTACTTTCAGTGTCATCCCACTCACACATGCTCCCCAAGAAGAAGAGACGATAGCCCCAGACTTACTTGGACTTATTGAGGCTGGCTTCTGCAGCTGCTGCCTGTAGCAGCAGTGTTGATTTACTGGCTGGGACCCCAAAGACGGTGCTGTGGGTCACATCACTTAAAATCCTCCGGTGTCCACCTCGCTGAGTCTTGGGGGAGGATGGTGGTGTGAGAGACCCCACCTTCTGCCCCTGGACAGCCGATGGAGGAATAGTTGGTATCTTTTGTTGTCTTGGAGGTGCTTGCTTTTAGGAAAACAAAATGGGGAAACAGGGATGAGAGAGAAGAGGGAGAGAGGGAGAGGGAGAGAGAAAGGAAGGAAGGAAGGAAGGAAGGAGAGAAGGAGAGAGAGAGAGAGAGAGAGAGAGAGAGAGAGAGAGAGAGAGATGGAACATGGATGCAAACGAAGGTGTGCAGAACTTATGGAGAGGTATAGAAATGCTGCTCATGTGAACTTAACTAATTTCCTTTTCTCATTCCCTTGTTTCCTTGTCTCAGTATTTTTTACTCCTTTACTGTTCTGTTTTCCCTAAATTCAGTGCAAAGAGTGCAGTGTGTGCCTCTCTCCCTCCCTCTGAGCACTGCCCATACACTTAAAGCTGCCCCTTCTGTTTCTGGATGAATCCTGGGGGATCGTATTCCAGGCTCTTGAAACCACACACAGCCTTGATGATCTTGACCGCGTTCTTCTGCCCTGATGCCCATGGAATTAATAAAACTGATAACTGAAGAAATCTTTTCACTCGGGCACATTTTACTTCCATTAGCAGGAATGTCTGGGGGAAGCAGGGAGGGGCTTTCCCCCCAGACCGGCTCTTGAAACCAGATGGTTTCAGAAACTCAGAGCTTTACAAAGTAACGGGAAAATTGTGCGCAAAGACATCCAGCTCTGGCTGGAACACATTTTTTTTTTTTTTGCCATTTTTATTTGAACACATGCAAGAGCCAGAAAAGCTGCATTTCAAAAAGGAACAAATGGGAATGATTACAGTGGAATATAATTAAGAGTCAGTCTATAGGGGAGGAAGGGTGTGTGTGTGTGTGTGTGTGTGTGTGTGTGTGTGTGTAGGGATGAGGAAATTTACTTGCCAGCATCTGCAGGGATGGGAGTGGAGACCCCTGGCAAGTCTCCAGGCCTTTTATACAGAGGCAGCTGCTTCCCTTGGTGCAGGGAAAGCCCTGGTTTTCATTAAGCAAAGAGCTCTTGTTGGAGATAAGCACACAGATTATAAACATTAAATGGAAGGTTTGTTAGGATGGGGGGGGGAGGGTGCCCTGGAAGTAAGAAGCAAGCAGCAAGAGCTCAAAGGCTCCTGGAAACTAAGGGGCTTCAGCACGGCTAACCCTAAGAGTACATCCCCCCTCTCCCATGAGCTTTCCCAGGTGGCCTGGGGGATTCTTAGTCCCTCTAAGAACCTGGTTCTATTTCCTGAGGGTTCTGGGTGTTGGAGATAGACTGGTGAGCCAGGGGAGGAGTCAAACAGGGAATTAGTCTAGAATTCCTACATGGGTAGAAGAGGCGATGTCTGACCCCTCTTGAATGCCGCTGAGCCTCATCTGGTCTGAGCCAGTCTGAGATTCCTGTGTACAGGGCTTGGGCAATATAACAGCTGACTGAACTCTTCAGATATGGATCTGGTTATTGGATGCCTGCTACTGGGCATCCAAAAGACGCCTCTTGCCTCCCTCCTGGTCAAGCTGCTGTTCATTGTGGAGTGTGGAGGTGAGAAGCACTGTGGATCATTTAGCTTTTCCTGTCTGCAGATCTCCATGTACCTCCCTCGCCTCTACTTTTCAGAGAACAGAGAAAGCATTTCCCTGCTGAAATGGTTTCTCTACCCCCATTCCTTCAGAGGGCTAAGCTATCTCTGGCCTGACCGTTGTCTAGGCTGCGTCTCTTCCTCTCGTCTCCCGAGGTTCTTCTCACAGCCCATTATGCAAAGAAAGGCAAGGGAGCCCACCAGCGTTTTTCACTGACTCTGGTCAGAGGGGACACCAACTGCAGAATAGGGACCCCGGGAATCCATGTAGTGCTGGGCCCTCAAGTTGGCCCCCTCTGAGCTACATGAGCCCCAAAGAGAGACCTCCAGCAAACCTCTCCGTGCTTCTGAAGCCAGCCAGTTCTTGCTGTGTGCAAAGAAGACAATCTGGGCAAAGACCAAGGACTTCAAATTCAATCCCAGTTGAAGGGACGATCAGCCACATTTCAAGAGGTTCTCGCTGGAGTGAAAGACACCTGGCTGCATTTGCAGATCATGCATCCCAGAATAAATACGATCAAAGTTTCAAGGTTCACAGAGAGGCATAAACCAACCATATGAGGTTGGTCCATACCCCGTGCTAGGCTAATTTGCAGTTGCCTGTCGTTTAATGAATGGTTTGGTGTCTTCTCCAAACACAACTATACTTGTCTATCCCTCTGTTCTGGAGGGTCAAGGGTTCTTCAGTTTCCCGTCTTCTTTGGCATTTGCTCCCCAAAGCCTGTCCTATTTCCAACCAGGGCACTGCCAACAAAATGAACATTTATACAACTATGTAATGCAGAGTAAAGCCTAAGGAGGCCTGCTAAAGCTCTCCACTGAAATTGAACTAACTTCAGTTTTTGATTCCAAATATGGAATCAACTCCTTCAAAATTCTTTTTGAGTAATTTGGAATTTTGCAAACAATCCTGCCCATCCCAGCCCCTACTGGCTCTGCTAAATGAAGGCCTTCTTCCTCCCTTGTGTCTCCAAGAGCCGCTCCAATCTGTCCTGGCCCACCAGGCTGAAAGGAAGCCAGGCCAGAAAAGAGATGCTGCCTTACGCAGGAGAGGCTTCATCCACCCCGCTTTCTAGCACAAAGCAGGGTCAGTTGATCGGTCAATGGTTGGTCAAATAATTTATTTAAAAGCATTAATGTTATGAGGCCAGAACTTATGCCAATTATGAAAACAGATACATGAATTATCTAGCTGTAGTTATGGCAGAACTGTAATATTTATTTTGATCAATCTTTATCCGCCCTTGCTTCAGGTTGCCCATCAAAATGAGTTAGTCCCACAAATCTCATCGACTGAAGCTTGTGGTTGTGGGTCAATCTGAGCCTGGTTCTAACGATTCACACCCAACGGTAGCATCTGGCACTGATGGAGTCTGTATTCCTCATGTGGGAATCCCTGCAGTGCTTGTAACTAGCTACAAAGAGGCACTTTGCTGCTCTTCTACATTTGCCCCAGTAGGAAATCTACCCCGGACTCTACGCTCACATGTCCTCCCATAGGTGACATCAAAAAAGAAAGAAAAAGAACCCTCATTTACTGTACACTGGTCAATTGACCAGCATCCTCTCCAGCCAATGAACGGTTGCTAAATGAACGGTTATAAGTCAAGGACTACCTGTATTGGTAACAGACCTTCCCAGTGCCCTTCAAGGCCACTCCTTCTGCCCTCCACAAACACAAGTCACAGCTGCTACATGTTCAACACAGTGCTACTAAAAGCACATTTATTAGTGCCTTTTGCCCAACGGTTCCACAGGTTTCACTAGCTGGAGTAGCCTTTTGCCCCTGGACCTCGCAGACCGGTTCACATGGCATCTTCCAGAACAGCACCGGGTTGACCTTAAAGAAGGTTAGCTGGGAGCCCCTTCACCAGCAGGATCTAGTTCCGGTTCAAGCTACTAAATGCTTGCTGGCTACCTTCAGACTATGCCTAGTCAAAGATCTGGTGGCTGCACTCAGACAACATGCCAAACTTGGTTAGCGTTCTTAATTTGCCTTTCTTCTTTATGGCGTAGACCCTGAGCACCAGTTAGCCCATCGGGTTGCTCTCACGGTGCAGAACATGGCGGGCGTGGCGTCCAAACCCCTGGTGGGAAAGGTCTACCTGTTCCTTACCGGGTGCTCCTGGTTGGGGGCTGCTGGTGCAACTGAAGGCGGCATCTGCGGTTGGGGCAAGAGCTGCGCAGGGGGCTTCTGCTGCCCGGCAACAATCTTGGGTTGCATGGTGGCTTGCTGAGCCAACAGTTGTGGCGGCAGCGGCTGGGTGGCAGTCGCTGTTCCCTGCTGAACCACCGGGAATGGCGGCTTTCCGGACGTCTGGGCAGCCTGTGGCATCTTGTGGGTCTAGGGGAGGAAAGCAAAACCTTCATCGCTGCCTGCCATTTTCTGGAAGACATAAAGCTGAGCGCTGCGAGAGGTTCACCCCGTGGCCATCCGTCACGGAGGCTGCAAGTGGGATTAAGTCCCAAATCCAAGAGTCTTTCCAACCGATTCTGCTCTGGTCTACCACCTTCTTCCTTTTCTTCCTCATTTGCGAGAGGATGGTGGAGCAAATGCAAGCAAAGACTTTGAGGACTAAAGCAGATGCGATTTGCTTTCCTGGCCGAACTGAATCCAGTGGGGCACCAGGACTAACCCAGAGAGCCTGTGTTTGCACAAGGACACTCTGTGGGCTTGGATGACCCTCTCCCTAACAGTATAAAGTTAGTTCTCTTTTAGCCACCACAATTGTGATCAACAATTTGTTCATTAAACAAAGCAGTCGCTAAGCAAAACCTCAACTGTGCTTCTGATCTTACTTCAGCTTTCCTTTGCTTGGCAGACTTATGAAGGTCAGAAGCAGGAGGACTGGTCACCAAGTTACTTTTGTGCCACTGTTTTAACTGCAAACAGTTGCTAACTGAGGCAAATGGCTGCTCAGTGAGGACTGCCGTAAGCAGGGCTGCTGACTTTCATTCTGCAAGCAGACACGCCAGCCCTGCTTTGCCTCTCCGGCCCTCGTGCCAAAGGGAGAGGGACGCGGCTGACCAAGCCAGGAAAAAAGCTGGACCTTGCCAGCCTTACCTGTTGAACCTGCAGCAGTGGCATCTGGGGGGGCTGCTGATAAAAGAGAGCAGAGACCGGCGGCTGCGGCTGCTTGAGGAAGAGCTGATGCTGCGGCGTGGCCTGGGCTGGAGGGAGCTGGGCTTGTGCGGTGGCAGCGGCAGCCACCGGCTGTGCACCGCCAGCGGGCTTGGGCTGAGTCGGTTGAGGCAGAGAGTTCGGCTGAGGAACTGCTGCAGGGAGGGGAACTGCTGCCAAAGGAGCCGGAGCTGCAAGCGGAGAGCAGGATGGGCAAAAGGTTAAACGGGGCACAGGGGAAGCGATTCCTTTAGGCTCACCTCGCACATTTGGGAGCAACTGCACAAAAGCCAGACTAGGAAGGGCTGCCCAGGGAAGGAATGTAAACGAATGGGGCCAGAAACACACCCCCCCCATAAGACTGGGAACCCTTTGGGACTCAGAGGTCCCCATGGATGACTTCTCAACCAGACATTCTGGCAGGAGAACTCAGGCGGGCACCTTTGTCCACAGGATGCAAGTAGCAGGATGCCACCACCGCTGCCCTTTGGAACAGCATGCAACATTGCGATGCACATACCAAGGGGGAGGGGGTTGCACTGCAATTGTGTAACCTGGCATATACTGTTTGTCCTCCCCACCCTCTGTGCAAAAGGCCAGGCCCTCATTAGGAGTCAGTATCGTTTCTAAGCCTCTTTCGCCCTCGTGATTTTCTTCATTTTTATAGGCTATCATATTTACAGCGACCACTGGGTATAAGACTGCTTTATTGTTTTATTGTAACTTGGTGGTTTTAAAGATCTTTTCAGGGCCGAAAGGACTGGGGCATCAGTGACACGGCGCTCTAATAGAGGCATTCATCTGGCTAAGCCCACGAGGCGGAACTATTTTGGTGCCGGCCTTGCTTGTGGTGGAACCCTGCCCATTTTTCAGAGCCACCTCCAACCCAGTGTGATATTGACACAACCGCTTCCCACCCAGCCGTGGGCTCTGAAGCACAGCCTTTAGGAAAACAACAAAATGGGAGGGGAACAGCTACACAAGAGCACAATCTCTGCCCAGGCTGAGGGAGAAAGAGAAATAGAAATAGGGAGTCCACCTGTGGTAAAGCATCCAGCTTTCTACAGTCAGTGCTCAAACCCAACACAGGACACAAAAAAGGCCTTGGATTCGCTTCCTCTCCTATTCCAGAGAGCACCAAAGAGTTCCTAACCTACGTGGGTTCAGAGATGTTCCCAGAAGCCTGGGGGGGGGGATGCCTGTTAAGGCCTCAGAATCCAGAACCAGATAAAGTATCCAGATCTGGAGAAGTGGAAATTAAACATTTTGTGTCCGCTTGCTCTCACCGAGGAAGGCAAGGACAGAGGAATTAGGCAAAAGCTGACAAAGCTACACCAGGACTAGAGGCTAGAAAAAGAAGCCCACAGCTCATCTTAACAAGAGACATGGGCTGCCTTGGTAGATAACTCTCATTCTCCAGGGTTCTGCACAGCTCTAGCTGTAGAAATCTCTGGGCCTGTCAAACTGGTCTCTCCATAGCTTTCTGCCCCAAGGGGAAAGCTCCTCCCCCCCCAAGGTGAGACTGGCTCCCACCCTCTTGTCAGAGCTTCAAAAACTGGCTCTACCAGATGACTTGGAGAGCCAATGGGGGAGTTCCACAGTGGAAGTGGTTGGCTAATTAAAAGCTAATTTCCCCCCCTCCCCCCCCTTCAGCTCTCTCTTTCACCATCCTGCGTTAATGATCTTATCTACTCTGCCATTTTATGTCCGATGATCTTAATGTTTTTTTAATGTCTTTATACTGTAAGCTGCCCAGAGCCATTTGATACGAGATGGGAACCAAATACATTTCGTAATAAATACTAAATAAATAAGGATTCCCACCTTGTGGCTGGACACTGGCCTGGACTGCAGGCCTCTTCCTGGGAGTCAAGGCAGGTTGGATGGGCAGAATTCCTGGATTTGGCTGAGTTTGCCCAGCTTTGGGTCTCTGACGTGGTGTGATGGATGTTTCTGTTGTAGGAATAGGATCTGTCAGCCTGTCAACCACCGACACACAAAATAAAAGGTTAGAATAATATACTGCTTTTGAGGAACATCACTGTGGGCCCAAGTGTTTAGAGAAACTCCTGGTCCTGCAGATGGCAACAAAGATGTTGCCCCTAAGACAACTAATTCCCTTCTTTTTCTGGAACAAAAGGATCAAATCGAGAAAGCAATGAGCACAACATTCTACAATTTACAAGGGAATTCCACAAACGATAGAAAGATGCAATGCTATACATATAATTTTCGCTGGTTTCTTGATTCATGCCAATTGCAAGATCCTACATGTTCACAATCCAGAAATCTGAAGTGTGGAATCCCAGAAGGAAACTACGCTGCTGGCTTTGGCAACAGTGGCCAAGAAGGTGAGGTTCCACAAAAGCAGGCTCTGAAGGACCCATGCAGTTGTCCATTCCTGGAAGTTTGCCTTTCCTAGAACATATTTTCAGTCCCATCGAAAAGACCTGGGACACTTTAAAGCAGGAGCCTCAAAACTTGGCAACGTTAAGATTTGTGGACTTTACCTCCGTTGGGCTGGCTGGGGAATTCTGGGAGTTGAAGTTCACAAAAGTGGCCAAGCTTGGAGACCCCCCTGCTTCAAAGTCACAGAATGCATTCACACTTTGAAGGCCATCTCCTGTTTCATATGGGCACTTTTACATGCAGGGAAGGGAAGACAAGATGATCCCAAGTTCACTCGGAAACAGCTGCCGGAGTTGAGTGCAACTGTTGTTGATGCTTCTATAAAAAGGACTTTTGTCCAGATTTGGCCAGATTGCTCTAAATTGCTTTGGTTCCCTTCCAGTTCTATGAATACACCACAAAGAGCATCTTTCAGCGGTCACGGAGACAAGCGAAACCTCCCAGAAACATTCAACGCAACGAAGACCAAGCAGAGACTCAAAGGGGAGCGGCTGTCCTACCATAAGGAGCCCCAATATTAATACTTGGTCTTACATGAGCACACACCAGTCTCCACTTCACCCTCTTTGGCCCCAACCCCCAAGAGAGACCAAAGGCGAGCTCACCTAGCTTTGGGCTGGGTTTTCTTAGCAGCAGCTTCGCTAGCTTTCACAGGCTCTGGAAGTTTGGCAGGAATTGGAGAATTCTGAAAATTAAAAAAAATCCTGTGCTCATTAAAGCTTAACAGAACAAAACAGAACGACAAAGTTGGAAGGGATCTTGGAGGTGTTCTAGTCCAACCCTCTGCTCGAGCAGGAGATCCTACACCATTCAACTAATGAAGGAGAGAAGCAACCTAGAACTAAGGAGGAATTTACTGACAGTGAGAACAATTAATCAGTGGAACGACTTGCCTCCAGAAGTTGTGGGTGCTCCAACACTGGAAGTTTTTAAGAAGAGATTGGACAGCCATTTGTCTGAAATGGTACAGGGTTTCCCACTTAAGCAGGGGGTTGGACTAGAAAACCGCCAACTCTGTTATTTTGTTATTTCAGACAAATGGCTGGCCAGTCTCTTCTTAAGAACTCCAGGGATGGCGCAACCACACCTTCTGAAGGCAAGCCATTCCACGGGTTAATTGCACACCTTCACACCACAAAAGTGGTGTTAAAGTTCAAGTTAATAAGTTAAAAGTAAAGTAAAAAGTTAAGTTAAAGTGATGTTAAAAGTTAAGGTGCACACCTTCATGCCATAAAGCTACCGGTCCCTGGTGCCCAAAAGGTTGGGGACCTCTGTTCTATGACACGAGGGACCTTTTCATAATGTCAGAGCGAGGGGCTTTTAATGACAAGGGGTGCTGTTGTTTTTATGGGATGTGTGGCCTCTCGGCAAACCATCCTCTGCCTTCATCGTCCTGTGATGTTGGGGAAAAGGCCTGCAGCCCCACAGCAGAGAGGCGTCACTCACCTGAGTGTTGGGGACAGGACATTCCCTCTTAGCAAGCTTGAATGCAAAGTAAGAGACCTGATAAATGTCAGGCCTCTTGTCAGGATCAGGTTCCAGCATATACCCTAAGAAAGAGAAGGTTGGTTGAGACCAGACGAGATGGCCGCATCAATATTCAACTGGATTGCTCTACAGTAGCCCCCAACTTTGGTACGGGGAGTGAAGCAGGTTGACCAGACCCCTCCCAAGGACTTGAAGGCCTGCGGTTGCCTCCTCTCCTGGCTTCTCCTGCTCCTCTGGTGCAACCAGAGAGATGAAGCAGAAACTTCCATTTTGAAATAAACCAAGACAAGGTCAGTCTCATAAAGAAATAAATCAAGAGCAAGCTATCTTTCAGAGTGTGTTTCAATAAACAACTTGTAAATCCCAAACCAAGAACCGGCTCCCCTTCCAAACTGGATACTCACTTATTAGGCAGTGCATGCCTTGGGTGTAGCGCGAGTTGTCAGGAATGGTGAAGTTGCCATCGCAAATTGCCACTTGGCTCTCCCCAAATGGCAGAGTAAAGTAGCAGAGTTTGTAGAGCAAACATCCCAGGGCCTGAAAGGAGGAGATAAGCCAGTCTTCAGAGTCTCATAAAAGCAGCCACTGCTCATCAACACCACTAAACAGAGCTTCCCCACTCTTGCCTTGTTTTGATTCTCAAAAGAAGCTTTCTCCAGAAGACAACTGGATTTCCTTCATTTTTTTCTTTGAAAACATTCTGCTTCTCATTCAGTTCTGAAGACATTTCTTGGATGAGAAATGAAACATTTTCAAAGAAAAAACCAATAAAATCCAGTTGTCTTTTGGAAAAAGTACCTTTGGGATAACCATGACCTGGACAATTCAGAATATCCATAGACATTTCGATTCTCAAAACAAAAGGATCGTACTAGTTTCATCTGAATTTTTACAATGGTACTGAACCTGGTAAGATATTTTCAAAATATTCCCGAATTACAGCTCTCAGCATCCTAAACATTTGCCAGACAGACAGAGTAACACTGTTGGGAGTTTTAGTTTAACAACACTAGTTGGATAAAGGATCGTCAACTCTGATTTAAAAATACAAAAGTGAGGACCTTCTTTGGTCACATCATCCAAAGAGCTAAGAGCTGAGAATCAGGAGATTTCTGATCAATTTCTGTCCTTGGGACCTCAGGACACCCTTGGCCCACCATCCCAAGGCTACATACCCAGATATCAGCTTTTGTGGTGATCAGTTTGCCGCTGTAAAGGTTGACCATCTCTGGAGCTCTGTATGAGAGCGTGGTATACCTACAACAAAACCCAAATTCATGTTTTTGCAATCAAAGAGTAAGCTGCAACACTTTTAGCAACCTCAGGGTGTTTCCCTCACATAAAACCAATCAGTATTTTCTGTTCCTTGAACAACCTTTAGAGTTAATATCTGAAATGGCTGAGCAGGTTCAAAAATAAATGATTTCAAGGAGACATTTTCTCCTACCAGAAAAGAGGACCACTGCACTTTGGATAGTCAAAACAACCCATAATAGTTAGATAATGTAAGTTTTCCCTCCTGGTCCTGAGATAAAATGTCAGGTTTATGTAATTACTGGTGCCAAAATAAAAAGCAGACTGTATGGGATTATTTGAACCTGAACTATATAATAATGGCCTCCAATATAAGCATGATTATTAAAATTCTAGGAATCTATCAACATCTTTATTCCAATTTCATATTCATTTTATGTGCATGCTAGAAATTCCACCAGCAATAAAGAGCAACCACACAAAGGATCATTCTCAGGATCTCTTATTCAGTGGGAATAATTATTTATTTTAAACTTCTGCCATGTGGCCATCAAGTAAATCTTTCAAACGTTCCATCAGAAAACTCGGCAGTTCCTAGCCTGAAATAACAGAGTTGGGAGGGACCTTGGAGATCTTCCAGTTCAATCCTCTGCCCAAACAGGAGACCCTACACAGTTCTGGACAAAAGGCTATCCAGCCTCTTCTTAAAAACCTCCAGTGATGGAGCAGCCACAATTACTGGAGGCAAGTCGTTCCAGTGATTAATTGTTCTCACTGTCAGGAAATGTCTCCTTAGTTCTAGGTTGGATCTCTCCTTCATTAGTTTCTCATCTAATTCTCAAAGCATTCAAATATTCTCAATTTGCTGTAGTTTTTTCAAAGTTCCTCAAAAGGTACAAATATTTGCTTTTTCTGGAATGTCTGATGTCACCATTTGCTCTTAATTTCTAAATCTTGCTGCTTAATCCTCAGCTCTTACTATTTTTTTTTTCCTGATGAAAGTTTACTTAAAATCTTAAACCTTTGGGCTATTATAGCTGGTACTCATATTCAAAGCTTGCACAACTGGGGATTTGGGATTCATATGGATGTGGTGGATCAACGCAGCCGTGGAACACCCAAGAGTAACTGTGGTATTATTTTGAGTCTGGTAGAGGTAAAATGTTTTAGGTGCAAAAAGTCTTTTAAAAAAACCTGGAAAACAGACAGACTCACTTCTTGATTTCTTCCTCCACTACGTTCACTCCTTCCAACTGAGGATTCTGTGATTTATTGGTGGCGCTCCCAAAGTCACAGAGGACATAGTGGCCACGATCGTGTAAGAGGACATTCTCCACCTGGAAACAAAACAGGCAAGTTGCTGTGATAAGCTCAGGGCAAACAAGTGGGCAGTGGCTTTTTGGATAATGGATAACTCCTGGAGCGCATGCTGCCCAGAACCAGGTATTTCAACAGACAAACATTTCAAGCCAAACCAGTTTATGTGATACTCCAGTGGTTTCTACTTGAGCTGGAACAGATGGAGGTTGTTGGCCAAGAGCAGGGGTAGGCAACCTCGGCTCTTTTATGACTCGTGGACTTCAACTCCCAGAATTCCTGAGCCAGCATAGCTGGCTCAGGAATTCTGGGAGTTGAAGTCCACGAGTCATAAAAGAGCCGAGGTTGCCTACCCCTGGCCAAGAGCTATCTTTGTAATTATTGCTGGTGCTCTTATTCTGTTTTTCTCCTCTTTTAATTGTCAGAGTCATTCATATGGAATATTATTCACGTTCTATATGAGATGGGCAGCTACATAAATGTAATAAATAAAGGCAGGAGATCGGCTGTCTCTAGTTTTACAGAAGTATTTCAGAATTTACTTCCTGCAGGGGAAGCAGGCAGTCAGCAATTTCACTGTGATGAAAAAGTAGCTTTGCAACCAGTCTATGCATTGATAGCTTTTGTAAAGCAAAGGAAAGCAGAAGGAAGATGGTCAACACCAATGTGGTTTCACTTAGCAACCACTTTGTTTCACTTAATGCTCAATGACCAGGTTGCTGGTCCCAATTGTGGTTGCTAAACAAGGACTATCTAAATGCTTTAAAAAGTGGTCTAATCCACCACTCCCGGCGTTCTTTGTGTAATCTCTTGCCAGCTGGATAAGACCCTTAAAGATTGTCCAGGTTGAAAGGCAACGACAGCTATTGTGCCTTTTCATAAACACATCCAACCACCCCAGGCCTTTGCACAAGACCCTCAGCTGCTACCTTCAGGTCCCTGTGGACGATGGGGGATTTGAACTGGTGCAGCCTGGCCACAGCTTCACAAGTGTCACAAAAGATTTGCAGAACTTCATTTTCCGTAAATCCCATCTGCAAGCGCTGGTTCATCAAATTCACTACCTGGCCTCCTGGAGAAAGGAAGAAAGAGAAGGAATGCCAAAGCCATCAGGCAGATCCATACAACACCTTTTAATCCAGGTTAACAAAATGTTTCCCATGTTCCCTTGACCCAGAAGCAAGCCACTGGGGGGGTCTGGCTTGAACGAAGTCACCAAACAGAACAGTAGGGACTGCACACCTTCAGCTATCCAGTCTCTTTTTAGCCTAAGCTGGCATGTTGTGCAAAGCTGGCCACCAACTCTGCCAAGGCATCAGGACACCAAGGGATTGGGGGGGAAAAGGGACAAGCTGAAATGTCCACCCTGCTCAGAGCTCCTTCTTTCCAGAGGCTGCCTGCAGGCTGTTTCTGAGCCAGGCTGAGAGAAGACAAGAGGCCCAACTGCACATCTTTGGCATGCAAAATAAAGGCCCTTGGATGCATGGCGAGAAGAATGCGTATTGCTATTTCTAGCACAGAGAGATATGAAGCCTTTAAGAGGAATGATTGATTCTCTGTTCCTCCTCCATCAATTCAGACTTCTAAAGAAGGAAAGCTGGTATTGATGGAAGCTGATGCAGAGATAAATAAAGCTGCTGTCAAAAGTCCAGGTGACTTCACTAAATGAGGCTAATTCCTGGATCTTTCCCCATTTCTCTTCTAAGCTGACCAACTGATGATTCCCAGAGGCAAGAGGCAAACGTTTCCCAAATGTTGCCTCAAGTTAACCTGGAAGCCACAATTCTCCCCTCCAAATTCTACTGTACACAACTACAAAGGACTTGGATGTTTTTTCTATATTGATCTCTAAGAAAATGGGGAAACTTCCCCTGAAAGGACCCCCCACCCCACCCCTTCCATGCAAACAGCAGCTACTTTATTAGCTGGCAGGAAGCCAAAACTGTTTGCAGGGTGTCTCAGAGCTGAAGATTTGGGGTTAGAAATTCACAGCTATCTTCCAAAACCAGGTTCCACCCACTGTTGGCAGTCTGATTATCTTTTTGGATAAGTAAGAACTTTGCAGAATTCAAGGAACAGTAGACAGCTTGCAAATATGGTTCCCATGAATGTTTACATACCTCGGCAAAAATCCATCAAGATTAGGACTTCCCATACATCTCCGCTGCTCACTGAGTTTATTGTGGAGTCAATGTAGCCAACAATGTTCTTGTGCCCCACGAGATCCCTCTGGGGAAGAACAAAAAGGCACCCTTTTGCGGTAAGCCACAGCCATAAACAAACCTACATGCAAGACCACTAGTTTCTTAATTGAACAACGAAAATCCCTGGGTTTTTTTTCCCCTTTAACCAGCCTGTTTGCTGGTTGTTCCTTGACCCTTAGCTTTACATCTGAACTCCATGCCCCGATTCCAAGTTGCTGAGTTTAAACAAGTCGCTCCTTCAAGGTTTAAAAGATCAACTAGCATTGCACAACCTCGCTCAATAATCGTTGTTTTCCCCCGCTGTTAAAAATCCTTATCGTCCCATGTAAACATGCAAACATATAAAGCGGGATCCCAAGGGCTGCACACACCTACCATGATCTGGATTTCCCATTTGCAGACTTGTAAATCGTATTCGTTGTTCACGTACATTCGTTTGAGAGCACATTTCATCCCATTGCTGGTCTTTACCAGAAATACAATAGCGAAGCCACCTGCAAATGCAAGCGAGAATCCAGTTCAGCTAGGATAACCTAAAGGATGAACTACGGACCTGGCCCAGAGCGAGGAACGACGTGAATTGGTGTGGGAATAGCGGAGTAGTCCGTTTAGATGCCTACAAGACCTAATGTTCTGGGATTAGAAGACCTGGTTTTGCCAATGGGCCTGGGGAACCCAGAGAGGGAAGAAGCTTATTAGATGGCTGATATGAGCGTGTGTTGTCACTGTTTTATTGTTTTTATTTCTTCTACATTGTGTTTTTATTTTCTGTAAGCCGCCTAGAATTGCTGTGAGCAAGTAGGCTGGCGATATACATTTTCCAAAATAAATGAATTAAAAATGGGGGTAAGCAACTCTTGTATACTAACTGTAAAAACCACCCCTGCCCTACAGAATTGTTCCTCTATCATTCCCACATCCTGCAAAAGCTTCCTGGTTGCCCAGAGAGGTTCAAGACAGTCTATAATCCAAACCGGAATCAGACGTCCTCGGGAATAAAATTAACTCAATTCATCTAGTAAATTTGTAAATGGCAAAAGTGTATTTCTGAAGCAAGATGCATCCTTCGTCTTAGAGATCTGTGTTTTTCAACGTTGACGGCTTGAAGATGCATGGACTTCAACTTCCAGAATCCCCCAGCCAGCTTGAAAAACATTGCTTTGGATGATTAACATTTTGGAAGAGGCAAAATGCCTCTTGATGATGCTCTCTATAGTTTTCCAAGATTAAAATTAGATTACTGTAATTGCAGTATTTTGCTTAAATAAGAAAGGCTATTGCCCAGTTAATTAGAGCATCTTTTGTATTTCACAATCCACAGAAAATAAGAATTTTGGAAGCAGAGTCAAATTGTCAACCCCGCTGGAAGACCCAGTTTCTCGGGCTCTTCTTCCACCCTGGAACAGGATCCAGTTGATTAGTACACAGGAATTCCCTTTTAGTTTGAGAACAGGTGCCTGAATTATCTTTTTCCCCCTGCTTTCTTCTCCATTCCCCTCCCTTTGTCATTTTTTCAGGCTAAAACTTTTCACTGATTGTATACAACTGCCTTACATGCCATTTTCAACAGCAAAATTCAAATACAGAAGTACATGTGCACGTGTTTTAAATCAAATAAATGTGAAAATGAATACTATGAATTCAAGCAGTTTAAACCAATTTTTAAACAGTTCTGTTTCCAAAATGGCGAGAAAAACAATGGAATTTGTACATGCTTTTCCCACACGTGAAGAGTACATTCGGTTTAGCAACTCCCTCCTTCTCTAAAGTAGCTACCGTGATATTCTGAGAGCCACTACAGCTTCTATTGTGCTGTGCCACTAACTCACACAAACATGTAATGGTTATTGAGTGGGTTTATTAATATTCCCCAGCAACTCCCTTCACCAAAACCCCAGAACTGTCCCAATTAAGTCCGGCCAAAAGCAGACCAATGCTAGTCCACAGAGCAATGGCCGAGGAGTCCACAAGGCACCTGAAAGTTTCCCAAACAAGATAAATCCATCAGGCAAAATTAAATCCACAACACAAGAGGGTTCATGAGACAAGAAAAGTGCAGAATCCATGATCCAAAGCAAGGCAGGAATTACAACAACCAGGAAACATGCGGCTAGGAAATGAACACGTTGTTCCCCACATCATCTCCATCTGTCTGCTGTGCTAAATAGCCAGCCTCTGGTGCAGCCCATCAAGAAGGATGAGGCTGCCTCCTCACAAGTAGTCGGGCTGATCTTAGCTGCTCCTGCTTTTTCTCTTCCTGACATGTCCTCAGATCAGGTGCAGAAGGCAAGCTCCTCTTTTTCATCACTCTCAGCCAGCTGCTCACCCAGTTTTTCTCCCATCAACCACTCCCCCTCACCTGGGCTGGCAGCCCCTGCCTCAGAGCCATTGACCAACTCCCCTCCTGACGGGCCTGGGGCTAGTTCATCCTCCTCCAAACAGACATCTTTTTTCCAGAGATGCAAGCCCACAAGGAAGCACCACTACTCAAGGGGACAGGTTTCAATCAGAAAAATCAAAGACAAGAACATATTACCGTAATAGGAACAGACTAATAATAATAATAATAATAATAATAATAATAATAATAATAATAATAATAATAATAATAATAGTAGTAGTAGTAGTAGTAGTAGTAATAGTAGTAGTAGTAGTAGTAATAGTAGTAGTAGTAGTAGTAGTAGTAGTAATGATAAAGTTGGAAAGGACCTTGGAGGTCATCTAGTCCAACCCCCTGCTCAGGCAGGAAACCCTATACCATTTCGGACAAATGGCTGTCCAGTCTCTTCTTAAAAACTTCCAGTGTTGGCGCAAGTCAGAGTTGCTCCACGTGGTGTTTTCTCGCTCCGTTAATTTGCATTAGGCACAGATGCTTGGAATTAGAAGAGAGGATCAAAGCCGCAAAGACAACATTTCCTCTATAGCAGACATGAACTTTTCCCCCATTGCCGGCAATGGGGTGGGTGTGACGTGTCCGGCCCGCAGGCCGGCAGTTTGACACCCCTGCCCTACAGAGTCGGTTTAATGATGGTGACTCATGAATTGCAATTATTAATCCTACCCTTTCAACGTAGATGCAAATATAGCATAAGAACACGCACGCACACACACACACACACACCGAGAGAATCTGGACTTCCAAAATGATCCCCAGGGCTTCATTGGATGGTACCACTTTGGTTCAACTGCTCAATTCCACTAAAGAGGCCACAGTCCTTCGAGCCAAGCCACAATTAGTGTTCCCACCATGCACTGTTTTATCACACTCTACCATGCAAAGGGTGTGCTGGAGGGAACCAGAAGCCCAGGGCTTCAGTTTGTTTCAGTGCAGGTAAATTCCCCCAACTTACAACTATAATTGAGCCCCACATTTTCATTGCAAAGCAAGAGAGTTGTTAAGTGAGTTTTGCCGCATTTTACGACCTCTTTTGTCACAGCTGTTAAGTGAATCGCTGCAGTTGTTAAGTTAGTAACTGGTTGTTAAGTGAATCTGTCTCTCCCATTGATTTTGCCTGACTGAAGTTTGCGAAAGGTGATCATTTGACCCCGGGACACGGCGACCGTTATAGAGATGCCAACTGAAAGTGTCCTGGAAAATTAAATTTTCCAAGGGGCCACCATGAGAAACTGGGATTGTTCTGGAGGGCCAAACGAATAAGCTAACTTAATTCTGCTCAATTGCATGCGTAATGTACACTTATTTACTTTTGATTTCTAATTTCCGACTGATGGGCCGGACCAGGACAGCCAAAGGGACAGATGTGGCCCAGGGGCCATAAAATGCCCATTTCTGCTTTAATCCCACCTCAACTCCTGGAGAAAGCTTGTCAGGTATAAATTCTGCCCCCAGCAATAATTCTCCCAGAAGTCCCTTCTGACGCTGCCATAGGAGGGGGACGTGGCCAACTCTTTGCTGGCTTTCGTTCCCTCTGCAGCTTAGCCAGCAGGTTGTTTACATAAATCCCTTTCCAAACTAGAGCAATTGCTGCAGTAAGAATCCAGGTCCTTATTGTGTTAAAAAATTAAACAGGAATTTGAAGAAGAGAAGAATGGTGATTTTTGAAGGAGTTATCTCAGTTGCTGTTCTTTCAGTCGGGAACATGCACAGGCGCACAAACAGCGCGACAAAACGGAACAAAAGTACTGTAGATGAAATGATTTTAAACAGCAAAAACTCTCTTTCATATCATCAGTCCACCAGTCCCTAAGCTGCTATGTTTTTCCGGGATCTCCAACTCAGCCTCTTCATCCGGCTTGGCTGACATGGCTTTGAGCCACGGGCTCCCACTCCTCTCGTAAGAGGAAAAGGTGAAAGCAAAACGTCACCCTGTCCGCTTCCAGAAGTTCAGCCTGGGTGAATGCCGAGAGCTGGATTCTTTCTCCCAGGCTCTGAAGGTCTCTGCCCAACACCTAGACCAGGGGTAGGCCACCTTGGCTCTTTTATGACTATGCTGGCTCAGGAATTCTGGGAGTTGAAGTCCACAAGTCATAAAAGAGTCAAAGTTGCCTACCCCTGACCTAGACTGACAGATCAGATACAGGGTTTTGTTTCAACCTTTCACATCAGGAGCTCTTCCCCATTCACTGCAGACGCGTGGCTCATTCAACCATAATCTGGTACTGAATGTGCTCCCTGGCAACATCCAGGAATCAGCACAGTGAACAAGTCACTTGTGGGTGTTAGTCATGAATGACACAAGAATGCAAGCACACTTGCCCCAAGAGACGTCTACGGAGATCCTCCACCATCCGGGTCATGCTTGACCCAAAGGTGCTTTTCCAAAAGGCAGCTGGACTTTCTGGGTTTTTTCTTTGAAAACATTTCAGTTCTCGTCCAAGAAGCTTCTTCAGTTGACGTTTTCAAGCAAAAAACCCCAAGAAAGTCCAGTTGCTGTTTGGAAAAAACACCCCTTTGGGGGGCACAAAAGGATGAGAAGGTCCTCACACCCAGCTTCCTTCAGAAAAAAGTCTCACATTCACACGTTCACATGCTGAGCTTGGCTAGACCAAGGCGGCTTGTTAGCCATACCTACTCACAGGCGCAGCGAGTACTTTCTCTCAACAAGGAGGACCAGGTTGGTCACTCAGGCATCCATATTTAGTCACAATTCCAATATAATATCTATGCCTCCTTCACAGCACGTGAACACAATCACTGCCTATTCCAGGAAGAAACAAGCTTTTTGCAGGGTGGTTTAATCCATTGTTGTGACTCCAAAGACGAGAGCAGGAGCAGCAGCATCACAACTTTTACAGCAGCGGCCCCCAACCTTTTCTATACCCCGCACCCCTGGAACACTTCTGATATATTCTCACACCCCTTACAAAGGTTCGAAGTAACGCATGATGCAACCCCCTGCTTTACAGCATGTTTAAGAGACTTTTACTAGCACCCTCAGGAAAGCAGAAGTCAGCCCGAAGTTTCAGCTGCTCGTTCAACAGAAAATACAGTCATTAAAAAAAATAAAAACTAGTTTATGCACTCCCAACAATA